TCCAAGGCATCTGGACCTGACAGCATTCCATCTCGGGTATTGAAAGATTGCTCTAAGGAACTTGCTGTTCCCATCACGAAACTGTTCCGTGTTAGCTTTCGTGCCGGTGTTGTACCGTCCCAATAGAAGCTCGCTCACGTTGTCCCGGTATACAAGAAGCCACCTCGATCTAGGCCATCCAACTACCGGCCTGTGTCCTTGCTCTCCATTTTATCCAAGGTTATGGAGTGTATTATAAACCAACAAGTCACCAATTTCCTGGAGCACAACGACCTGCTGCCTGACAGCCAGTTTGGTTTTAGACGTGGCCGTGGCACAGCTGACCTCCTCACAGCACTCCAGAGCGAATGGGTGCAGGTTGTAGCTGAGGGGGGCTGTGTCCCAGTAGTAGCAATTGATATTGCCGGTGCGTTTGACCGCGTCTCTCACGTCGGCCTCCTCAACAAAGCAGAGCGAGTAGGCATCGGCGGACCTCTTCTCTCTTGGCTACGCGACTACCTGAGTAACCGCTGCCTAAAGGTGGTAACTGGAGGCCACGCTTCCAAGAAGTACCCCATCACTGTCGGAGTGCCCCAAGGCAGCGTCCTGGGCCCCACACTCTTCATATTGTTTGCTGCCGATATCGACCAATGTCTCTCACATGGAGTAAAGCTCAGCTCTTTCGCCGATGACACTACCGTGTACAGTCTGATCAGACCAATCGACAACCTCCAGGAGAAGGCAGCATCCTTACAGACAACACTCAGCAATCTTGCCGCATGGGGCCAGCAATGGCGGATCCAGTTCGAGCCCACCAAGAGCCAGCGCCTGATTTTATGCAATGCTCGACAGCGCCCTGACTCTCCACCAACCACCTTTGCCGGCGAGATTATTCCGGACTCGGACCACCTAAAGCTGCTTGGAGTCACATTCGACTCTAAGCTTGGGTTCCAGCGCCATATCCATGCTGTCGCTGTCAAGACTCAAGGCCAGCCAGCGCCTGGGATTCTTGCGCCGTGCTGCTTGGCTTCTGGGTCACGAGGGCCGCCTTGCCGTGTATAAGGGGTTCATTCGGCCCATCCTGGAGTACGCTCCCCTAGCCACCATGCGTGCAGCCCAATCCCACCTAGCACGCTATGACAGAGTGCAGGAGAAGGCAATGCGAATCATCGGACCTGGCACGATCCTCCAGAGCCTGCAGCTCAGGAGGGCAGTCTCAGGGCTTGCATATGTGTACAAGTTGCACTACATTACGGGTCCACCCCAGCTGACAGCCCTCCTCCCACCACCGTCGGCGCCTGCACCTACTCCTAGAAGGCTAGAACCCGCCGACAACTAGCTTCTCGCCACCCTTTCCAGTTGCAATGGCCACTTGCTCGGACAGCACCGAACTACCTACTGAGGTCATTCCCCTACACCCTCATTGCGGCATGGAACGACATTCCTGAGCAAGTCATCCCGGAACCTCCTGCATCGAAGGGAATGCAGGCCTTCAAGTCTCGCATTTGTCAGCACCTGATGCGCCAGGATTGGTTGTGGGCGACAGCATTCCATGGCTAAATTTGACGATGTTCCATTCTCCAGTCCCACAACGATCACCTTGTCTTCACCCCACTGAACTGTACCTTGCTCCCTAGAGCTCTCGAAACACCTCAGTGCAGAATGTTTTGCGTTAATGTTTCTTTCTTCTCTTCTTTCCTTTTTGCTGCTTCTCGTGGCCCCTTTCTCGCTGATCCAGTGCCTGCGCACTACTCTGCCTGGCAGCAGCTCCGATCTAACTTCTCCGTATTGCCCCCCCCCCCCACTGAAAGCAACGCAGCTATTGGTCCATTGCCATAGTTTCCTGAACTAATCTGGCACTCACTCACTCACCCTCCCTCACTCACCCGCTCCCCCCCCCCCATCTCTTCCTCTCTCTCTCTCTCTCTCTCTCTCTCTCTCTCTCTCTCTCTCTCTCTCTCTCTCTCTCTCTCCATCATTGTCTGGCTCTCAGATCCTCACTCTTCACACACAGTCCTTCTTCTCTCCCTTTCCCCATGGTGCGTGATGTGCGCCTTGATCCCGAGACCATTGGTCGGGGGAGCGCACTTCACCTCAACGTCACAGCTCAATAGCACCTACACGCCCTTTGTAGTCCCCTATGTTCTCTTGATGTTGTTCTCTTCCATTCTATGTAGGCATGTGCACTTTCACAAAATAAAACAAAATAAAAAAAGTCTAGCTATGGTGCCAAACACGAACGGCAGGATAGGTTTCTGTAACTCTGCCGCAGTAAATTGCTCAAAATACAGAATGCAGAGTGGTCACACAAAATGGATAAACTTGAACCAGACCTGCCCACTCTCTATCTGTCTCTCTGTGTGTCTGTCTTATGTCTCTGTCTCTCTGTCTCAATCTATCTCTCTGTCTCTCTGTATCTCTGTCACTCTCTCTCTCTCTCTCTGTCTCTCTCTCCGTCTCTCTCTGTCTCTCTCTGTCTCTCCCTCCCTCTCTCCCTCTCCCTCCCCCTCTACCTTCCTCTCTCCCCCTCCCTCCCTCCCTCTCTCTCTTTCTCTCTCTCTCTCTCTCTCTCTCTCTCTCTCTCTCTCTCTCTCTCTCTCTCTCTCTCTCTCTCTCTCTCTCTCTCTCTCTCTCTCTCTCTCTCTCTCTCTCTCTCTCGCTCTCTCTCTCTCTTCTCTCTCTCTCTCTCTCTCTCTCTCTCTCTCTCTCTCTCTCTCTCTCTCTCTCTCTTCCGAGGCTCTCTCTCTTTCTCTCTCTCTCTGACTCTTGTAGCCTTCCTCAGCGCTGAGTTAAAAAACCGGGAGTTATACTGTACTGTATTTTCGACCCTCTTATCCCCTGGTAGGTCTCATCAGTGGAGCCTCAGGGTAACGGGATGAACTGCAGAAACACAGCGAGCTTTGTACTTTCGTCTTAAGTCCGGCGAATGCAAGGGGTTGACCGACAATGAGACATCTGTATGTAAAAGCGGTAGATTCTTCATGATAAGGACATTATAATTATTGTTATGATGTGCATGTAGATCTACCCGCTTGTTACTTGATCCACAACAGTACAATCTCACAGCTTCAGAAATCCTTCACAATGTTGACGATCAAAAGCTTTCACGAGTCACGACTCCCTGTAGGCTGTAGTGTAGATCTACCTAACCGTAGAATCTACTCTTGATAATAATTATCAGATCCACTAAACCGAGACACCGCCCAATGATCGGCGTTGACGATTCTCATGCATGATCTAGCTACTACATGTAGTACAGTAAACCAGTGCGGCAAGGCCCAGCTAACGTTAGCAGATCTGCTACAATGTACATCTACACCAGCCGATTGATTTCAAAAAATAAGATAAAAAAATACAGCATTGGATAAAATAAGATCCATAAAATAAGATCCAAAATACTGGCTCATTCTTTTACAGCAATGGAGGGTTATTGTACTCTTGCTACAAGTGTAGGAAATGGGCCTCAGCTTCAGCTAGCCTGCGAAGCTCCTTATTTTCTGGCTTGAACTTCTTGAGGTATGTGTCCTTGACACCCCAAGCCTAGTAGTGTCGACCTACTCGAGAAGCAGTGTCCACGACACACCAGTATAACTAACGACTGTAGTAATGCAGTTTGGATCCTAGACAGTACTGTACTGTACTACCATATTGTTAGATTGACAACATGAAACAAGGTGGAGGACATCGTGTTCGAAAACAGCTTACCGTATTATCTCTAATATAAGCACGGTCCTTTATTTTTTCAATGTACCTCCGCCCCGTGCTATTAATGGAGACGTTCCTTTATTGGAGACTGTTCCATTATTATTTCAACCTCATTTCAGAGGCATGTTGCCATGCCAAAGTCATGTATGACACACACATTTCAGGGTTTTTTTCGCCGGTACAGATACAGTGTGCTTATAATGGAGACTGAGCACTTTATTTTTTGAATGCCGCCCAAGGTGTTCTATTATTGGAGACGTGCTATTATTGGAGACTGTGCTTATATTGGAGATAATACGGTATCAGTTATTTTATTCCAATACTGGTTCTGAACCAGTATCTGAACCAGTATTGGGTTATATAACACTAGACAGTAGATCTACCATGTACCGGTACCGGTGTCGACTATGGCTTTCTTCCTGTGACGTTATCACGAGCCTCTCGAAACAGTAGATTATGCAACGACTTACGAAGAGTGACGGGGTTAGTATTGGAAGTGTGATAATTATGCTGAATGGCATCCACTATATTTAGGTTAGAGTTGTCCCACAGGTTGCGTCCAAGCCAAGGTCAAGGGCTGTCACGACTCGCAAGTGCTCTTGGAATTTTCTTGCTGTGCTGGTAAATTATGTGCAAACGCTCGAACATGCCGTTCCAGCATTACATTCAGAACCGCGGAATACTGCATGTAGTGTCTGCAGAAGCTGCGATAAAAAATCTGCCAGATGGCAGAGCTTTGTTGGAGCGTTGGTGGCGACATTGGCTGTTCGTTCCGAGGTGTTCGAGCCTTGGCCCATTACCCACCTACTGACAGCAGCTAATAGTACGGGTAGATCTGGTAGATTGAGATCCTAACGTCCAAGAAGCACCGTTTACCCGCAAAGTACAGCTGTAGTTGGTTGTGTACCCGACGCTAGTGTACGAACATGGCGAAGAGCTTCCTTGAAGTCACGTCGGCACGAAGGTATGCCATGTTTCGCCCACACTATCCGGAAGCCCTCCTACCCAAGATATTGAGCTACCTGACGCGACACAGTCCCGGGTTATCAGCGCACAGCACTGCTGGCTCTAACTCTAAGCAACAGCTGGCTGTGGAGGACATGAAAGTTGTGGATGTGGCATGCGGTGCTGGACAATCTACATTCTTCTTGGCAAAGGCTGGCTTCAAGAGGATCCACGGAATGGACATAAGCCAAGCGCAGGTAAGGGATTAGAATCGTAATGGTATGATCCGAATGGTCACATTGGTGTGATCAATCCCGCCTCTTAGTCTTACTGTGACGTGCTGCATTGATCGATGTCCGCACAGCCTGTTTCCACAAAATATTGACAAAAGAGTGGCGTATTTTCCCCAATCATGACTGTACAGTCCTGGTATTTTTCAAAGGTGGTCCGACCTGTACTACTAATATTATAATGAATACTATAGGAGACTGTACTACTACTAGTATTGGAGACGTGTACCTTGATTGTTTCTGGAAAGATTGATTGCCTGGGTTGGGTGGCAAACACTGAACTCGTGATAGTGATACTGTAAGGCTGTAAATACATCCAACCATGGTAAGAATCAGTGTACAAAGACACAAAGGTGATGAACGGGTAAGAAAAACGAAGTAAGGTGGACCCTAGTACCTGTACCACAGTAATGCCCATCACATCATTCCGGCATGTACTATTATTAGAGACGTGTCCTTTTATATTTTTGATCCACACCCAACATGTACTACAATTGGAGACGTACTAGTATAGGAGACGTGTACGTTTAATGGGGAAAATACGGTAGTAATATTTTCCTTGCGGTCATCACTGGGTGGCCGGTAGACTGAGGTGCCCGTAACTTCGAGGTCTGGATAAAAGAGATATACATGTACGTGTGTGTGTGTGTGGGGGGGGGGGGGGGGGGGAGGGTGAATTGTCGTGTGTAATATGACTGTATGAGCATGGTTTGGTGAACTAACTTGTAGTTACATGTCTGTGCAAATCACTGTGTAGATCAACGAAGCTACCAAAGCTCTGGGGAGGTGTGATAACGCCATACAGAGACAAATAGACTTTCAAGTCAACGATGCGCATTCTGCCTTACCATTCAAAGAGAATAGCATTGACATGGTGGCTGTGATCCAGGCACTGCACTGGTTTGACCACGCAGCACTATACAAGAGTATTGACAAGGTGTTGAAGCCTGGTGGGTCCTTCCTTGCATTAATGTACGGCCATGCTGAGGTCCTACATGAAGCAGCGCAGATCCAATTCCTTGAAGTGAGTTTAGTTGGTTAAATGTTGTTGTTGTTGTTTGAAATCTTTTATTCTCACGATGGCCTGTGGCCAATAAGAGAAGTTATGAAGTTGTTGTTGTTGTCACGGGGTAGCTGTTTCCCCTACATATGTTGACCTGGCTAGAACTAGGATACAGTGTGGGGAATGAAGGAAGGCTGGTTGGCAGCCAGGGCCTGACCAAGTATTCAGGTCCTATCTGTTAACACTCGCACTGGTTCACTCCTATGTACACGATGAAGGAAAAAACTCATGCATGCTTTGTTTTGTACGGCTTGGCCCTCATCTGTTGAAGCATTATCAAATCCATGTTTAGGATCCCACGCAACTGTGCTCGCTATCCACTATAGCTGCCTTTTCAAGGACTTGAAAGCCATTCTCCCCCCCCCCCTACTAAACGAATATTCGTGCTTTATTTATTTATTTATTTTTATTTATTAATATTTACTGTCTGCACTTCATGGCACATAATGAAAATAGCCAATACAAGGAAGTGAGGGTGAAACCAACCACGGACTGAGGGCAAAAAGGCAAATTAAAAAATAAAATGAATAAATAAATAAAAGTAGAAAGGAAAAGGACATATGGAAACGAGTTAAGAGTAACTCTCCACCACTGTAACTAGATACTATATACAGTCAGAAAGTGCAACAACTAGGCACAAAATTGAGACAGTACTGAGACATTCGACGTCCTGGCACCTAGCTTCAACACATCTCCGTAGCGCTAACCGACAGCCTTCCAACTTGGAAGGTTCAAGGTTATGGAAAGACCAAAGAGGGGAAGGCAAGCGCAACGAAAACGAGCACAAGCTACAGTCCCAACGGAACAAAGAATGTTGATTGTCACTGGACGATGACGAGACCAGTAGGCGATTTGACAAAGCGGTCTAACTACTATTCGAAGCAGCAAAGCAGCACACCACCCAACTTGGGTGGGTCAAAAATATCAAACTGATAAGTTAAGAAGGGGGAAGCTTTGCGAGAACGAATTGTACAAGCCGAAATCTAAACTTGTTTTGTAGTCAACTAGTCCATCACAATGTCATGCATGAGGAGTACTGTAGGAGTTTGTACTGGTCTCGTCATCGTCCAGTGACAATCGACATTCTTTGTTCCATTGGGACTGTAGCTTGTGCTCGTTTTCGTTGCGCTTGCCTTCCCCTCTTTGGTCTTTCCATAACCTTGAACCTTCCAAGTTGGAAGGCTGTCGGTTAGCGCTACGGAGATGTGTTGAAGCTAGGTGTCAGGACGTCGAATGTCTCAGTACTGTCTCAATTTTGTGCCTAGTTGTTGCACTTTCTGACTGTATATAGTATCTGGTTACAGTGGTGGAGAGTTACTCTTAACTCGTTTCCATATGTCCTTTTCCTTTCTACTTTTATTATTGGCTCAATACCCGAGTTTCAAATAAATAAAACAAATAAAATAAAATCTAACGAAGTAGTGGTTGCGACAGTGTCAAGTAAAGTCGGCGGAATAGCGCGAGCTCCGGTGTGGGGAGCAAACCCTTTCTTAAAATAAAATCTTGACTATAAAATAAAATTAAAATAAAATAAAAGAGGTGCGTTACTTACGAAGAGCCTTGTTGAAAGCGGAAAGTGTCTCAGCACGTCGAATACTATAGGAAAGGGAGAGCCAAAATCGATATGCCATAAACACAGGTGAGTTTAGAAACAAAGATAAACGAGGAGCAGGCAATGATACTTGATTTCGAGTAGGTCTATCTCGCTGGAACCAGTCATACTTTTCCAAGTGTTGGGGAATTCGTTTGAGATAAATTCTATGAGCAAGGGTACATAAGCGGGCTTGGCGGCGCTCACAGAGCGGGGATGAGGCAGTCCGAGAATATAATTGGGCACTGCTGAATAACTGAGGCAGTTGTGGATTATACAAGAAACCATAGGTTTTGATGTATAATCCTAATTGCATAAGGAGGTGAAGCGAAATGTAACACTGTAGTGGCCCCTTCGTTTTCTCTGCAAACCCGCTAGAAATACCAGAATTTTTTAACGCCAAACACCATAGCAACCACTGCCCTGGATAACCCCTGCGCCACTGCCTGCCTCCATTGGCCTTGTTTGAACTGCTCTGTAAATCCTGAGCACGCCCCAGTGGGGATGGGCCGGGAGGGACTACAGTGTTACATTTCGCTTCACCTCCTTATGCAATTAGGATTATACATCAAAACCTATGGTTTCTTGTATAATCCACAATTGCACTGCAGAGGCTCCGCTTCATGTAACACTGTAGCTATTTGTCGCAGTAACAAACCGCCCACAAGCAACGTGAAGCGAAATGGTGACGAACATTACATCACCGCAGGCCAAGACCAGTGGAAAACAGGAATAAGTACCTGGCTAGAAAAACCACTATACATGTAGTGTCCAAGGTCAGAATACCATCCGAAATAGACCGAATGGGAGTACAGGCAAGAGAAGCCAAAAGAGAGGAAAAATGGGTTGACAACCCATCATGTCGTCATGCACTAGAACAAGACTAGATAAGAGTCCAGAATTACATGTACAACGTGAGTACTTGCGAGTTAGTATTTGCAAAATACAACTCATAGTCCAGGAACCGGACATAGCTAAGTCCGCCGAAGAACCGTGGCCGTGAACTGATCTGCCGCTGTCCGTGCAGGGCTCGCGTCCACTGGCAACAGATAGAAACGCCGAAAGGTAGATGCTGATGACCAATCGGCTTGGTGCAAGATATCCGCTAAGGATACCCCACCGGCATGCGCGGCCGATGTAGCAGCCCCACGCAACGAATGGGCTGAGAATATCGCTGTGTCCACTCCAGCCGCAGTCATACCATCCTTTATCCACCTGGCTATGGAGGACGATGTCACCGGCTTGAAAGGCTGCCGCAGGCTGAGGAAAATCTGCGGATGAGCAGTCTGACGGTGAGGAGCTGTGCGCCTGACATACTCCTGGAAGCAGCTTGATACGCACAAGTGTGGCGTGCTGTCGAAGACAGGCCACACCACGGTGGGAAGGGACGCATCCCCTCGGCAACCAGGCCGACGCTGCTTAGGCATGGAGGCATACGTCACACAGAGAGACCCATCACCCTCAGTAACATGGGAATGGAAATCCAAACGATGCAAATCAGAAGAGCGCTTGGCGCCAGTCAGCGCCATGAGCAGAGCCAGCTTTATTGAAAGCAGGCGTAGAGAGAGGGTAGAATTGTCACCCAGACCACCCATCCAACCCAAGACATCGGAAACTTTCCAAGTATGGGAATACCGGGGTTGTGGAGGACGCTGTTGGAAGACGCCACGCATAAGCCGAACCACCAGGGGATGTTGGCCAACTGGCGCACCATCTAAGCCTGGCAAAATGGAGGACAGGGCAGAGCGATACACATTCAACGTGCGGTAACTTCGGCCCACGGCAAACATATCAGTTAGAAACTGCAATACTTGTGACACAGGCGGCTGAAAGGAATCAATCCGCCGTTCAGAACACCAACTGTGCCAAGCTGTCCATGCTGACGAATAGGCCGAGTTGGTGGAGTCCCGCCATGATCCCAGGATGAGGGCAATAGTGCCTGATGAAAGGCCTGCCGCCGCATAGGATCGGGAGAGATGAGCCAGCCGGCTAGTTGGAGATGACCGCCCAGCACCATGGGATGAGGTTGATCCAGCGGTGAGGTGAGGAGCGCTGGATGGCCCGGTAATAGAACTGGACATGCTACCAGAAGATGGAGCAGGAGCGGATACCATGGCTGCGCATCCCACACTGGTGCCACCAGCAACACTCTGCACCCCGGGGACTGGCGCACTTTGTGCAGAACCCTCGGCAAGAGAGCAAAGGGTGGAAACGCATACAGGCATTGATCGACCCATGATATGGCAAGAGCATCCACATCCAGTGCTCCGGGTTGAGGCCCCCAGGACACAAAGCTGTCCAACTGGGCATTGGTCCGTGACGCAAACAGGTCGATCGCCGGCTGCACCTGGAAGTGTTGGCAAAGGCCCCGGAACACTACTGGATCGAGCATCCAGTCACTCGAATCGACCCCCTGACGGGACGGGGCATCGGCCGGGTTCTCCGCCGACGGTATGTACTCGGCTTGAACTGTGATGCCACGTTCCAGACACCACTCCCACACCTGGCAGGCCAGCTGGGACAAGTGCGGGGCATGTGTGCCGCCCATCTTGTTGAGGTAAGCCTGGCAAGTGGTATTGTCCACAAACAGGCGAACATGAAGCGGACGGTCCAACGCCACCCGGTGGAAGGCCTGAAGTGCCAGAAACGCCGCTGTCAACTCGAGGGCATTGATGTGCATGGAACGCTCTGCCCGAGTCCACCGGCCGCCCACCTGTTGATCCCTGCACACTGCTCCCCAGCCATCGAGGAAGGCATCCGAGAACACCACCAGATTGCAGGGTGGGCGAACCAATGACTTCCCGTTCCAGTCGGACAGTCGCTCTTTCCACCACTGTAAATCCAGCCTGGCGTCGGGTGTCCACTGGACGGTCGCCTCGTAAGACTGGGACTCGCGAAGAGCTAGGATCTTGAGCTCCTGCAGATGCCGGTAACGGAGCGGCGCTGTTAGCAGACCCGGAGAAAGGGATGTCAAGCGCCCCAACAGACAGGCTAACGTGCGAACAGTCACCCGTGGCTGCAGCAGAAGCTTGGTGCACTCCTGGCGAAGCTTCCGGATCTTCTCCGGAGGCACCCGCATCTCCATGGCACGAGAGTCCACTTCGAAGCCCAAGAATGAGATGTTCTGGGCAGGAGTCAACACCGACTTCTTGAAGTTGATGAGAAATCCCAGTTGATGTAACAACTGAATTGCCCGGCGCAAGTGCTCCAGTGCTTCCGCCGACGACGATGCCATAATCAGCAGGTCGTCCAGATAGATAATCAGGCGCACACCTTGGCTGCGCAGAATCGCCATCGGAACCTTCATGAGCTTGGTGAACACCCTTGGCGCGCTGCTCAGGCCGAAAGGCAAGCACTGAAATTGGAACAGCTGACCTGACCACCGAAATCGGAGCAGTCTCCTGAAATCGTGGTGGATTGGCACCACGAAGTAAGCATCCTTCAGGTCCAATTTCACCAGCCAGTCGTCGGGCTGAAGGAGATCGGGCAGCAGCTTCAATCCTTCCATCTTGAAGTGCTCGTAGCGCACGAACCCGTTCAGCGCTTTCAAATTCACCACGGGGCGTTCCTTGCCGGAATCCTTCTTTGGAATGGTGAAAATCTGGCTGACGAATTGATGAGGACACTCCTGCACTCGAGTGACGGCCCCTTTCAGCATCAATTCGTCCACTTCGAGCCGCACAGCGAGCGCTCTGTCCTCCTCCAGAGATAATTCCCTGGGCTCCGTGCTTTGTGCGGGATCGGCCACGAGATCCAGCTTCAGGCCCCGCACCGCATCCAAGACCCACGGGTCGGACGTGATTGCCGACCAGGCTTGCACAAAATGCCTCAAACGCCCAGCGACCGGAATTTGGGGGAGCGGGGGCACGAGCGGAGCGCGCGCCAGCTCGTTGTGGGGTGGACTTGGATGGCCGCGAAGATGTACGTTGAGCTGGGAACGCGAACCATCCACCGGCAGGGTCATCAATGACCCTGACCGCGCCCCCGAAAGGGCCGATTGCCTCCACGCCCGTTTTTTGAACTGGCAGTGGTGGAAAAATGACCCTCTCGCCTATGGTTGTCATGGCGGGGAAATGAGCGGTGGCCCCCACGACGCCCACCAGCACTTGCTGGGTAATAATTATGGCCTCTGAAGTTGGAAGGCCGACTATCCTTGTATGCCGGCTTCTGCTTGGATGAGCCAGACGAGCGGCGAAAAGCGTCAATTTCTTGAGTCCGCTTCTTGTATTGTCTGGTAAAATCCTCGCCGAACAACAAGTTTCCAGACGGGGCCATTTCCTGGAGGAGGCTGGACGGGCACTTGTTGGGGAGCTGCCCCGTCAGTCTTTGCCGCCGCATGACCGAGATGCTATTAGCGGCATCACCCACCAAAGACACTGCGACCTGCAGGAGCTGCGTGATCTCCTTGGTTGGTCGCCCAGCATCCACTGCGGCCCAAGCCGGCGAAACGGGCGCAAACGCGGCACATACCCTAGTTTGTACTGCCGCCATGGCTTTATCGGTCTTCCGGCCAAAGCCCAGCGACGGGAGGTCGCGGACAAAATTATCCAGGCGAGGACACTGGGCCTCCTCCACCTCCGGAAATGGGCAGAGTTTTTTCAATTCTGCCTTCTGCTTGAAGGTGAGAGACCGCCGGGCATTAGCCCGGAGGAATGCCGCAATATGCGCTGGTGGGTGCCAAGAGTCCTTTGCCCCTAAGCGCGACGGGTCAAATACCTCGTCTCCATGGTCACGGTCAGGTGAGGAGTCCGTCCCACTAGAGGAGAAATCCTCGCACGAGGAGCATGACCGACTAGTAGATCCGGAGTCCGTGGATGAGGACCGGGAGCGTCTGCCCCGCGAGCGTCAACGACGAGGAGAGATGGAAACTCTCCGCCTAGCTCCCCCGGCCAAGGCCCGGGAGTGGACGACATCGCCGGGTCCCGACCCGGACTCACTCGACGAACGACGACATCGTCGTTGAGATCGATCCCCAGTCCCGGTTCCATGCCCTCGTACAGAGGGAGCCCTATTATGGGTTTCCGGTGAAGCCGTGGGGGACCGGTCACGATACCCCAAGCTCTGCGAGCGGGGCCTTATGCGGAAGTCCCGTTGAGGGCGCATGCGCGGACTGCCTGCTCGCGGCCTGGCCTTTTCCAGTCCCCGACGGTGTTTTTGATGGGAAAATGGCGATCGAGAACGGGAACGACCGTGGCCGAACTCATTGTCGGAAACAAGGACGTTCAAACCTGGGGATTTGTCCCTAGCAAACCGTGCATGGCCACTGTAACCTACAGATTCGTCATCTGAGGCCCGGGGGCTCTCAGTGGCAACCCTGTGTGACTCAAGCCCTGAGGGTCTCGGAGGTGGTGTCTGCTGTGTGCCAATTTGTGAGCCGCCGGCAGTGGCGGAAGGACCTGTTTGTATACCGCCGGAGTGAGCGGGTGGACCATTTTGTATGCCGCTGGCAGAGGCGGATGGACCATTTTGTATTCCGCTGGTAGGGGCGGAGGGACCGACTTGTATTCCGCTGGTTGGGGCGGAGGGACCATTTTGTATCCCGCCGGTGGGGGCGGATGCAGCTTGTAAAGCCAAACGCACCTCAGGGTGAGCCAACAACGAAATAAAATCCGAAGGGTCCATCATCGTGAAAGCTACGCTAAGGGAAACTGAATCACAAAAGGAAAAGACACGTCAAAGTCACCTACGAAGAGAGAGAAAAACTTGCAAACCACTTTTTACTTGCAGAGAAAACAAGGCCAATGGAGGCAGGCAGTGGCACAGGGGTTATCCAGGGCAGTGGTTGCTATGGTGTTTGGCGTTAAAAAATTCTGGTATTTCTAGCGGGTTTGCAGAGAAAACGAAGGGGCCACTACAGTGTTACATGAAGCGGAGCCTCTGCAGTGCAATCCAAATAACCGTTTGATAATCTTTTTATGATGCGTTTCAAGTTTTGTGGACAAAGTTGAATTTAGACCACACCATGCTGTGTCAGCGTAGTCAAACAGAAGCAAAATATAGCAACGGTAGAAAAGTATTGTACAACTATGAGGGAGGTGGGAACAGTGGGAAGTGAGTGCTCCAAGGGCGGAGCTAGTGCGACGACAAACATCATTAACTTGCTCTGACCAAGAAAGTGCAGAGTCAATACGTACGCCCAGGTGTTTGTGGGTTTTTACCAGTTCGATGCTGTTGGACGATCCTGGGAAACACAGGGTGACTGGGTCTGGAGAAGCGCATCCAATAATCATTGCTTCCGTCTTGCTGTGGTTTGGCGACAGGTGCCAGCGACACATCCAGGCCACTACCTCGTCAATGTCCAGTTGGAGGGAGGCTTGGAGTTGTGGGAGAGACTCGCAGAATTTGATTAGCGCAGTGTCATCAGCATACAACGAAGTATCAGGAACAACACTCGGCAAATCATTAATGTAGAGTAGAAATAAAAGAGGACCCAGTATGGAGCCCTGCGGAACGCCAGAAAGAACAGGAAGGGGTTTAGAGTGCGTATTAAGGACGGACACTATCTGATGCCTGTCCGTTAGATAATTCGCCAGCCACTCCAGAGCCAAACCTTCAATACGAAATGAATCAGTGAGCTTAGATAACAGCCCTCTGTGCCACACGGTGTCAAAAGCTTTCGCTAAGTCAAAGAAGCATAACCCTACATATTGTCCTCTGTCCCGATAAGAATAAATGTCCTGCATGATCCGACTAAGTTGAAGGACAGTGGAATCACCTCTACAGAAACCAGACTGTTTTGAACTGATGGCTGAGTTCACATGAGCGTAGAGTTGATCAAAGACAATTCGTTCACATATTTTGGATACACAGCTGAGAAGTGAAATGGGACGATAATTGGCAGGGTTAGACGGCGAACCTTTGTTCTTAAATATGGGGATAATTTTGGCGGTTTTCCAAACAGATGGAAATATGCCAGTTGAAAACGAAAGATTAAATATAAGGCAAAGGGGAAACGCAATTGCCGGACACAAGGCCTTTAGAACGTCATTGGTCAGACGATCTAGCCCTGATGACTTTCGCGGTTTGGATCTTATGATATACTTACGCACCGCAGCAGTCGTAGTGTACAGAGAAGAAAACGAGGAGGAAATGGAGCAGTGTCTAGGCAATGTGGGGCAAGGCCAGGATGGATCATCCACCACAGCCACTGAAGCGAACTGCTCATTCAGCGCAGAAGCTTTTGCAACTGGGTCAGTGGCTAGACACCCATACGCTGGCTGCCAAGGGAAGGTCAGGAATGGACATGCGATTGACATTAGGACGTTGACTTCGTACAAACTGATACAGAGTAGGTCTTGCGGAGGCGTCAGACAAGGTAGATCGTACTGAACGGACATACAATCGGTGAGCAGATCTGGAGAGAGAGAGCAGACTAGGTTACGCTGGGTTTTAAAGGCAGTTGTATTACTTGCGGTCGGATACTTTTTGAAGATACTGTACAAATCATGTTTCAACTTGATGGCTTTGATCAGGGCTGGCGTCACCTTTGTTCCCTTATACAGTCGTCCCTCTCTAATCCGGCACTTTATAATCCAGCACCCTCGATAAACCAGCACAATTTTCAGTAGCCAAAATGTCCTCTTCATGCACATTGCAGCAGTAAATCAGATTTGTTAATCCAGCACCCTCCCTAATCCAGCAGATTTTCGTGGCACAAATGGTGCCGGATTATAGAGGGACCACTGTATTCGCTTCTGGACCAAAGGCAGATGAATTTCATTCTGCTAACCTTTCTATGTCTAGTATTTGAAAAGGCGGTGAGGTGACAACAGTCTAAGGATTGCAATAAACAGAACCAGCTGAAGGGTAATTTCACGATGGTTTAAAAACCGTTTTATTGAGATGCCACGAGCAAATTGTGCGAAAGCTAGTTCGATGCATTTTTATACTTCTGATTGTTCTTATTATTGTTCTTCACATTACATTTCCATCATAGTTATTTCTTTGTCCATCACCACTTTCTCTTGAATTTGTTCGTGACATGATTGACATCTCAATAAAACCTTGGTGAAATGACGCTTCAGCTGGTTCCTTTTATTGCAATAATTATCTAGTATTGCTACAGATTTTATCAGGAGTACATGACATGAGGGAGGATGCACAGAATTATTTCCTAGGGATGGTTCATTGCATGAAACTCTGCATCATCCGAATCTCATTCTGCCGGTATGTATATGTATGCATAATTATGTACATGTGCATGTACTGCAGACATACTTTGGAGAACTTGGCAGATATTGGCCGCCAGAAGCAAGACATGCCGCCTCTCTCTATTATGAGATGCCTGTACCTTATAAACCAGTGGAGAGGTCAGTGAATAGGGCTTGAAAGTGCTACGTCACAGCATAGCAACAGTTTCAAAAATTCAAAAATTGGATCCACTTGGATCCAGTTTTTGTATGGATCCAAGCACATTTCAAGCCGTCTTACTCACAGCAAGGTGATGTAACCAGTGAAACTGACTGATTTGGCTACTGGGGGCGGGGTTACAACTGGTGGCGAAGTAAAAGTCACCCCTGCATGCGACATGAGTGGGTTGCTATGCACCCACATACTGAGGCAATAGCAAAGTCACACCTTAGTGGATCCAAAATAGAAATCTGATGTCAACTTACTACTCCCTGGCCGTTTTTGACGTCATCACTTTCAAGCCCTATATAACCACCACACTTGTGTGGTGCTTTCTGCAAGACTGGGCTGTATATGGTGGCCGGATAGGTTTTCAAACATGACCAAACGCGGAATGTCTAAACCTGGCTGTGTTTTTTGGAAGACACATTTATTCACAGTTAGCATCAATTTATCTTTCTCCATTTCCTTTTCCCATCCTTCACGAGACCCCTTGATAAACATCTATTGCTTCTGGGGAATCAGTTAAACATGGCAATAGTGGAACATGGAAAAAAATGGGCGAACTGTTTGTTTTCCCTTCTCCCCCCTCCCGCACTTGAATCTAGCACAGGGAGCAAAGCGGGTATTTGACATTTAGGTCTTGGATTCACACCTACAGTGTATTTGCCGAACCTAGACTACCTTTTAGATATCTATTATACTTCAAAGAAGTACAAATATTGTTGTCAGGGACATTATGGTGAAAATGGAATCAGCACTTGCTTTTTGGATGTTCCCTCTTGCTTCCAACCAGGGAGTCATAAAATACCTATATTTTTACGACTCCCTGCTTCCAACACTTCCATTCCCCACCCAACCCACCTCCTTAACTGTCAAAGTGGAGTCAGAACTTGCTTTTTGGATGTTCGTTCTTGCTTCCAAAACTTTCATTTCCCCGCCCAATCCACCTCCCAGCTTGTGCAGCTCCACCGGAAGGGTCTCGTTAAGCTAGCATCACAAAGTACAATGGTATTACTACATATTTGTAGCGGTGGTTGCACAACTTGTGACATGTGCGTTCATGTATGTATGTGTGCATGTGTGTGTGCGTGTGTGTGTGTGTGTGTGTGTGTGTGTGTGTGTGTGTGTGTGTGTGTGTGTGTGTGACTGTGTGTGTGTGCGCATGTGCGTGCGTGCGTGTGTGTGTGTGTGTGCTACTGACTGTATAGGCTGTGGCATATCCTGGACTTTGACACGCCGGTGTCCAACCTGGCAGGCCTGATTAGCTCCTACAGTGCATACCACAAGTACAGTGCGCAGCACCCAGACACTACTATTCTGGATGACATGGCATACAGGTACATTGTCCAGTACATGTGCATCAAGTGTACATTTATTAGTAACTGTCAAGGCGGTGTTGTGAAATGATGTGTTGTTTTCCTGTGTGATGGCATTCCCCAAACTGTCTCGTCTAGTCGCGTGCATGTGTGATATGAGCATGCGCGATTTTGTAGTCGAGAGTCCTTTTGTCAGTCTTCTTGTTCGCCTCTGACAGAGCAGTTTGCTTTTCCGTCTTGTAAATACTGTAAGACATGTTATTATAACGAGTCGCAAATTTAACGATTATCCAAAATTCAAAGGTTAACGAGAAGATATGTTAACGATCCTGCAGTATTCTGCCATATCCACACACAGCATATATGAAGCAGTACGGCCTCAACGGATCTTATTATAACGAAGAAATGTCATCCGTGAAAACGTTAGATTTGCTTCCTCGTTATATATACATGTCTTACAGTATAACATAATGTAACAAACCAGTCTTGTCCTTTGTGTCCTGCGTCCCAGGGAACGGAATGGCTGAGATTCCGTTACAACATGGTGCCGAAACCCGGGACGCAGAGGATGAGTTAGTTTGTAGTGAGTCTGTTCGTCGTCGTCGTCAACAACGAAGTGACTGTTACTTTGAAGTAAACAGAGCGTGGGAGAGGAGGCAGAGAAGGTGATGGACTAGAACAGTCACTGTGGACTGGAGCCTGAGACGGCAGGAACCGCTACGGAGCGTGCGGCCGTGGCTCGCCAGAGGACAGTGGACGAGTCTGGCGTCACCGACTGTGTGTCGTCCTTGTTGTTCGTCTTGTTGTCTTGCTCGCTGTGTTGTTCTCTCTCTGTTCAGTTCGTTGCTTGTTGCTGTGTTGTTTCAGTTTGGTTGTTGTCGGTCTGTTGCTCTTCTATTCGTTCTGTTGTTCTCCATTGTTTTTGTTGTAGATTTATTTGGTGCGGCTATGCGCATGTTATTATTTTGTTGGAGCTTCAGCTCCCGTGTTTCGGTTGGCCTTGTGTGGCGTGGCCTGGTTGTAGAGCGTCGGCTCTAGGTTTTTGTTTGGCCCTGTTTCGTGGCCCGGATATTATTTTAGAGCGTCGGCTCTAGGTTGATGGTTGGTTTTCGTTTTTCTGTTCTGCTGTGGTTCCTTTTGCTGTTGTGCATGTGGAACGTGGTGTCGGTTTATTATTTTGTGGAATGTCATCAAGGGGGCAGATGTTGTGAAATGATGTGTTGTTTTCCTGTGTGATGGCATTCCCCAAACTGTCTCGTCTAGTCGCGTGCATGTGTGATATGAGCATGCGCGATTTTGTAGTCGAGAGTCCTTTTGTCAGTCTTCTTGTTCGCCTCTGTCAGAGCAGTTTGCTTTTCCGTCTTGTAAATATAACATAATGTAACAAACCAGTCTTGTCCTTTGTGTCCTGCGTCCCGGGGAACGGAATGGCTGAGATTCCGTTACAACGGGAACTACCGTGTTTTCTAGAGAAGTCCGAAGAAAACAAGTATCTCGCATAGTGTTGAGTTTTACTTCAGTATTTTTTTCAGTTTTGAGTGCTCTCTATGGAGTGACCACGCAAGCTAATAATAATAATAATTCGCGGGATTCGCGTTGGCATCGCTTGAATGTTCAGAAACACACAAACTAGCCTTCGCTTCCGCAGGCCACCACTATGCCTATGCCACGCAAGCTGGCTTTCCATAATGTTTTTTAAAAAGTGGTCTTTGTGCTATTCTGATTCTCTGCTGCATGCAGAATGTCCATCGCTCTCAAATCACCAGCCGGCACCGCTACAACTCCATCGGCCACTACTACCAGCGGCGATGCCGAGGCCAGCGTACGTGTCAGGCTACCCTTGTCTGGTTTCATGTGTCGAAAACCACTCGATCACCAGTAGGGGAGGAAACCGTGATAAAATATATTTATCAAATGTCAAATCCATGTTCGGAGTAGTACCGGTCTGTTCAGACAGTTCTTGAAATTCCTGAGTCGTCTGTACCGTATCACGGTGCCACGGCGTGTATTTTGAATTCGGATAATCTTTTCCTGCCCCACTACCAGTACCGCGACTAGGATGACAGAGCCTGCAGATCATGACTTCGCCGCAATTGGATAATACAATGTATGTCATGTAGTTAAAAGGAAGCACATCCTTAGCCGGGACATTGTAGTCCGTGCTGCTGATGATCACGCCTAACGCGTGAAACTCAGAGTTACAGCAACCGAGTGCTTTGTTTTTCCTTCTCTATACCTAGAAAATAGGATGTATTATGAAATGATTATACCAATCTCGGGCACCAGAGAGAGGCCCGGTGCACTTCTATCCTGACCACTGCTACTGACTCTGTACCGTAAACTGATTGCCATCCTGACATGTCAGTACTGTATACTAATGAGCACTTATTTATTTTACTAAAATGTACTTCGAAGTCACAAGTGTGTATGATGGGTCAATGCCTCTTCTTGTAGGCTAGCCGTTCGAAAAAAGTGCTACAATGTTATGCTTTGTGCTTGCTGCCGGTTTCCCGATGACTGTCTTCCGTGCATGCCGCACTGTAAATGCATCGCCGGGCTAGTCAGTTTTGCACATGCCAGCGTAGTAGTCATGGGTGACCACAATTGTCAGTGTATTTCCCGATGGTTAAAGGGGAAGTTAAGGCAAAAATCAAAATTTCACCAGTTGTAGTCTTCGGGGTGCTGAGTCGAATGGTCGTGGTCCGAGGAAGCTGAGACGCTCCCTTCCTACTTGAATCCCAATCGAACTCGCGCACTTCAACCGAAACTGGGTGATTACGCCTTACGAGATGGGGATTTGTATGCAAAATGTCACTAAAAGCGCCATTTCGTTCTCAGCACGGATGACCGCGATTGGCCCATATGTTGTAGTCTTTTGGACGCTGAGTCGACTGGTTTTGGTCCGAAAAGGCTGCGATGCAGCGTTCCTCCTTTATTCCCAATCAACATGGTTGAACAAGCGGTCACGTGCTCCTGCGTACACCAGTCACCTTGTCACCGTGCCTGCAGGGTACAACTTACTAGCCTGTTTGACCTTTTTTTGGGTGCACTCCAGTCACTCAAGTTGAACTCGAGTTGAACCTTGGTGTGAAAGTTGTCGCCTGCTGGTAGGCCCCCGTGTAATATGCCGGCATTTTTTTAGCATTTTCGGTACAATCCGCGAACCCAGCACTTTGGGCTCGTGATGCAGCATTTTGGGGGAAACGGAGCACTTGGCCGTTGTGTATCAAGATTGAGAGAAGAAAAATTTCCAAACAAGAACGTCACTTCCGCATTCCGTGGGTTAGCTTCTTGTTGAGTAGTTTATGAATTGAAAATAATGGTTTTGACCAGGGAGTCGTAAAAATACCGGTAGTTTCTGACTCCCTGGTTTTGAGTCTTTTGACGGCGTGTGCTGAGGATTACAAAAAAGTGAGCATTTTCCGAGCATTTTCGGCAAGGTTTGGGAGCATTTTCGGCAAGGTTTACGAGAATTTCCCAAAAGCATTTTCGGCAAAGTTTCGGGCATATTTCACCGGGCCCTACCTGCTGGCGTGGTGACCAGGTGATTTGGGCACTAGGCCCAGACAGATCCTGCCGGCAATTCTTTCGGCAAAATATCGAAGAATTGAAAGAGCGGAAATTGCCGGCAAAATCGGAGCAAAATATCGAGATGTTGAGTAAAATCGATGCCTGATACTTGGATTTCCTTGGTTCAGCAGGATACACTGCCCAGGACGAGATCATGTCACCAAAATATCACTGGGATTCACTGTGGATCCACATGATTTTGGAAGAACTCAGGGACACGTGCGTGGAAATCCGTGTTGAGAAACCGATCCTGCGATTTTATGAAACGTTGTACGGGATTGTACGGGAATTGGATAAAATACACGTTTTTCCGGAGCAAAATGGAGCAAAATATCGAGATTCTTGTGCCAGGCTCGGCAAAATATCGAAGATTTCGCAGCAACATTTTGCGGCAAAATATCGAGGCGAGCGGAGCAGAATCTGTCTGGGCCTATTGGGCACCCAGGAGCACGTGACCGCTTGTTCAACCATGTTCGATTGGGAATAAAGGAGAAACGCTGCATCGCAGCCTTTTCGGACCAAAACCAGTCGACTCAGCGTCCAAAAGACTACAACATATGGGCCAATCGCGGTCATCCGTGCTTTTATAAGAACGAAATGGCACTTTTAGTGACATTTTGCATACAAATCCCCATCTAGTAGGGCGCAGTCACCCAGTTTCGGTGGAAGTGCGCGAGTTCGATTGGGATTCAAGTAGGAAGGGAGCGTCTCAGCTTTCTCGGACCAAGACCATTCGACTCAGCACCCCGAAGACTACAACTGGGAAATTTTAATTTTTGCCGTAACTTCCCCTTTAAAACTCGCCCACAGCGGAGTGCCCGGTAAACCGAGGTGCCCGCGTAACCTGGGGTCGGGATAGCTTACTTGGAGAGATACATGTATATGTACCGGTACATGTGACATTACAGTACTGCTGAATGAAATCCAGTCGAGTTTCTCAAGTACACGCCGGGCCCTAAACCTGCGAACACTGGGCTGCGAAAAGGTGCACGGCGTGGCAACTTTACTTGACCAGGCTCCCGCGACTGGATTTCATTGAGCAGCATCGCAAGACAGTGTGGGTACTACCAAGAGAAAATTATGAAGCTCCCAGCAGCTTATTTTCCGAGTCTTTGGAGTATGATACTGCATGCAGTGACACACTAATCATTTTTGAAACATTGTTGATGTACATACCATGATACAGGTACAGTCGTCCCTCTCTAATCCGGCACTTTATAATCCAGCACCCTCGATAAACCAGCACAATTTTCAGTAGCCAAAATGTCCTCTTCATGCACATTGCAGCAGTAAATCAGATTTGTTAATCCAGCACCCTCCCTAATCCAGCAGATTTTCGTGGCACAAATGGTGCCGGATTATAGAGGGACCACTGTAGTAGGTAAGTAGTCTCACTTGGTCGGAATCCGCACTGTCCCCGCAGTTGCACAACTCTTGCACCATAAGACAAAAGTGCATAACTCTTCATGAGCATGATGACCATACTGATGTACAGTCATGATCACGTGCAACTGCTCGTACTCACCCACCTCTACTCTAGTCTAGACTAGTCGAGAAGATCTCTCCACTCAGAAACTTGAACCCGAATGAGTATTTCCTGCACATCTCAGTCCTCGCACAGCATCCGCCATCGATCGCGTTGCTTTCTCAGTTGCAGACGAAACATGGCAGCACGTTTCACTGACGCTGTGGTGGCCCAGCGTTATGCTCTCTTTAGGCCGCATTACCCCGAATCCTTGCTAAATGGCATTCTCAATTTCGTGACACGTCCCACGAAATCTCGGACAAGTACTCCAAATGCTGGGGTAGCTCCACGGGCAGTAGCTGCTAACGACTTGAATTTGGTTGACGTGGGTTGCGGGTCTGGACAGTCGACTTTCTTCCTAGCAAAGGCCGGCTTCAAGGAAATACACGGGATTGATACTAGCCAAGCACAGGTACTAGGTATGGCAACTATCGTGTATTTTGAACTATTTTCTCATCTGCTTCGCGTAAAAATACTGTAAGACATGTTATCATAACGAGTGACAAATTTAACGATTGTCCAAAATCCATAGGCTAACGGGAAGAAACGTTAACGATCTTGCAGTCTTCAGGCATACCGGTATCTGCACAATCATAATAGTATAATAATAATAATAATAATAATAATAATAGCGGCTTCAGTCCAAAATTCTGAAATTGGAATTAGGGCCAACAAATTACACCACTGGAAAGAGAAACCTCTGCAGAACACACACAGAAAATGTCATGGGTATATCTGGTCCCAAACCGGAGTTATCGGGCCACAAAGTTGGTATGCAATCGTCGGAGGCCATGTATGTATGCAATTGTATGCAGAGCAATGGCACAAAAGTGGGTTTCCCGGACCTCATGAAATCATGCATACACAGTGAATGTATGCGCGATATGCGGGTTTTTGGTGTTCTTGGAGGGTGACGGAGAAACTGTCGTACATGTAGATGTTGGACAGGACGTGCTCTGCTTCGATGGATTGAAATAATCACCTCCTGCTCAAGCACCTCCAGAATCTTGAGGTGAAGAACATTAGCGGATTTACAAGCCAAAGCCTCGGTCTACTCGCTCCGTCACGCAGAGCCCGTCAAATAGTGCACGCCATAGCCGACTTCAGCCGCTGGGCACAAATTCTTCAAACTGCTAAGAACGGCTACGGAGGAGAACCTTACCATGAACCTATCTAAACTAATCCGAGGGCTCTGAACACGATGGTGACTCAGTCATTGACGGGCAAGGTAGCTGAGATGCCGAAAGTTTGCTTTGAAAACTAAAAATACGGAGCGATATATCAAAAAATCGATGACTCATGACATGCGACACACCGTTGGAAAGCTATTCATGTACGCTTGCCCATCGTGTAAAAATAGAAGGCGCTGGGCACATGAATAACGCATAGGCAGGTGTAGAATGTCGAGAGAAAAATTGTTCCGTGCACACCATGCTTGCACCATACATTCGTGCGACGAAGGATTTCTGCCTTTTGGTCACGTGATTGAAGTCACTAGTAACAATACATATGAGGTATTGCTGCCTCACCAGGACTTATTATAACAAAGAAATGTCATTCGTTAAAACGTTAGATTTTCTTCCTCGTCACGTCATTCACATGTCTCACAGTGTGCATGCTCAGATTCCACTTCTGTAGCTAGGAAAGTCAGCGGGAGATACGGCTAAGTGTACCGTCTAGGTACATGTAGGCAGGGATGGGACACAGCTATTGAAGTCACGTTGAAAAATTGCAGATTACTCTAATTTCAGAAATTTTCGGTGCTCAATATTTTCGGTATGAGGGCAAAAGGCCAGGTGAGGTGAACAGAAATTTTCGGTACAGAGAAGCAGTTCCCTGTTGGATTATGTGTGTTAGTGTTTGTTCGGTGTATTGAAATTTTAGGTATGAAACAGCTCCACCGAAAGTACTGAAAATAAAAGTACACCGAAAATTTGTGAAATTACAGTACTATAAAGTACCGTTGTCCACATGCAATGGTAAAGGATCAGTTTGCGACATCGCCTTCACTGCGGCGTAAGCAGTTGCTTGTGCAAGAATTGATTTGAATCAAGGAATTAATTATGCCTGTTTTGATTCCACTATAAATAAAGTATACAACAAATTTGTGAAGGAGGGAGTAATCTCTGAAAGAGGTACCACACTTGGATGATAAAGAGTGGAGTCCGGTGTCGTGGTTCACACCGAGTCGGAGCAGCAGAAAATTGCACCATGAGACAATGATCTGTTACTGCTGTCACCATTCTAAGGGATTTCCCTCTGAGGCCGCAGTGTGGTCTCGACAACGGACCATAGACATGGCTATAGACTATATAGAGGTTATGCGAAACTGACGTCGTAACGAAGCATCGGCAGATGTCCAGAAGCTGAATGGACTGTAAAACCGGGGCTGAACTTTCCTAGTTTACAGACTATTTACAGTAGATGTTCTTCTCTGTATTGGGTGAAGATTGCAGAAGCGAGAAAAGCACTGGAGAAGCAGGACAGCAGCGCATGCGACCGCGTCGAGTTCAAGATTGTCGATGTTGACCGGGATATACCGTTCCGTGACGGCAGTGTGGACATCATCACGGCAGCTCAGGCACTGCACTGGTTTAATCATGACCAATTCTACAAGCACGTCGATAAGGCACTCAAACCAGGCGGTTTCTTTATGGGCTTTGGCTATGGCAACTGTCAGGTCTTGCACAATGGAGTGCAGGGTCTACTTGGAGAAGTAAGCTTGCTAAGCTTGATGATGACACGTGCCCACACAACATGAAAGTGTTGGGGCCAGGGATCAAGTTGCCCCTCCCCTCCCCCCCCCCCCCCCCGCTTGGTCAGAATTTTGTGTCAACCAAACTTTGTCCAGTATGAGACCTGTCCGTAGATTTCGCCGTATGCATGTTTGTATTCTGTACTTTTTAGGCTATTATTGAGATCTGGGATAATAGACACATGCATTAAAGCTAATAATTCGTTTTTGTTTCCTGTGGTCTGACCTGGCCAGGCCCTAGCGCGCAGGTGTACTAGTACTCTCTTGCAGTACTAGTACTTCAACTACTAGAGTAGCACTTTGCTTGATTCTTGGGCTGATATCAGTGCAGTGGCATGGTAGGGCACTGGCCCGGAAAGACCGGGGTGCTTGGTTTGAATCCCCAGGGTGCTTGGTTCGAATCCCCGGGGTGCTTGGTTCCAATTCCCGGGGTGCTTGGTTTGAATCCCCTGGGTGCTTGGTTCGAATCCTGCCTGGCCCGTGGACCCTTCTTGTGCAATAAAATAATGAATTGCCACACAGCAATTTTTCAGTCAGATTTTAAAATGACTTTGTGCGTGTGCATGTATTGTATGGCGCCTGTGCTTAGTTCTATGGCGGTAAGCTTGGCAAGTACTGGTCACCAGAGAGAAGACACATCGACACACTCTACAATAACATGCCCATGCCGTACAAGCCAGTCGAACGGTGAGTACGAGTAATGCATACAGTCAGAGCTCCGACGGTGTCACAATGGCTTCACAAGGTCGCTTTGAAATGCATGTACTGCATTGTATCGCCGCTGAACTCAGATCAACCGTGACCTAAATACCAAGCTCTGCGACATGGATAGGCTGACCTGCTGTAGTTTAAAAAAGTGCTGCTGGACAGAAAAATCCATTTTCTAAAAGCACAGCAATGGAAATGACTCCCTGCATGTTGTCTCAGCTGTTGCCATGCTGCATACTCATCACGTGTGTGTGTGTGTGTGTGTATGTGTGTGTGTGTGTGTGTGTGTGTGTGTGTGTGTGTGTGTGTGTGTGTGTGTGTATGTGTGTGTGTGTGTGTGTGTGTGTGTGTGTGTGTGTGTGTGTGTGTGTGTGTGTGTGTGTACTGATGTGTGTGTATGTGTGTGTGTGTGCGTGCGTGTGTGTGTGTGTGTGTGTGTGTGTGTGTGTGTATGTGTGTGTGCGTGTGTGTGTGTACGTATGTGTGTATGTGCGTGTGTGTGTGTGTGTGTGTGCACGCGTGTGTGTATCTGTGCATGCGTGTGTGTGTGTTTCTGTGTGGCTGTACATGTGCGCACGCTCAGGCTATCTCTAGAACTGCAGTACGACGTCACACTGGCCCATCTGATTGGCTACATCAGCAGCTGGTCTGCCTACGCCACCTATTGTCTAGAACATCCTAGCAACACTGTACTGGAGGACTTGGAAAAGCAGTAAGGGAGGAAGGGAGGAAGGGAGGACAATCAACACATGCAGTCCAGGTCTCATTGTTCAACAATGCCTGTATGTGTACAGGACAAATTGATAAAAGCCCATTTGCGCATTGCCGAATATGGAATGTATGAATAATGCATGTGAGTACGCTGGGATCAGGAATGCACTGTTCAACACCCCACACGACCATTCCCAGGTGGCTGTGTGTGTGGAGTGTTTATGGTTCAAATGATGTCATTGTGCAATGGCTTATTCCATGACATCATTTTAATCCAGGTGTTTTGTTTTGTGTGGCTCTACCAACATGTACATACACTGATTTACAAGTACATGTACATGTACTATAATGTCACTCGATTAACCTGATAGAAGGTAGGCTAACTGAGCATCTCCTATCTGGATGTGACTAGTACCTGCACCGAAACAAGTAGTCACCCAACAGAACTGCTAACCATCTCTCAGACGTGTAACCCTACTGAGTGGTGGTCGTGTTGCTCATGTACAGAATGATCGAGGCTATCAAGTCATCCGCCGTCGGCGCTAGCAAGTCCGGTGACAAGCCGACGCAGTCCGAAAACAATGTCAAGGATCATGTGTTGGGTATCCGATTCCCAATCTTCGCTCTCATGTGCCGGAAACCGGACGGCCAATAGTGTGAAGCTTGTGGTGATGTCATCGTGCAGTGTGCAGCAAGGTGAGTTCTGAACTTTGCTGGGAGTGTTTCAAACTAAATCTCGGTATGCTCTACTTGCATTGCGTTGTGCTTGTGTTGCTGGCAACGTACTTCTACAGTTGTGGCTAAAGAAATCCGACCTGCGAGTCAAAAATAGAGTTGCCGTTCCATTTCGATTACATCATAAACGGTCCAAACATCTATCCGAGGGCCACAAGGTAGGGGATGGCCGCATGAGCCTTGGCGTTGATTTCGGTCGGATTTCTATGGACATGATTGTGGTACAGTAAAACTGCTGTCTTAACCTAGATATAACATACTATGGGTTAAAACAGAGAGGTGCTAGGCTGTCCAATAGAGTGCTCAATACCGAAAGGCAGAGCTAGGTCAAACGATTTGTTTTCTGGTGGTCGCTTAGTGCGTGAAACTCGGAGTTGGAACACTTTTTTTCATCCTCTTGTTACTGTTTCATACCATGGGTTATATAAAGTACATGTACTATTTTTCGACGACCCTTCATTATGCGATACTGTCCTACCCGTTTGACGTTGGATATGCAGTACTTTGGCTGTAAAGTAAGGTCCCTGGCAGGCCCGGCGGAACCGGTCCGGCTGGTCTGGCCATGGCCGGACCAACTTGTTGGCCATCGACGTGTGTTTACTGCCGAGGTGGTTATGTGTATACCCTCCATATCATACACAAACTGTATGAAAGACTAGGGTAGGGCCGGACCAATCCAAAACTGCTTCCACCGGTCCTGCCTGGAGGTACGTTATACTGAAGTTGGATGTACAGGTATTTATTGCCTGTGCGACTGCATTGTGTTTTCCTGTTGCACAGACTGGCCATACGTGTGCAGTGCAGGAACATGCTCTCGCTCTCTCTCTCCCTCTCCCTCTCTCATTGCCGACGGACTGGCTCGGTTCATTCAGGGATGGGCACAAGACTAGCTGGTAATGGTGTTACTCTCTGAGTTGTGTTACTTGTACATGTACTACATGTGCCTGACAGCTGCGGAGATGGACGGGTGGAGTAACGGTCTTCCAGGCCATTGAAGCTATATTAGCTCCAATCCACGTAACGCAACCGACCGCCGCCTATCTTATACTTGCCCGCTCGGTAGTTCAACAAATGGCCAAACCCGACATTGCAAGCGGACATAGAGCAGCTCAGTTCACCCAATGTAGGAATGATATCCCAAATTGGCAGCTGACAAAGAGTATAGGAGTGACGACACGGTGTAACTGGCTCACCACTACGGGTTCGGCACCAGCTCTTGAACTGCCCTGGATAATGATTTTCCAGTTGCATTGTGTGAGACAGCTGGAACACTGACCCATACCGACCTTCTCGTTGCTCCGAGTCACTGACTGCATGATCATGGTTGCCAGCATTTTTCATAACCAGAGCCATCAGCAGCAAAGAAATTCAAAAACTACTAGCAAGGAATGAAGAAAATGAAATACCTTTGACTTGACATTGGATACTGAAGATATTTTTAATGGGGATGACTTTTCAAACCGTGAACACAATCTCCTAGTTGCTGGCAGCTAGCTTCTGTTTACTTCCCGGTGAATTTTATCAATTCTCTTCTGCATTTATGTCATACAGAGCAAGTAGCAAGTAGTGGAACGGCTGCTTGAATTAAAACTGTGGTGACTGTACCAACTTGTTTTTGAATGCATGCACATACACATAGGCCTAACTATAGCTATAAGAGTCCAGTGATTTGCGGAGAGTATGGAGTACTAGTAGATGCCTGGGTAAGGCTGAGTTACAGAGAAACGCTTCACAAAAGCGACTAGGCAGACCCCGGTGGGTGACATCAGCATGTACATGTGCATGTGTAGGTGACTAGGCGGTGGGTGACATCCCACTTGAATGCCATGCAGCCTTGCTAAAGTTGCCCAACTTTTAAGACTAACTTTGAGCGTATGCTGGCATGCATGCAGCTATAACCTGAGACTGGGTGGTCTGACTAACCAATCAATGACTTGCTACCATAGCACTAGTACACACTCATAGCAACATGGCCGTGACTAGGCTGCATACGTGTAGTGGTGTGCTGCAAGTCAACAACAGTTTTTTCATACGGATCTAACTTTCATAGGCAGCTGGAACTTTTTCCAAGTAAGTTGAATGGCCGGGCTTTTAAACATTTTGCAACCGTGACTGAAATTCATGAGTTACTCGCACCAGTACTTCTCATAGCTGTCCCAAGCCAACTTTTGTAGAAACGAAAATTTCCTGCGTATAAATTGAGGGTTCAAGCCTGAGGTACATGTAGTTTTGCAAGCAGGATATTCTACTTCCATTGTGGGCGCAGGTGGGAGTGAAATCCGTCCTCCCCCGCCTGGCTGGTGTACACAGTCTTGGGGCATTGAATGGTGACGTACATGTACTAAAACCAGTTGCCCCAGCAACACTGGAAGTGTACACACAGATCCCGATTTCACAGCTGCAATCATGCAGCTGTACTTGGCACTCGGATATTTTCACATTGTCAAGCTCCTTCAGTAAAACCCTGTACTTGGCAATGTGTTGTGGAGTGGGTGTGCAGCTCATGTAAAATTAAGGATGGTGCACTCGCGGCTGAGCTGCAGAGCATGCTCGCTCACTCAAGTCTCATACTTCCAAGTACTTGTGTAAGTAACCACTCGTAGTATGTCATAGCTGATACTCTAATGTCTGTAAGAATACCGCCACTGTCCTGCATGGGCTTGAACTGTTGAGACGGTCACGGCTGTCCCGTGCATGCGATCAGTGGCCATCCAAAATGGCGTCCAGAAATTTGAATTTTCAAATCTGGTACGTCCGTCGTACCTGAAAAATAGCATCGTTTTAGAGTATTTCGATTGCTTTCAGACCCGTTTTCAGCGTTAATCGTAACTTTCCCGCAGAAAAAATTGGTGTTTGGGCGAGGAGAAAGAACGGCCTTCTTCCTGACATCGCACTCGAGAAAATCCGAAAGTGTTCCGTCTTTCTTGAGGTCGCGCATGGCGGAAATGTAGTTCCACGAAGATGTTGTGATTGTCTACAATACCGACGTCTCTGTAGACCTTCGTGGAGTTTTCTGAGCCTGCTGGGCAGTTTTGTAGGCTGCTCCTGGCCTTTTTTAGCCCCTTTGTTCATGACTTGTTGAGTCCCACGCAGCGGAACTTGGTCCCGTGCGATATCTTTAGTGGGCAGTCATGGACGAACATTTGTCCATTTTGGACTCAGTATGTCGTGTTGGTGGTGCCAAGTTCACTAATCTAGGCCACAGCATGCGCTATAGCACTCAGCAATATAAAGAGCAATTAAAACAAGTTCACCAGATCGACATCACAGAAGACAAACCTGATACACACCCTAAATACATATGTTCGCTATGCCAACGTGCACTGGCAAGGAATGCATCTGGCACACAGCATTGTGGAGGTGGTTGTGGGTCACCAGTCACATGGGAAGGTCACAAACGTGCTGGTTGCACTGTCTGTAAGTTGTATCAACAACGCTCAAAGGGTGGAAGGCCGCCGAAGAAAAAGACCAAATTGCGCGGCGGAGCCTTACCAGACACGGGAACCAGCCAGGCTACGGCAGTACCAACGCAGGTAAGTGTGGTCAAATTTGGATGTGCAAAAAGCAACATGTCAGAGCCTAATCATGGATGTAATGCTTTTTATATTAATTCTCTGTCTTCATAACAGGTCCCAGCCCCAGCCGCGGGGATCGAGACTCGCACCGTCGAACAGCCGGCATCATTAACGCGTGGTGCAGCTACAGCTGAACAGACTACCAGTGCCGAACAGTCTGTATCACAATCACAGAACACAACAGCAGCCACACCAGCTCCCTGTGCGCAGCAGTCCGTATCGGCTACGCCCAGTACAACCGTTGTCGGTGAAACAACAGCAGACACTCAGGTATACAAGCAGAAATTGATGAAACAAAATTGGGAATGAACACACATGCGCGCACACACACACACACACACACACACACACACATGCGTGCACACACACACACGCACACACATGCAAACACGAACACACACAACACAGTGTTCAACGGCAGCAGACATACATCAAAATCAATGCTTGTAGGCACCTATACAAAAGAAGTGAATTCAGTCGAGTCCTACGCATGCAGATAACCATTCTCAGCAGTAGTATGGTACAGCATTCCATGAAACACAACTGTGTATACTACTATTATATCTGTGCAGATCTTTGAAACGGCCACGGCAAGCAGTACCTCACAGCAGCAGCTGCCAGCACCACATGAGCCCGAGATATCTATCGACAAACGCGCATCAGTATCCACACAGGTGCGTATCTCTGTTATAGAGCAGTCTGTGTATCCAATCCAACCAGGTCTTAAAACTAAAACAGCAATTGTCAGATTAGATAGTGGAGATATTACAGAAAAGAAATGAGCTTCGCAATGGACTGAATATAAAGAAAGGGAATGATAGAGCAAAATGGACTGCATGTGGCAAAATTCCTTGCCAACCACAGTAGTCAACAGCGTGGTGGTTCTACTTGTTTATTGGCGTCGTTGCAGGTGTCTACACCACTAACCCAGCAAGGACTGACACGTCCGGTCACCAAATCGGCTACAATCGCTCAAGTCCTGGACGCATCACCATCCAAGCTCCGCGGTGATACTGCTGACAGGCTGCTTGGCCACCTGGTTTCCGCTCGTTCTGACTCAGGGAAGCTGGAGGTGAAGCAAAGTGAGCGTGGCAGACCGCAGGTATATCAAAGGCTTACATTCGCTGACACATCCTCCGAGGCAGCCAGTGAACGTACGAAGAGACGGCGAACAGCAGAACTGAGGTCGCTCACTGAGTCTGTATGTGGTGGAAGTGCCGGCGCCAGTGCCCAGACTGTAGCAATTCTTCGCAGGATGAGCAGCGACGAGCAGATGGATCTCCTCAGAGAGGCTGGGTTGGCACCACATTCGCCCGAGGCTGGAATTGGCTTGGCCATCAAAGCCGACCTCATGCTCCCGTGGAATCAACTCAGGAAGCTGCGGCAATGGCTTAAGCAGTGTGGAGTGAAGTTCGAGTCAGAACGCAAGATGCGAACAACACTAGCAGCAGCCCTTCCACCCTACACGGCCAAGGACGTGCCAATGGTGGTGAAAAAGCAGATCGCGCTGGCACCGGTGGTGTACATGCCCAGCTTGGAGGTAGTCATCAACCACTACCTCCAGCTATACAAGGATCGTGGGCTACTGACATGGCACGATGGTGCAATACCGGAGAGCGAGGTTTGGATAAAGCTGGGCGGGGACCATGGCGGTGACTCGTTCAAGTTCTCCATGCAAGTAGCCAACCTGCAGCACCCCAACTCGCCGGACAACACCGTACCGCTGTGTGTATTCCACGCAAAGGACACGCCAGCGAATCTGGAAACTGCACTTGGTATGTACCGCGATGACGTCTTGCACCTTATCTCACATGGCAAATGGGAGGGGAAGCGGCTCGTCCTCTTCATCTTCGGAGACTACGAGTTTCAGTGTAGTATGTACGGGTTGTCGGGACCAAGTGGCCTACGTCCGTGCTTACATTGCCACTGCAAGAAGAAATCTATGGAGACGCCAGTATTGCAGAGAGAGCCTGAGGACAGTGTACCCCGCTCCCTGGCCACCCTCAGTAGCAACCTGCTGGAATTCATCGCAGACGGGGAGAGATTACCAAACGCCAAGTTACACAACAACGTCATTCGTCCGGCAATCCTTCCTGTGCCACTACCCAACGTCATCGTGCCAGTCCTCCACCTGGACTTGGGCATATTTGCCTGGATGTTCGATGCAATGCTGAAGGATCTGCGTGAGCTGGACAAGCTCTTGGCCAGCAAGGCCCAGTCTGCTGCTGGAGATAGCGACGCTTTCGGACGGCTATCTGGCCTCTATCGCGACCATCACGACGCAGAAGAGCAGATAGCAGCAGCGTCGGAACAGGCCTCTGGTTACCAGCAGCAGCTGAACTACGTAGCACTGCATGCCCACAACCAGGGTGTTACTGGCGGTAACTTAGAGTTCGTGTGTGAGCAGATCAGAGCGGAGTGGCAGAAGGCCAATGACACAGTCGTGGAGATGACAAAGGCAAAGGAGGGCATCTCGCAGCAGATACTTGCCGCAACTGCTGAAAAAGACATATGTGGGCCTTGTGAATCGGCAGTCGAACCTGTGCTGCAATCCCACAACATCAAGCGCCAGGTGTACCACGGAGGTGCATTTATCGGAAACCACGTGCACCGCGCACTTCAGCCCGCTGTCCTGCAGTCGATTGCTGCTGCTCCCATCTCAGTAATTCAGGAACGCTGTCCCGACCTGATGGATGATGCCAGCGTTGTCCAGTTGCGTTACATGAAGCTGCTGGACGAGTACAGGAAGTGTACTTCTGCCTTTGGCCATTGCAGGAAGGTAAACATAACTCAATATAACTATTTATTCCCTGGGAGCTTTTTCGTCTGTTCCAAGCCATCAAATTCCATTATCCACATGATTCCACTTTCGATGCAGGTACTCTGAATTTGATTATGAATATTTGATCCAGAGCTGATATTTAATATGTGCTGTTTATTCCAGGTCACACGAGCAGAGGTTGAAGAGCTGGAATCCAACATCAGGACCTTCCTCAAGTCAGCACGGAAGGAGGTGGTCGATCGAGGGCTTGGCCACATAACGCCGAAGCTTCATCTTCTGGAGAGCCACACCGCTCCGGCAATGGAGAGGCTCGGAGTAGGGCTCGGTTTGCTGGCCGAGCAAGGAGCAGAGAGCATCCATGCAGAGTTTAACACTCTTGAGCGAAGATACCGCCAGATTCCTGCTCTTCTGCAGAGGCTGAAAGCTATGGCTGAGCAGCATCTGTCCCGAACCTTGCCTCAAGCCATTCACCGTCCCACGACAAAACGTCGCCAGTCGACATGATCTCTGGCAAGTATCGTGAGTAACCAACTTTATTTGCTCTCTCTCTCTCTCTCCTGAACTCGAGTGGATTTCTTTTTCTGCGGCGCAACTCTTCATAGGAATGTACTCGGGTGTGCAGTCTCTCTACCTACTGTTTGCTTTCTTCATCTTTCTGCTCTACAGGCACACAGCTACTTGACCACTTGCCTCGTCATCGAGATCGCGATGCACCGTCAATACTCAACAAAGAACTGAACAAGAACTTCTTGAAGAAAGCTTTGTTGTTTGAACGAACAACAACTGACTTGAACTTTTTTTAGTTGAAGTTTCCAGCTCGCGCTGCTTTGATCTATTTGGGTTTTACCTGCTTTGCCGTATGTTTTTATCATTATTCCCTCTGTTTTCTAATAATTCCACTGGTATTGGCAATTTCCTGTGTAAAATCGCATAAACGCGATTTTCGACAAAAATCGCCGCCATATTGTTAGATGGCCGCGTACGAACAGCCGTGCGGTGAAGGCTGGAGTAAAACTAACATGACAGCAGCCAGGATCATAAGGATATCGATACTAGATCAGGAATAGACCACCCGCCTGCTGGCGGTCCTGTTGTCTTTAACCCAAGAGGGCGCAAGTGGGAACTTGAAAGACAATCAATTTTTAGGAACACCTCTGTGAAATCAGCTGTTCCGTTAGGTAGTGCCATACATCATGGTCATTCCCAAGACAAGAGTACACAATCATGTAACCATGTTCTCTTGCCATTACTCATTACTGGCATGCATGTTGACAAGCCCTTGCGGCACATTACGCTTGACTTGATGTATGATAATGACAGCATATCACAAGGGGGAGGACATAAAAGTCATAATGCATTGGAAACAGTATTGCTGACTGTCACCAGAGTCTCCCCTTGTGTCATAATACCATGACTTGATGGTAATGTATCAGTGTACAACATGTATTAGTCCAATTCTTCTCTAGTATCAGTCTATGTGATGTCATACGAGATTATGCATGTTTGTAACCTGTTTCTGCATAGCATGAACTCCATTTCAACGTGATAGATATGGCTGACAGTCTAGTCGGTACTCTTGCCACAGACAGTCTCCTGATGTCCCAGTTTGAACATGATGATTCATGACACATGATGGGAGGTAGTACGTTTGCCTTGTCATTGCCTTCCCAGCTCCTTGTCAATGACATTATGTCATTGGTATCTTGACATCCTGAGACGCCCATCCCCCTGATCCAAGGGGGTTAGGGCACGGCCGTCCCTCCCAAGTGCAAGCCCTTGCATGCACTATGTACTAGTGCCTGGTGAGCGGTGACGCGAGCGCAAGGCCAAGGATACTACTATTACTACAACACCGGGCGCATGACTGGATGTACGATAAAGGAGAACCCGTCACCCCTGTCTAGATCTACCGACGTCCGTGCTATGCAGTTATCACCAGTAATACAGTATGTTACTCTCGGCCGGGGGGGGGGGGGGGCGGCGGGAAACAGAGAACAGAGCATGCGGTTTTTATGAAAACTTGTACTGGAAATTGGCAAAATACCCGTTTTCCGGAGCAAAATATCGGATTTCTAGTGCTACGCCTGGAAGAAATGCAAATCGTAGCACAGAGTCAGTAGATTCGCACAGGTATGTGCCAGGACTCGTATAAACCCTGGTTGACTCCCGATCCCTGGTAAGTGGTATGCACCGCGCGCTATCGCGATATCGGTACATACCGCGGTTGGTGACAGCACTGCAGTGAGCGCACGCAGTGCAGTGCAGTCACGATCACAGCACTAGCAGTGCAGTGGCGCACTGCACTGGCAGTAGAGTCTGTATACCTGGTATACGGGGGTGACTGGGACTTGGCCAAGTCTTGGGAGTCTGGGACTGGGAGTCTGTACCGTAGATCTACGATCACGAGCACTCTGGACTGTAGAGTGTAGTACATGTATCACGCTCTGTACTGTGTGGTGTACTGTGTGGTGTAGTACAGTGTACGCAACGCTTGTTCTCTGATGAGTGATCTCTCCCTGCCTTTGCCGCACAGCTAGCTAGCTATGATGTACTGGAGTGCATGCAGTGGGAGAAGTAAAAGTTACAGTTCATGCAGAGTTCTTTGTTTCAACTAATAAAGTTACTTCAGTCTCAACTACTTCTCTTTAGTTTTTTTTTGTCAGCACCTCTCTTGTTTCTACCGTCATTCTTTATTACTAGTTTCCTGAAGTGTAAGCCTTTGCCATAACTAGCTAGCAAAATTTAGTAGTCAAAGAGAGGCATTTGGCCACCTCCTCAGCTCGGCACACGTTCGCATTACTTTTATCTGTCCATGGATCACTTATATCTGAAGCTACCAACAAGTTAGGTACATACACAAGGAAATAGTTTCAGGGACTATAATTCGTTCCAGGTGGAGAAGGACTCTGGAGACATTGGTCGACGGTGGCCACGGCACAGACAGACTTGCTGCATCTAAAGCGAAAGGGAGAGTGGACCCTTGCCTGCAAGATTATAATTTATAGCCCTGGCCCGCCATGTCCTTGGAGGATCCTTACTTCGTCGTCAGAAAGTGAGTGTGCCTGTGCCCAACACTTTGAGTGGCGTTTATTGTGTCCGCTTTCCATCTGTGGTTGTGTGGTACTGTCTCCATGAGCTTGATTCTCTGCTCGCCCAAAGTACACAGTATAATGGTCAATTTGTTCGCGAAACATGTTCTGTAACATATCTTCACAATCATTGAGTGCTAGAATGATTGTTTTGTTCTGTATACTCGTTTCGTTGCCTCGGCCTGACTCAAGCGCAGTTTCCTTGATCTTCCTGTGCATCCTGTTTTCTCTCTTCGTGGCAGCCTGCTTCCCTCTTCAGCTTCTCGTAGCCGATGTGCGCGTGCCTTTGTGTCCACTTTTGTGTTTTGGACCAGTCGTGTGTATGTGTAGAGAAAGAACATTTTGGCCAGTGAAAGAACATTTCAGTACGGATTGTACTATAGTTTGAGGTGTCCATAGGGTGTAGCACATTGTAGTTTTCTACAAGACTTGTAGTAATTAACTGTTAGTTGTATTGGTCGTGACGAAATCGATCGTACTGTAGTACAGTAGAGGATTATTTCCAACAGTGTCAACTATTGCTGAAGTGTTGGCTATGGCTTTTGACTTTTGAGCCGCTTTGATTGCACGTAGCGTAGACAGACGTCCCAATATGGTTACTAGTAGTACCTCATGCACCTGCAGCGTCACTGTGTGCCTCGGGGATTTCCGAGAAACCCCTACAGGGAGCCTTCGCTAAAAATATAAATGGGCACACGCACTGCAATGCACAGCAGCAGTGTTTCCTTTCCTAAAAATAATTAATTACACCTGCTTTGTCCGTTTGGGCTTTGACAGTCAACCATTCAGTACTTCCTGAATGCTGGGTGTCGGTAAGCGACAGACTTTTTTTTCCTGTTTTGTGCTACGTTGTAGCTGTGTTGTCATTTGTACAAACTGTAGCCTAGGAAAGTGATTTCTGAAGCTTTACAAGTTTACCCGGTTTACATACCAGTAAAAAATGTACTAGTTCATGCATGTCTGCTCTCATGTCAGATGAACCTACTGTAAGTCTTCAAATTTTCGGCACATTCAATTTTCGGCCTCCCAGGGCTAAAAAAAACCCTTTCGGCAGCATCAAATTTTCGGCCTGTACTGCTGCAGCCTGTATACACTGTCACACTGAACATTGGGAAACAAGATTTCGGCCGCAACAAATTTTCGGCCAAACATGACCAGGCCGAAAATAGCCGAAAATAAATATGCGCCGAATATTTGTTGACTTAGGGTGCGTTCTTAATTCTCTAGCTTCTCGGAGAAGAAGAAAAGAGAAGTCGAAGAAACTGGTTTAATTCAAGAACGGGTCTCGAAGAGTTCAGAGATATTTTGCACATGTGAAGAAATATGAAGCGCCAAAGGCCACGAATGTAGCACTCATTGTGCGTATGCAAAAAGGGAAATGCGTACACTCATGATCAACACATGCTTTTAGCTGTAGTTCGCATGCGCTGATCCCAAACCGCGGGAATCAGGCATACCTCGGATATCCGGACCCCGAAGTTATGGCCACTTTGGTCTACCGGCCACCCTTTATCTTTTGTCACTTTTTGTGGAAATAGTGACGTCGTATGCCATATCTATGACCTTTCCCAATCAAGATGTATGTGACTCAGAGTTACGAGCAGTGCCCCTTTGGGCGAGTTACAGTGAAAATGGTACTAATCTTTTGTCACTTTTTGTGGAAATAGTGACGTCGTATGCCATATCTATGACCTTTCCCAATCAAGATGTATGTGACTCAGAGTTACGAGCAGTGCCCGCCCGGATAAACGAGGTATGAGTGTAATGGTGGGGATCAAAACGCAGCAAATTCTTTTCCGTTGTACACCAAACCGCTGGCCAAGGTGGAAGAATTTGAAAACGGAAATGTTCTACAGGATAAATTTGGATGTGTGAACAGTCGAAAAGGTGTGCTGGGCCTCCGTACCGTCGTGTTTGTATTGTTTTCGTCATGTGAAGAGTGTTGTCGTATGGAGTGTTTTCAACTATTGCTTGACTCTGATTGGTGCTTTCACGACAACGCTGCTCGCATAACAAACTTTGCAGATCCTTCTTTCCCGTGTAGACGCGCGAAATCCATGCAAACAAAGACCAACCTGGATCAGCTCGGATTGTGTACACAGAAATGCGACCCTGAAGAAGTACGGGATCGAAAACTGGCCGTGCATTGTATAAACGCAGCCAGAATGCCATTTGAAATTAACAATCTCGGGATTTTGGTGGTTAGCGATGTGAAATGTTAACGAATTCTGGCTGTCAAAATCGACATATGAATATGTACATGGTCTTTGCAGATAACAAATTCAGAATTTAAAGAATTATTTTGTTACATTTAAATGCTCAATGCTCGTTGATAAAATCGGTCTTACAATATGCTGATATTCAGTATACTACCTGACGCTTTGAATGCACATTGCTTTTACTTAGTGGATCTAAATGATGTCTGGAGATCTTCCATCAGCAGGGGCTGGTAGCTCTTGCGACTGTATTTCACCTGACCAGAGCCCAGCCAGATCTAACAGGCCTTAGGCATATCATGTGCTGGATAAGGCTAGTCAAAAAAAGTCACCAAACAAGACCGGAATATAATATATATGCTTGTGTTAGCGAATACTTGCTTTTTGTCTGGTCTGGAATCCGTGTTTGTTTGTGGGTTGTTTTGCTGTAAGTGTTAATTTTATGGTTCCCATGTGTGTGTGTATGTGCGTGCACATGGATGATTTGCTGTTTGCAGTGAAGTACAAGGTGCACTTGGCGAGTCGCAGCAGTCATATAGGCGATGGCAAGAACTCTACGCAAACAAGACCACCCAGGGAGGACAGGAGTACGAATGGTTAAAAAACAAGCTCCTGAACTCACTGAAGTCAATTGACTGGGATCTCGAGGACCTGTCTGAGACGATTAGTGTCGTGGAGTCTAATCCGGCCAAGTTTCGGCTTACGGAACAAGAAATCAATGAGCGCAAGAATTTTATCTACAGTTCCAAAGATGCGGTAAAAAAGATCAAGGACCATATTGGGAGCGCAGAAGTACGGACACAGGAGGAGACTGTGTCGCGTGACAAGCTCGTTGGTGCTGTGCAGCCGAAGACGAAGGGGAAGTATGCCAAGCTGGATAATGAACTGGAGAGCGCCAACTCGCAATTCATTGCAGACCAGCAGCAGCAACAGCAGGTCAGTTGAGCTTGTTAGCATTTTCTTGGCCGGGGTAAATTAAAATATCATTAATTTTTCAAACACATGTACCATATTTGCCGGAGTATAACGCGCACCTTACATAATAATGCGCACCCCCTTTTTTTTAAGGAACGCTTTGGCAATTCAAGTTATTGATGTGTGCATTTGTATAATGCATGTGCTACCGATGGGGTCTCATACCCATCATCCATTAGCAGTGTAGCTGGCAGTAGACACTAGAAATGCACACGTAATTATGGCTTGCGCCAGGTCAGAGTTGGCAAACTTCGCAACAGTTTGATGCATTGCACTACTTTTTGAAGTAAATGCGATTTCTTATTTGGAGCAGAATGTGTACCTGCGATTTGGGGCCTGAAATAGTGCATCTAAAGTGCACACTATACTCTGGCAAATACAGTACTTGTATGTGTATGCCCTGGGTAATATAGGTGATGGTATGTCCTCCCCTTCACCTGGATACTCACTTTTCCCCTCAGTCTAAGATAAAGTAGACTTGACTATCATTCTGAGTGTCTTTGGCCTGCTGCTGTTACTTGCCACACATCCTGAAGGATAGAGCACTTCTTTGCTCAACGGTGCATGACATTGGTACTGCAGTGGGTGTAGGGTAGTACAATGATGTAGCTGCTCTGCTATGGCACAGCAAGAGCATTCTGTGCTTTGTTCTTGATGGAGGGGCTACAACTGTTGTATGACAGTCAATAAGTGCTCAGACAGTCGGAGGATTTTGTTTTAGCCCAGCACTGAAGGGCTACTCCCTTGCAGATTCAAGCTTTTTTCATGTGTGACATACTGTAGTTCTCAAAGGGTAAGCAGCAGCTGTGTCAGTATCTACAACTTGGAGTCATGGTGTGTGACGTCGACCAGAGAGCGCGTTTGGTGGAGGTGGAATTACTTTACATACTGTAGTGGCAAGTCGAACCCCGAGCTCATGAATAAATCCTCTCTGGGGCTCTGCTGGAGTCTCCGTTAGAATAGCCGTGTATTCACAACAAGTCCATGTTTCTGTGTGCTTGTTTTCAGATGGAAGTGGCAGCACAAGATGTGCAGTTGGAAATGGTTGGCCAATCTATGAAAGTCCTGAAGAACATGGGTCAGGAAATGAACTCAGAGCTGCAAGTTCAAAACCAGTAAGTGGATATTTCTGACATATTGTTCAGTGTGAACAATCTTTGCACGAATTGCACTTCCATCTGTGCACTTTTGAACGTCAACAAGAGTTCATACCCCCCCCCCCCAGAGTGTGCAACTCCACTATGGGTGCTGCCCCGGCAGAATTTCAAACTGACGTCATGTTTATGATGCGATGCGCATTGTACACATATAATGAGACATGTCCTGGACCTGTGGTGGGCAAATCCGGCTTGATCTTGTACAAGGAAACATGTGTGATGCGCTGCCACTCCATACAACTATCGTTAATCACTCGTGCGAAGACAATTGCGTCATAAAAAAACGACGTCAACTTGAAATTCTGCCGGACAGTACGGTTTGTGGGATTTGCACACTCTTGACGTCGATCAGTGTGACAGACTCTTAATTTAATGTCTTGAACTAGCCGTAAAATTCGTAATTTGTGCACCCTCAGCATACATAGGCGTGAAGTGGGTCCACGGCTTTTCCCTCAATGGACCCAAATGTGTTGGAAAACGTGACGCATGGAATAAGTGCGTGCTTGCTGTTTTGTTCTTGTCTGTTGTTTTTTTCCTCATTTTCTTCGCGTATTTTATTTTGATTCCGTCTTGTCACATCCATCGCTACTACCATGCTCGTGCTGTTGGGTCTGTGTAGTTCATAGCTGTGTGGTGTAGACCGGGCTGAATAGTGGCGGTCACTCCTTCAGCCTTGCAAGCTGTTGAATGGTGCAATTATCCCTGCGCAAGTTGCTATGGCTTCTGCTGTAGCATCGCTATCATCGCCTCTGGTGATGGGCGTCAAATGGTAAAAAAAATGGTGTAGTTCATCCCTGAATTTCTGTGTTGGGTTTTGCCGCTTGCCCTTTCAGGATGCTGGATGAGTTTGTGGGTGAAGTTGACCAGACACAGTCTCGCTTGGACTGGACTCTTCTCCGCCTGGAGAAAGTGATGCGTCTGACCACTGATAGACGGCAGATGTGCATCATATTCGCCCTCCTTGTTATGCTCGTAGTCATTGTTCTGCTGTTCGCGTTCACTCTGTAAATATCATAATCCTTTAGAGAGTCCTTCTTGCTCACTGCTGTGTATATAGCGCTGACTGTACATATACTCTCTGATGCTCCTTCTGAGCAGCAGTCTTTACCATGATGTCCAATCTTATTTATGCTGCTCTATCCGTACAATTCTGAGTCTTTATGGTAACATTGACGCTGTAACTTGACTATTCTTCTCGTGTTTGTGAAGCTTGAGACAGTGCTGTCATTTCGTTTATGCCAGGATGACGATTGCTGCTACTTATACCGCTTACTCCCAGATGCACATACGCCCCGCTTGATCTATTTTACTGCTTTCCCAAGCCAAACGTCCCGGTGGTGGTGGCACCATGTTGAGCACTACTAATATTCAGCCATATTAATTTAGTTGACACACGCCGCTCGTGATAGGACGAGTGCGTGTATGCACTGCTTACACACTATTTGTAGTATTCTATAATTATCTTTTTAGATGACCGGTCCTACTTGATCATTGGTGTCGTCGTATGTCTCTCAAACACAGTAAAGTGCTTTTCACCAAATTCTGAAATTCTAGTTTTTTTTAGGATACATGGACCAAATTGAGTTCATAGTTGCACTATAGTCTGTTTATTTTTTTTAGTCTCATTTTTTCAATTAGACGTACTCTTGCTTGTACTTGGTGTTGATAAACAAAGGAACGTTAATGCCAGATTTACTCGTTTTGACTCTGAAATGCAATGCGATGCGTTTGTGTGATGTATGTGCATGTTGGAACTCATTTCCATTCACCTTTTCGTGCTTTTGATGATGATGACCTGGGCGAAACGCTAGTTATCTTCCTTTCCAGAGCTGAGTGTCCTGCACCACTTCCACTGTGTATGTCTGTCGCAGCATTCATCACACATAAACTGCTCAGATTTGAAATGTCTGTAGTGACATTGGGATTGTAAATTGCATGTGTAGGTAAGGGAGGCCCAAGTTGCCTGGCATGTTCTTAGATTTTCAAAACTCCGAACAAAATGTGCCTGGCAGTATATAACTTATACCGTCAACTTCGCTAATAACGACAATTCGCGAATAACGACAGAATTTTCATGCCCAGAGCAAAGTCCCATCCAACTGTAACACATAATTATAATAATTTTAATGAGACTTTGGGTATACCGACACTTCGCGAATAACGACACTTTTCTGATGCCCCGCCGAGTGTCGTTCTAAGCGAAGGTGACTGTACCGGTATAATAACTATCAGTAAGTTCAGCTTTTCAGTCACATGTACTTTTCTGAGTTGACAATTCATTTTAGTTTGCACCTGACTATAATCTTTAGTCTTTCATGGTGTCAGTCAGAACTTGAGTGGAGCAATGCCTCATTGCAGCATGTCCCCACCGCCACACTTCCACTGTCGCTGGTAATTAAAACAGTTGTGATAACACAAATGCTAGATGACCATGGAATACCGTAGAAAACGAGAGCATGCATATTGGTCACAGCTAACTTTCAGGCACGAACCAATTTTCGGACCTATAAAGCAATTTACTAGTAGTGGAGAAGTTATTTTTCTCTAGTGAATGTCATCATAGTTATAGGATGAACATGCACATGCGCATGACATGATGCTGCTTTTTGCATGCACAAACCATATCGGCAGTATGTTTATTCACCTCTATTGGGCTATTTTTAAAGCTTGACTTCAACAGACAGAGTCAAAAGGATGAAGGGGTGTTTAATAATTATTCCAAGCATGTGCGTGATACCGGTAGTACAGTCAGATCTCGCTTGTCCGGTCCTCTTTTATCCGGATCCCTCACCATCCGGAAGAAAGTCGTTGGTTACCGATTTACAGCATATGCCATGCATACATACAGTATGTGTGTTTGATTATCCGGTTCCCTCGCCTATCCGGATACTGTATTTTTTGTGGAAAACGGATGTGAATATCAGAGTCCGCAGTTACAGTAGTTTGTTATGTACTCTTGATATAACATTATTACCGCATTTATGTGTATATAATTGTACATGTATAGTTGTAGTTGCCGTATATGCACTGGGCATACATGATAATTATAATACTACATGCAAGAGTAAAGAAGCTCCTGGGAACTTATAATAACACTCCTGGTATCGGCAAATATAACAATGTTATATATTATGGAACGTACACATGCATGGAGAACAAATCTTCCAGGATCGATCGAGCCAACCCTAGAATTCAAAGGCATCGGCCAGTCCAGGTACACGTCTTCTATGCACCAACTCAACTGAAACAATAGGACAGGTTTTAACAGTATGATTAAGCGTGCAGTTTACGAATGACTTTCACTGTAGTTATCAATCCAGGACTCATGCGGTACTCAAATCACGAAAATAATAGTTAGCATATGTACAGCTCTAGCACTGAAGAAAACTCGAGGAGAGTTGCAATACAAGGCAGCAGATGCAAGCCAGCTGAAAACACTTTCAAAACAGGACAATGTAAACAAACAGAACCTCTACATGATTGGCGAAGACTGCATGTCAAGCCTTGCCCGTCAGGCAAAGCAAGATGACAAACAGTAGCTGTTACTATAAATAGGAAAATGGATTCAATTGAAGGAAAATAAGGAGCGGTAAAGAGAATAGTGGCATATATATACAAATACAACGCTAGCGCAACAGCACTTGTATTCCACGAACGAAGGGGGAGGGGGAACGTGGCTTAGCCTGAAGTGTTCAGTAAATGTCCGCAGATGAGTCACCTTCTACTGCCACTGCAAATCGATTAGTCGGCAAAATACCAAGACATTTCTGAACAACATCAACGGTGATTCGTGTAGCCCCAATTTCAAGACAAAATTTAATCATTTTTTAGAAATTCTTGAGATATTCCTCAGCACAGATACGAGCCCTGGCGTTCACTGTCAGCTTCATCTCACTGATCTCCTTGTCAATGTCCTCCATAAACTGAATGACGAAATCCACCAACTTGTGCTTGTACATCTGCTCGGTGTGGAAGTTGGTGATCAAAAAGCTAATATCATATCCCTCCACAGGCTTTCTTCTGAGAATGAAGAAATTGTCGGCTCGCATCATCATGAAACGCATGAACTTGTGGCATAAGATCTTCTCGATCTCATCAGCCTGCTTGATAGAAATGCTAACACGCATGGAGTTGACAGATCCCTCAACCAGAACCTTCTCCTTCTCATTACGGCTCACAATTACAGGTGTCAACAGAAGTTCTTTACTGCTGCGTACCTCCACTTCGGGTTTGTTGTGTCTTTCTACAATCTGCGATGAGAAATTTTCTAAGCACATCGTAGCCGTGAGCGTCGCACGGACAGCATTCAGGTAAGGCTTTAGCGTGGCTGACATACTGCTAAAAGAAGGAAGAACTTCTTGCACAAAATCAAGGTATTCTCAACGACTACGTCCACCCTGTTGCGTTTTCTCACAAAGCACTACATCAAGGAGATCAAGGCAAGATCAACGCGAAGGCAGCTCTAGCCTCTACTACAACAAACACTGCCGCTCTAGCTAGCTCTGCACTGCAGAGTACTGCAGACGCGAAGCGACATCACGTGACATGCACAGACTCAGTCTGTGCAGTGTGCACTAAATGTGACTAATACTCGTGCTCAGTAGCGCTAGCATTGCGTGATTAGCTAGCACGTCACCTCATGTGACGTCATGACTGTGACAGTGTACGTGTACGAGCGAACGCTCGAGCGCGAGCGCTGGCCACGCCAGTGATCGTGAATGCGCGGCCGCACGGTACGGAAGGTATAAATGCAGCTTCTTTTCTTCAGTTGGGTCAGTTGTGAGAGTACTCCTTTGGGTGTGCTTTAGATATCGCCTTTCTTTGTTTTTATCAACAATCACCCTGCACGTGTATTAGATTGAAAGTTCTCTAGGTAGCTCCAGTTGAAATAAAGCTGATAAAAATTCAGCCTGCTGATTTCGTAGCTTACTGACTCCGGTTGGTGAGCTGGCTCAGCCTCAGGACCTTCAAGCGGCAAACACAACTTTTCACGAACATCCTGCTCTATTATTCAACGATTCATTGTATTGAAATGGCTGCTCAAGCGAGGCAAGTTTGCTACGAATGAATGTAGGAGAATCATGGCAGTTTTGAAAATGTCCAGTATTTACTGTGCGTGCTTTTTGCTCGTGCAGAAGCTCGGCTTCAGGTGGTTCTCGAGGTCTTGTTCAAATCAAATGTCCAAACCACCCGAACGCTGATCTAATTGAAGACTACCGTGCTGGCGATGTGGTGTGCAGGGAATGTGGACTAGTGGTTGGAGACAGGTAACTTCCACTTCTTACAGGCAAATAATAACCATCAAACGTGTAATTTTGTTGTAGCACTATCGCTAAAATGCTATCTGCACTTTTGGAACTGGTTGCTTTTTTTGCTTAGAATGAAACAAAGTAATGATGAACCTATCATCAAGACAAGAGTCCATAAACAAGAGTATGCAACTGTGATCTCTTTTCTATGGGCCAGATGCGCGGCGCGCTGCCTTCATTACATCATTCAGCTGCAGTCCGTGCACTGCGGAAAATCAAACACCGCACTTTCCCTCTGGTTTGAAATGAACTTTCGTACGGAACTGGAGTTCACGCGCCAGAATTTAGAGATCGCGTAGGTACTGGAATGAATCGAGCAAAAACGGATGGGCTCGTACGAGAAATTGTGAGTTTGAATGCATGCTTTCAGAGCGTGATGAAGGCAAGTTACGCAATGAAGGCAGCGCACCGCGCACTGACCCATCACCACAGTTGCATACTCTTGTTTATGCACTCTTGCTATCATGCCTCCCTCAATCTTATGAATAACATATCATGCCAGGATTAATCTGCGGAAAATCAAAATCCTGTGCGCCTTGACACTAAGTGCAGTCAACTACAGTAAATCTGTGTATCGCCTATTAAGTTGGCAGATTATAATTATATTATCACTTCTAGTGATGCCAGTTTCAACTTCATTCTCCTGAACCCCAAAGGAGGACGAAATGTTACGAGTTATGAACTGTCCACCAACGTAACCAGATCTTAAACAGTCAGCGAGTGCGACAAAATGGCACAAAACTGACAAGGAGTACTCTCGCACTCGCTGACTGTATAAGATCTGGTTACGTTGTTGGACAATTAGTCATAGCTCGTAACATTTGTCCTCCTTTTTTCATCATAATTTATTTGGCTCACAATCCGAGTTACACAATGATGCAGTGTGTACAAACACGTCAGATGAAATGGGTGGCGCACATGACCTGCAAATAACCAAAAAGTCCCTTTAAAGCGCCTAGTTCTTCCAGAAAATTTGTACGGATGACATCACAATGACATTGTGCATGTGGTGTATACGACCGTTTTCGACTGTAGCAATTATGACATCAGTCCGTGACATGGGGAAGTCTAGCGGGCTCCAGATACACTTCAACCACTGACTTTCTAGCTTTGTGCTACACAATTCTTATTTCACACCAAATCCATATAGCAAGAAGCTTCATGTTTCTTTAGAACCACAGGAAAGCTCGAACGATCGGCTACACCAGGCTATTGCTGCAATCATCAACATTCAAACTTTACATGTGAACATGTGACTTTAGAGCCTACCCTAGATTGTCGGCAAGGCGCAATAGATAGCAGAAAGTGCCATCTAATTGGATGTGGACATTGTGTAGGCTGTCCCCTTGGAAAAAACGCGATTTCACGGCCGCGGCAAATTTCGCAGAAGTTGCCATCATCCGCGGAAATCACGGAATCCACACTTTTGCCCGCGGAATCTGAATTTTTTAGGGTAAATTACTAAAATTACTACTCAGAAAGCAGCAGAAAACTACTTTGCGACTGTTTGAGCACATTTCTCTTGCCAGTGCAGGTCTCTCCAAGATTCTTCGCTCTTATTCAGTTTGTGACTGCAAAGGATAGTATGAAAAGTGCTCCTTCATGCGACTAATTGTCATATCCTCTACGAGGAGGGTGAAAAACTTGCAGAAAGTGCCGCAGATTTTTGATTTTACCGCAGAAAATGCCGCAGAAAACCCCCCTTTTCCCCGCGGAATTTGCCGCGGAATTTTGAATTCTTCGCCGCGTTTTTCCAAAGGGATAGTGTAGGTTAATACTAGGGCTCAAACGGTTAGTCCGATTAACCGGTTGCAGACCGGTTACGAAGAATTAACGGTTAACCGATAAAGATAACGGTTACGCAGTAACTTTTCAGTCAATTTTTCAAGTACCAGGTCGTTGCAACGTATGCACTTTCGCAGGCTGTCGCACGCGTACGCAATTTCTGGGCTGTAAACTCGGTCGTATCTGGTCTCTTGGTGTGAGAGTATGTATGAATGAGCATGCAAGCGAATGTACATGTGTGCGTTGTACTGAATGGGGTACATTTTTTTGAATGAGTATAGTCAAATATACGGTTAAAAAAGAGTCCCTAGGATTGCCATGGCTTATAGGTTATAACCGTTAAACCGACCGTTAGCTTAGCAGTTAACCGTTAGGGATAAAACCGTGACCGTTTGAGCCCTAGTTAATACCCACCAGCCCCGAGCTTCAATGCGACTACACGGGCACGAAATCCCACAGGGTCTCTTGGGGTGGAACATTTCCTGCTGGGAAATTGGAGCCGCCTCGTGTTTGGAAGGTCAATGCTTCTGTATCATAGGAAGAATGGCATGACTCCAGTTTATTGTTTGCAGCACGCCCGTTTACAGTTTGTTTATTTTATTGTCTTTTTCTATCTAATACATTGAGTTTTCATTCTCTTTGGATCAGGGTTGTGGATGTAGGATCAGAATGGAGAACCTTTTCCAATGAGAAGGCTCAGGGTGATCCGTCTCGTGTTGGTGCTGCCGAGGTGAGGTCCCGTCACTCAATCTCTCTCTCTCTCTCTCTCTCTCTCCCTCTCGTATCTCTCTCGTCTCTCTCTCTCTCGTCTCTCTCTCTCTCTCTCTCTCTCTCTCTCTCTCGTATCTCTCTCGTCTCTCTCTCTCTCTCTCTCTCTCGTATCTCGTCTCTCTCTCTCTCTCTCTCCCTCTCTCTCTCGTATCTCTCTCTCGTATCTCTCTTTTTCTCGTCTCTTCTCTTGGTAGGATCACACATTGCTTTGATGGAAATGCAAGAACAATATAGTTTGCCGTGTGGACTCTACCCAAACGTGACTATGTGCATGAGCATTATGTTCTCTCCCAAGTGATTGTGAATTTGTCATTATTGCTGCCGGATGAGCAATGGTCTGTCGTAAAACTTTCTTTTGCTCTTCTTCAGTTAAGATGGTTAGCCACATACATCCTGTGAAGTATTTGTTCTTAGCTGTGCGTGTGTTTTCTCATGCTTGCATTTCTTTCAGAACCCACTGCTGGATGGCCATGATTTGTCTACATCGATTGGTACCATTCGTGGAGATGATACTTTGCGTAGGCTGCAGAACAGAAATGTACGTACTAGCCCTTTGATGGCGAATGTTTTCAATGAATGGAACGTATGCATCCATTTCCCGCCGTTAGGTTTTGCGGGGCAAGTCCACTACAACCGTACACACTGTAATACCAACTCTGCATAAAAAGGTCATGAACTTTGTATGGTCATACTCATAAATGTACTAGAACGGGGTGTACCTGCCAAAAAGGAAGCAACTTGCCCTGCGAAAAGGTGACGACCATCTTCGATGCATACCTCCTATTGAAGGCCAACTCTACATCTTTACTGTTCCTGCCGGTTGCTGCTCCTGTTGTTTGCTGTTGGAGAGCGGTTTGATAATGGATTCCTTTCATATCCACTTTCTGGACCATTATCGTCCCTTCTGACTGTTCCCTTCTGACTGTTCCAAGGTTGGCTTGTCGGCATGAATGATTTGCTGTGCCCGGCATTACACGCAGGCTTACCATAACTAACAGACTTAGGTTTGTAGGTATTGTGTTGTGCTGTGACAATGCAGTGTTCTTATGATCTGTGCATGGGCTCGTGTGTGTTGATTTGCTCTGCTTTAATTGAGCGTGTCTCTTTCCTCTGACTATCTGCAGCCGTCCGGTCCAGACCGTGCCCTCATGTCTGCATTTAGGGAGATCTCGAACATGGCGGAGCGTCTCAACCTGCCACATTCGATCATGGTGCGTTTATGCCAGGGATGGCGACAGCCCTAACTTGATACCATGCTTTACCTTTTAGTGGTCTTGTAAAGGAAGATCCTTGCATATCGAGCAATTCCTGGATATGATTTGCCTGCCTGTGCACACAAAGGAAGTCCTGTAGCATGGCCTTGCTCTTTTTGCCGAATCTGCGTATTTTCCCTGATCTTGTGCTCTTGCGTTTGTTGTTGTGCTGTAGGACCGGTGCAATGTCCTGTTCAAGCAGGTACATCAAGAGAAGCACTTGAGAGGGCGGACAAACGATGCCATTGCCTCTGCGTGCCTCTTCATTGCATGTCGGCAGGACAACTGTCCACGGACATTCAAGGGTAGGTACTGATTGATGATTCACTCCACGCGATACACCGAAGACCAAAGACAATCAATGTGGCTGTACTGCTACCCCCTTGTTTATATTCAAAGCTCTCCACTGGTAATATCGCTCTGCCTAGAATGAGGAAACTGACCCGAAAAAAAGGGAGAGTGTGTAGGGTTTTTTTCCGAACATTCTGTGCCCCACCCCTGGATCCATCAGTGAATTATGGTACTCAAGATTAGCAACATGATGAGGAGCCATACATGTATCTTATGTTCTTCTTCTGCTGTGCCCGCTCTCGCTGTCTTTGTGTACAGAAATTTGCGCTGTGTCTAAAGTGTCGAAGAAAGAAATTGGCCGATGCTTCAAGCTCATTCTGAGAGCGCTGGAGACTACTGTTGACCCTGCAGGCGCTGGAGACTTCATGGTAATGAATTATTTAGCATATTAAAAGTTGCACTATAACAGCTCTGCATATACATATTCTGTATTCCTGTATGGCTTGTATCTGCACTGCAAGTTCCACCTGCAAGCCATGGGTTAAGGAGGGTTTTGCTGGGTATAACTCCACACGCTCATGCTATTTGATAATTGCTTTTCATCCTTGAGGCTAGTATTAAAGAGAGAAATGTTCTTCAATGCCTGCATTGGTATCGCAGATGAGAGAAGTTTGCTCGAACACTGTGTTTCAGTCTGTTGCTCGTCTGTGTCTTTTTTGTACACTCGTCTGTAGGCTCGTTTCTGCAGCAACTTGGGTCTACCTCTGAAGATCCAGCGGGCTGCCAGTCACATTGCCACTGAGGCCAATCGCCTAGACCTTTGCCCTGGGTAAGTGGGCCAGGATCAGTACTCTAAAACCTGTGTGTTAGGTGCCCACTGTAATACCTCTGTACACCCCTCAGCTATGATTCGGCATATCCTGGGACTTTTCACTCAATATTTCCTCTGCCTCGGGATCCGTTGTATATGCATACGACAAGCTGTGGGCTGTTGTGCGGTACTTTTTTTGCCAATACAGGAAGGTCTATACATCTGTAGCAGCAGCTGCTATCTACATGGCATCACAAGCCTCGGAGACGAAGAAAACACAAAAAGGTAAGGTTTGCTAGCAGCGAGCGGTGTATTACTCCATTGTTTTGCTTTGCATGCTTGGGTGGGTAGCTTGCACAGCATGCACTGGTGTTTCATAGCTTGCACAGTAGGCACAGGTGTTTCGTAGCTGTCCTTTTGAAAGTGTGTGCTAGGACAGTGAAATTCACCCCTTGAATACAATACCACTATGCTGTGCTGCACAGCTTTTGCATTGCACTGTCCTGCGCTAAAATCCTCGTCTTTTCACACGTCCCCGTAAAATAAGTCTTGACAAAATTCACCGCAACGCTCTCGGAAATCTACCGTTTCGGCACTGAAAGCTGCTGTGCATGCGCAGTAATGTCCACAAGCGCCCATGTCACAAAAAACGCCCATCCCCGGCTGGTCCGTACGATTTTCGCAAGGCGGGTGTTTTATTTGTCCTTCTGACAGAAAAAAGGTTGAATTCTTACGAGAACAACTGTACCGCCTTTGTCTTACCAGGCGGCCCTTGCACAAGTGATTGCCATTATCCTGCATCAAAGAATACATCACCTCCCACCGCTTTAGGAGCTGCATCTGCACCTTGATCCTTGAAGGGTGGTGGCGTTCCTACGGATGCGGGAAGCCCGGCTTCCAGCCGAGTCTCACGCGAACCGTGAATTTTTTTTAAAGGAAAACATACAGTTGAGATTTCTTTTCATTTGATAAAATGAGTCTTCTTTGTATCAGTTCCTTTGCCATGTCAAAGTGCCATAGAATTTACGTGGAATTTGAATGCAGTGCTGTCTGGACGCAGCAGCGATTTACCCAAAATAGAATGGTTCTTGCGGAGCATCAGCGACTTACCCGGTGGCAGTCGCCAGGGGAACAGGGAGAATAACGTCACAGCGAGGACGAAAAGAGCGTGGACAGAAGCGATAGTCATTGCTTGCTTGTTGAAAACTCTGAAGTACTTTGTCATTGCGTGGTTGAGAAGTGATGGCTTGAGCCTTCATCCGAAATGTATTTTGTTCCTTGTGTACTGACTGTGTAGCTAGTGCCAGACGTGTGTGTGTGTGTGTGTGTTCCCGTACATTTTGTTCCTAGTTCGTATTATTACCTGCAATCAGCTTATCATTCTGTGTGCGTGTGTGTCCCCTGCAGAGGTTGGTGATGTTGTTGGTGTAGCTGATGTCACCATCCGTGCAGCTTACAGGAGCATGTATCCGCGGAGAGTCGAGCTCTTTCCACAGGGAGTGGAATTCACGACTGCTCCGCAGAACTTGCCACCCATTTAAACCCACACCGTACTCTCTACAGGCTGTGCAAACACTGTACTAGGTACGCCGAGGCCTAAGAATACCCTCAAATTAAAAAAATTAAAAAAACCGTGCATTGTATTTATTACTACAGATTTGTTGTGCGATCTGCTGATCTACCTGTCTGTGAACTCCTCCTGTCTCACGTTTTTATACCATTATGTTCCTATCAAACAAACATCATTCTGACGAAGAAGAAAAAAATCATAATTATCACACATCCCGTCCGTGCAATTCTGCAGGTCTATGACATTCATTCAAAGGGCGTTGGCCCAAGTCTAGCATCTCTCATAATAAAAAAGTGTAGGCGCCTGTTTGCCACCAGTGCGAAACCATACTAAGTTATTTCCCTTCGTGAAGCATGTTGTTGTCTTGTCAAGGTGTTTCTTCGTTTATTTTTTTATGTTTTTTTACTGTCTTATCAAGCTAGTTCCTTGTGGACTTTCACATTTTTAAAGAAATTACATAGCATTGTTTTCTCAAGCCAACACCCAAACTGCTTTTCTCAGAAAGGCAAAGGCAGTGATTGCCTCTTCTCTTGGGTTTAGCTTGCTTTACATTGCGTGTTGCTTTCAATCCTATTTTAACCTTTTTTTTGTTTTCTTGAACTCTAACCCTTGCTATTGTTGGGGCAAGTAGGTGTCCCTATGCTTTATGTATTCCGTTCTTCTTGCGTGGTGTGGCAATACTTGGACCAAAACATACCAAAATATATATTTGTGTGGTGTCTGTTGGTTGTGTTTCTATCAATAATAACTATTTTGTGATGTAATTGGTGAGTGCTGTGGTTGCCCTGTGCTACTCATGCATGTGAAGGTGGAGTTTATGTGTACGTGCATCTCAGGAAAACGTCTGAGGTTTATTGCAGCAGAATCCAAGCTTATTTCCTCAGCGGGACATGGTACTGCACACATGTGGGTGCTACAGATGTCAGATGCTTGTGCACAACTTACTTGCCACAAGGCAATGCCAGATCTGCTTGTAAAGTCATGCAGTACAATTCACAACTGACATACTTGTTGGTACCCGATAGTTTTCGGTTAGCGTAAATCAGTCATGTTTGGATTTACACAATCCCATGCAGACCTAGAAATGAGGCTAGAATACCTGCTCTAAATGTATGTATGTCCCGCGTCTTCATCCATTTCCTGCATCGGCTCTATCAAAAGTGCGTCTTGGTAATCCTGGTAATGAGGCTAACCCACATGTACATGTGCATGTACCATGAGGTTCCAGACGCACAAATTTGCACATGACGGCGTGATCTTGCACAACGCTTTCGGGCAAATACATGTTGCACAACCAAAAGGGCTATAGCGCTAAAGATATAATTAACTGCCTGCAAAAAGTCCAGGCTGTGTAAAATAATTGGAAGTCATAATGCCATTAATGGGTAGGGTCTGGCTAAATATTAGAATCAGGCAAAACAAGGAGTTAGTTATGGCTTACATTAAAAAAATTGAAAATCGCGTCCACTAAGTCGGTGAATAGTAGGTAGGCTCTGCCAAAGTCAATCTGCTGTATGATAATCTGCGGTGCTCAGCACCCACAATGGCCACATGCATACACACACGTCAGTTTTAGAAATTCTTGAGGTACTCTTCAGCACAGATACGAGCCCTGGCGTTCACTGTCAGCTTCATCTCACTGATCTCCTTGTCAATGTCCTCCATGAACTGAATGACGAAATCCACCAACTTGTGCTTGTACATCTGCTCGGTGTGGAAGTTGGTGATCAAAAAGCTAATATCATATCCCTCCACAGGCTTTCTTCTGAGAATGAAGAAATTGTCGGCTCGCATCATCATGAAACGCATGAACTTGTGGCACAAGATCTTCTCGATCTCATCAGCCTGCTTGATAGCAATGCTAACACGCATGGAGTTGACAGATCCCTCAACCAGAACCTTCTCCTTCTCATTACGGCTCACAATAACTGGGGTCAACAGAAGTTCTTTGCTGCTACGAACCTCCACTTCGGGTTTGTTGTGTCTCTCCACGATTTGGGATGAGAAATTTTCTAAGCACATCGTAGCCGTGAGTGTGGCACGGACAGCATTAAGGTATGGCTTCAGTGTGGCCGACATCCTGGCGTGCTTTCAAAAGAAGACGGCTCTAGTCTTCTAGCCTGCTACAAACAGGATTTCAACGCCCATTTACAAAATCAAAAACTGCAGTATCTCATGCAGTGCATGTGCCTTTCATTTCTGGCAAGCAAGGCACTGCACTATGCGCACATGTACATGCATGCACTGTACGAGTACTGAGAAGGCCAAGGACATCGATTATATCGACAGTCGCTCACTTGCACTCTCGATCTCGTAGATCTACGTAGTAAAAAACTTAAAGGGGAAGTATACCCTAAAATCAAATTTTCACCAGTTGTAGTCTTCGGGGTGCTGAGTCGAATGGTCTTGGTCCGAGGAAGCTGAGACGCTCCCTTCCTACTTGAATCCCAATCGAACTCGCGCACTTCCACCGAAACTGGGTGACTGCGCCCTACTAGATGGGGATTTGTATGCAAAATGTCACTAAAAGCGCCATTTCGTTCTTATAAAAGCACGGATGACCGCGATTGGCCCATATGTTGTAGTCTTTTGGACGCTGAGTCGACTGGTTTTGGTCCGAAAAGGCTGCGATGCAGCGTTCCTCCTTTATTCCCAATCGAACATGGTTGAAGAAGCGGTCACGTGCTCCTGGGTGCCCAAATCACCTGGTCACCGCGCCAGCAGGCGACAACTTTCACACCAAGGTTCAACTCGAGTAACAGGACTGCAACCAAAAAAGGTCAAACAGGCTAGTAAGTTGTACCCTGCAGGCACGGTGACCAGGTGACTGGTGTACGCAGAAGCACGTGACCGCTTGTTCAACCATGTTCGATTGGGAATAAAGGAGGAACGCTGCATCGCAGCCTTTTCGGACCAAAACCAGTCGACTCAGCGTCCAAAAGACTACAACATATGGGCCAATCGCGGTCATCCGTGCTTTTATAAGAACGAAATGACGCTTTTAGTGACATTTTGCATACAAATCCCCATCTAGTAGGGCGCAGTCACCCAGTTTCGGTGGAAGTGCGCGAGTTCGATTGGGATTCAAGTAGGAAGGGAGCGTCTCAGCTTCCTCGGACCAAGACCATTCGACTCAGCACCCCGAAGACTACAACTGGTGAAAATTTGATTTTAGGGTATACTTCCCCTTTAAAATGACGCGGCGCTTGATCTTGGGTACCGGGTACGTCGTCATGTCGTCATGCTGGCCGCGGTCGCAAGTGATCGACGCGGATTTTCTGGAAGAAAAGTACAGACTCAGTACATACACTGTACCAGGCCAGGGTAGGTCTACACGTATGGTACAGACTAGCGCAACCAGAACCCACGAACATTCGAATCAGCTCTGGAACGAAAATAAAGCACTTGACACTCTTGACTCGTGACTCTTTACCATCTTGTCTTCGTCTTTCCTGGCTTCCCGGTCTTCCCGGTACTGCATTTTGATTTTTGTGGCAGAGACAGTCAGTTTTGGCCACAAAGACCGGTAGAGTGACTCAGTCTACGGAGAGACCGGCTGACCACGTTGAAGCAACTGGGACTTGTTTTCTGGCGTAGACCGGCACGGCTACCAGGCGCAGGCATCAACGTCTTTTCGAACCGTAAGGAAGCTGCTTGTACTTTGTGGTAATGCTTGAATTTTCTTTCGAAGTACATGTAGTGTACCTGTTATGTACCTGTATCTGTATTTGCTTCTATACTAGACTATAGTAGACCATGCTCATGCAGTATACAATCATGTCCATGTAGTATGATACGACCTCCTGGAAATCCTGCGAAAATTTATAGCTTGTCCTGATGTCCTGATATTGAACACTGACATAAAGCGCCATGTTCAATACCGTGAATACCGGTGGTATCATGAGTCAAGATAACAATGGGAGCCGCCGGGAGGGGTAAATGTACCGAATTATTGGCGGCAACCCCGTTCCCGGGGCCGTGATCCTCACTTCAGGTTTTTACCGTACCGTTTCTATGGTTGCAGCCAATGAGCGACGTTCCCGCGGTGGCCTTGATGAGCCGAGAAAGGTCACCTATAGAAATACGGTAGCAATAAAGCCCGTCGTCAATGACACCCCGTACTCTGTCAGCCTAGCTCGGCGGGGGTCTGTGTCAGTTTTTCGGCGTCAGCTCAGTTCGCATCTCACCTTCGGCTAGCTGTGAACATGCTCCGGTACCCCTGGAAACAGCCTGTCCAAAAATGGGTTTTTTCCACCACGGAACACAAGCCTCTTTTACAGGCAAACAGAATACAATTCACGGTGGCATGGTGAATGATTAGAACACAACACCAAAAAATGAAAACAATTGTATGTGTAAAATTCAACTCGTAACATTTTTTCCTTCTTTGTCACCATAATTATATGTGTAAACAGTTTTTTTTATAACAGTGTACCCAAGCCTCTTGTACGGGCAACAATACACACAAGGGCAACCTCAACATGCAGGAAATGAGCTAAAATGGAGCCACAAGCGCAACCTCAACATGCAGGAAATGAGCTAAAATGGAGGAAATGAACACAAGCGCAACCTCAACAGCTAAACGTATGGTGCATGGCTAGCTAGCGTTCAAGTGCAGCCTCCACGGCAACCAGTGACACCGGTGAGGAAACATCGTGAGACACTCTGAGGGAATGCTCTTGTATAGAGCTGCGCAGCGACGACCCATTCCACCAGTGGTTGTGAAAACAGCCGGGACGAACGGCATGTGCTCAATATCAAGTATTCTCTGCTCATACTGGCGGTGCCTTTCCTTCTCCTGCCTGGTGTAGGCGGAGGCAAGTGAGGCAGTGCGATTTGAAGACGCGAAGGTGTTAAAAACCCGTACATCAATGAAGGTGCGTTCAAATCGACCACCCCAAATGCCACTCGCGGCTACATCCAGGCGGGCTTGGTCAGCCGTGATAGCGGATCAATGGCGGAACTGTTCACCAGTAACCGGCTGCAGATGGGGCTCAACAGAGACGTTGTGCACCACACGCCTCAAGAGGGAGGCGGTGACGTCCCGCACCTCGTTATGCCGAATGGATGGGAAGCCCCCATTCAGGCATGACAGGGCATGGCATACGGAGAAGGAGGAGCCACAGGCACAGGTAGACGGCAAGCGCGGAGGCAGCCAGTTGTAGCGTAGGTGGATGCCATCACGAAACTCACCCTTCGACAGGACTAGGCCGTGACGTCGGATGGGCCTGCAGGTTAGCCAGCTTGAGGCTCTTTTCTGACCAGCGAGAGCTAGAACCTGTTGGAAGTCAGGGTCAAGCAAGACCGAGAGAAAGACGACAGCTGCACGAGCCGAATTGGCGGCGCTGGCCTTCACTTTCCTCTTCTTGGCGCGCACCTCCATGATGGCATTACCCACGTCCCTGTCCTGTGCGAGAATTTGACTAGACAGTGGGCCGGTGATCTCACGAGACGATGTGTTTTGCGCGCCAAGAGAGGATGGGTGGGGGAGTCCCAAACCACCATGCCGGCAGGGCAAAGGAAGAACCTCACGCTCAGTGGTACTGACGTTGCGTCCACTCTTGATGCAAGCACAGCCAACACAGGAGCCTTTGCCGTCGCACCGACAACATTGGTGGCCACCCTGCATGGCGCGCTTGGCGATATGACGCGCACCGCACTGAAACCAATCGAAGATCTGCTCAAAAACCCGGAGCTGCAAAAAACTCAACTAATCTCAAAGAGAGTACGTAGATCTGAGTAACTACAAAATGCAAACTAATAACGTAACTAATTGTAAAGTTTCTCTGGAGATAAAAAAGATATTAACAAACGTTCAAGGACAATACATGACATGACTTGTTGTAGTTTTGCTAATGGTGTTTGCACTGAGTGCGCAACTCACTCTTTCCATTGCGTTAATAACTAATTATGTTATTATTTACCTGTTCAGCGAATAGTAACGTCAATAATAGAAGTACTTGTGTGTGGATGTGTGCGTGCAATTGTGCCGGTCTTCCCAGATTGTAATGTCAGAAGGGCTTGAACAAGCAACAAGCAGCACGCCACAGTGTGAGCAACAGCAGCATCAGGAACTAACGGATATGTCCACGGATGCCGAACCATATATTAAACACGTTTTTGTCCCTCAGGTACTGTCAATAGCATACTGTTTAATTCAATGTATGTTTGCAATAAAAACCCGTGGTATGGCTTGTATTGTTGTATGCGATTTTTTTAAACTGAAGGTGCCTTCCTTCATCTTCTGCTCCAAAATGTGATGGCGCAGATTGTTTTATTCTTGATCGCATCTAAGCTGAACTAAGAAAATTGAAACCGGAATGCGTGTACTAAACAAATTCTAACAAGAGAAACATCTGCTGGCCCCCAAACATTTGTGCTTATAGTGGAACTCTCCTAGTACGTACCCTGGTAAGGCGTACACTTGCTTGATACAGACATTGTCTGGGGCATGGGTGCGCTGCTCCATTTTGCAGTATGTTTGGATGATATCAAGAGCACATAAACAAGAGTGTACAACTCCACTTGGCTTGACCTGTGATGGAATTTTTTTTGTTGGTGTCACTTTTTCTGGAGATCATGGAGTCATACCGTACGTGGCATGTACTGCGCATCTGTGGCCACGTGAGCTCGACAGGGTTTCACTAAGCTTGTACGACGCGTACGGTAGAAAGCTACAGAAGCGGAAGAGTCCACGAAGGACGAAACAGTTCTGTCTGTAGATTAATTGAAGGGGAAGAAAAGTTAAAAATTTCGTTCTGAAAGCGGCAAAAACACAAACTCGTGATGAAGGTCATCGTCCAGCGCATGCCTTTGCGCGTTCTTTGTACATGTGCCATGGTTTCTGAAAAAGGTGACGTCAAGTCGTCAACCAAAATCATCCAGACCAGCTGCGGAGTTGCACACTCTTGTTTCTGTATAGTAACACCTGTGACTAACGACCACCCCTTGCCCTTGGGACCAGAGAAAGCGGTCTTTAGTAGCAGGTGGTCCTTAGTTAGAGGTTTCCACCGCACAACCATAATGAATGCGAGACCGTCCGTACCTGGCGAAGTGGTCTGTAGTACCAGGCTGATCGCTAGTCACGGTGGTCTGTAGAACCAGGCTGGTCGCTAGTCACGGTGGTCGGTAGTACCAGGCTGGTCGCTAGTCACGGTGGTCTGTAGTACCAGGCTGGTCGCTAGTCACGGTGGTCTTTAGTTACAGGTTTTACTGTACTTGTGAAGAAGAAGTAGCGACGACCCGGCCATTAATTCATGGAATCCAATACACCACACCACCACATTGCGCTCTTGGCCGATCCAAACTCTGCACATATTAATCTATATACCGGAATTGTCCTTGCTGTGGTGATGGTGATGTGAGTGCAGAGTTTGGATCGGCCAAGAGCGCAATGTGGTGGTGTGGTGTATTGGATTCCATAAATTTTACTGTACTCTTGACAATAATTATGTACCTTAGGTACGACTCAGTGTGAAGTCAGTACACTTCCCTGGTCCCGATCGGAGGGTGCATCTTATCAGGGTACCACTGTACTCGTGGATTACAGTCCATGCAGAAAACTAGACCACATACGCTCAGGCTGGTGACACCATCTAACAGTTGACGGCCGTGGAGATGCACACTTAGCCGAAAGTGTGCCAGGAAATCTGCACCGATAATGGGTGATGTCACATCAGCAATAATGAACACCCATTGAAACTTACGACGCAAGCCGAAAATCAACTGTTACTGAGCGTGTACCATACTGTCGCCTTCACCGACCGGCCTGGGAGTTTGACGGCTGCACAAAGGTAGCTGCTCTGGCACAGGGTGGGCCGCAGCGACGAGCGCTGTCGCCAAACTTGTGGTGATACCAGCATAATCCCGAGGACTTTCGGGACTGTGAAGAACTGCGCGAACGGCTGTAGTTTCGTGTGGGAGATCGAGATGCAGAACACCCACGAGTGCTCATATCTTGCATCTCTCTTTGGAGGGCTGCGACCTCGGCACGCAACTCCGCCAGAAGTTTAGCAACTGGTTCTGGCACAGTAACAGCACGGACATGCGGTGGCATGACTTCCATGACACGGTCAGCTAGCAGAGATAATTGCTGGATATCCGACTCACCACTGGCTGCAAGTACTACTCAACACTGATCAGGAAGTTGTTTCATGAATATCTCCTTGAGGAACTGGCTATCCACTGGAGTATCACCAGCTAGCTGCTGCAGTCTGCACAATAGGTGAGAAGGTTTCTGATCACCAAGCTCTTCAGCAGATAGGAGCTGGTTGATCCGATGCTGAGCAGAGGCAGAAGTACGCTGAACCAATGCTTCCCTCGGGTGAGTGTAAGGGCGGTCACTGGGTGGGTTCAGCAGTAAATCCCTTATCTGCATGGCCATCTCCGGTTGCAGTGCACCAACCACATGGTGGAAACGGGAGCACTCACTAGTCACTTGTATGGTAAATTGAGACTCTACCTGAACAAACCACAGAGCTGGGTCTTGCATGTAAAAGGGTGGTATCTTCAAATTAACAGTTGATACTGTCTCAGAACGAGGAGCTGGATCCGATTGTGCTGCAGCTGCAGGTTGGAATCTCGTAGCTGCATCAGCTGTAGCGGTACTTGAAGGATCAACGCTGCCATTACCGGCACTCGCCTGCACTGTCTTGTTGAGATATGGCGAGTGTAGTCGAGAAGAGAGACCTTTGCTAGAGTCACCACGAACAGGGGTGACAGATTGGTCCATTACTAAGTCCGAGGAGGACATCCGAGTTCGTTTCGAGGGGTCACCAATTGATGCGTCTAACATATCTCAATACTACAATCCACCAGGAATCCACAGGAAAATTACTCAGACTACAACGTTATTATTTTTCCGCTCCTATCTCCACAACTCAATGCTCTCAATGCTGTGTAGTGTGCATGCAGATGGGTGTTCAAGTATATTTTTCGCCAAGAACATCGAAAAGCCAAACCGCATGGCGAAGACTAATGTCTAGACTACTGAAGGATTCTCTCAATCCTTGTGCCATTACAAAGAGAAAATACGAAATGTGTAGTGCGCCATAGTTAGCGTATGTACAAACCTGTAATAATTACTAGGGCTCAAACGGTCACGGTTTTACCCCTGACGGTTAACTGCTAAGCTAACGGTCGGTTAACCGGTTATAACCTATAAGCCACGGCAATCCTGCGGACTCTTTTTTAACCGTATATTTGACTATAGACTCATTCAAAAAATGTACCCTATTCAGTACAACGCACTCTTGTACATTCTCTTGCATGCTCATTCATACACACTCTCACACCAAGAGACCAGAATGACCGAGTTGACAGCCCAGAAATTGCGTACGCGTGCGACAGCCCGCGAAAGTGCACACTTTGCAACGACCTGATACTTGAAAAATTGACTGAAAAGTTACTGCGTAACCGTTATCTTTATCGGTTAACCGTTAATTCTTCGTAATCGGTCTGCAACCGGTTAATCGGACTAATCGTTTGAGCCCTAATAATTACAACCCGCAATAAAAGGAGTACATATATCCGGCAAAGGACACGAATGGTGTACGGTAAAGGAAGACACGTGCATGCATGAGTACCCTAGCAAAAGTGGGCAAACCTAACGTAGATCCACATGGTACTAATCGAGTACCGTACGCCCGTCGCCCGGTACATATTTATGCAAAGCAACGTCACATCACATACTACTTCGAGCAGCATAAAAGAATACAAGTTTCAAAACACATGGAAAATCTCCGTAAAACGAATCGTTAAAACCGAAGGCGTATAGCAAACCACTGCAAGCCCGCCAGCTAAACCAGATTTTGAACAGTCAAACGCACACCAAACTGACAAGGAGTACTGAGACTTTCCACATCATGAAACATGTTGTGCTAGATTGTGCGCGTCTGACTATTCGAAATCTGGTTTAGTTGGTGGACTCGATCGCATAAGGGGCCATCCGGCAATATCGATAATTTTCACGGAACGAAAAAGTTTAGTTACGACCCTCCCCCACCCACCCACCCCCCTTGAACGAAAAATATATTGACTTGACAGCTAGAATAGATTGATGTTTCAGCTATCGATATTTTTCAAAACGAAGCTCTCCTCAACCCACCCACCATAAACGAAACTTTTTCTCTTCGTGAAAAAGATCGATAATTACGGATGGCCCCTAACTTGTGCCCATATTTTTCCATGTTATTATTGTTTATGCTTAGGCGAGACCAAATTAAAATCGAGATTCCCGGGCAGGATCTATGCAAAATTGGTGCGGGTGGGCGAATTTTTATTTATTTATTTTTATTATACTTCAAAGTAGTAAAGAAAAAGGACCAAGGAACTACTTCGAAGTACAAGTTACGCTATAATGTCCACTAACACCACCAGTTACAAAACAATCAGCTCATGCGATAACATTGCACGACATTGACCAACTGTACTGACATGCTACAACTAACTGGCTAACAGCTCTAGCACATCTTGGATGCGCACTCCAATGTTACCCAATGTTATCATTATAACTTAGAACCTTCCAAGTTGGAAGGCTGTTGGAGTGCGTATCCAAGATGTGCTAGAGCTGTTAGCCAGTTAGTTGTAGAACGTCAGTACAGTCGGTCAGTGTCGTGCAATGTTATCGCATGAGCTGATTGTTTTGTAACTGGTGGTGTTAGTGGACATTATAGCGTAACTCGTAGTTCCTTGCTCCTTTTTCTTTACTATAAATTCATCCTTGGCTCTCCATCTGAGTCCTTTTTTTATTGTACTTGTACATGTACCAGTATACGTATGCATTGCATGCTGAACATTTGTCTTTACAGTATTTTCGCTTAAAAAATGTTGTTTACAGACAACAGGTACGCGATTTACCCGTGCAACTTTTGTACATGTACATGATTGTACTAGTACTAGTATTTCGGCCAACGACGGCACTGGGTCGTACTTCAGCAATTAGTTCAGGGAGTCTTACAAGCCCGAGTTTGTGTGACTCCCTGTCAGAGATCTACTCAGACGATCAGTACTGGCAAGAGTACGACGGGGACTGTACAATCAGCATGTACATGAACCTTTACAAAAATACAAAAATAAATCGACCTCAGCTCGATTTTGGTGCAAGAGGGCCTGGGAATCTCTATTTTTTTTGGTCTCGCCTTATCTATTTTATTTTATACAATACTCTGTTGTGCTTGAGGTACTATATTACCACTCTATGAGTCGACCCACATCTGTAATATTTCGTTTCCTGACCTACCATGCCCGGTAGATGCTGAAAACAGAGAAGTCTTTTTTTGTTGTGAAATTTCACCCTACGCCTGATTTTCGCAGATTCTGGGCGATATGTTTTATACTCTGGCTTGGTCATAACTCATAATTATGAGTCACATGCCATTACAGGTGCTATTCGTACTGGCGTAGTTGAAACCCCCGGCATAGGTATTTGGTGCTATTTTGTGCAGCGAAGAGAGTGGCTAAACGATCACTATCTCTGCCTTTCTACTTCAGGCACAGCTAGCGGGCTATATCGAGTGGAAAGCGTCTCTTGTGCGAGACCTCCTCTACCAACTAGAAGAAGCTTCGTACAGGTGCCAAGATGAGGTGGCACTTCAAACGCTGGCCGATGACCTGAAGACCGTAGCAATGTCCATGGCTGCGCGTTTAGAGGAGGATAGCATGAACCGCTTATGTGCAGGTAACTATGGCGTATGGACTTGGGCTGCTGTTACTCGTGTGTGGCTATAAATGATGTGTTCTTCCTGTACATGTATGTTTGTTTGTCTTGTGCTCCACCGCTGCGAGAGAGAGGGAGAATAGTATGGCTTGCACCGGTATCCAGCAAATCTTCACACTCCTTGCCATCCACCAATAGTGATGGGAGGAACTGGCGCTGACCCCAAAACCCGGGAATCTTCAAGTTACAAACACCTTTGAAGTTTAGGGTGCGTTCTTAAATCCTCTCAGAAAAGTTTGAGACTCTCGGGAAAGTTCGAGAAATGTTCTTATATCCTCTCAGAATTTTAGGAGACTCTCCAAAGCTCTCCAGGCTCTCCGAACTTCAAAGGTGGTTGTAACTTGGAGATTCCCCGCGTTTTTGGGCTCAGCGCATGCGAACTACTGCTAAAGCCATGGGTTGATCATGAGTGTACGACATTCCCTTTTCGCATACACACAGTGCGTACTACATTCGTGTCACTCACTGGCGCTTCACGTATGCAAAAGATCTCCGAATTCTTCGAGACTCGTTCCTGAATTATCCCAGTTTCTTCCGACTTCCAGGAGAAATTTCTCCGTGAAGTTAGAGAAATAAGAACGCACCCTTAGAGAGCTTTAGAGAGTCTCCTAATATCCAGAGAGGATTATAAGAATACTTCTCGAACTTTTCGGAGTCTCGAACTTTCGTGAGAGGAATTAAGAACGCACCCCTAGAATAGATTGATGTTTCAGCTGCATCAAACCCTGGTATGGCTTGTTCCAGCTGCATCAAACCCTGATATGGCTTGTTCCAGCTGCATCGGACCCTGGTATGGCTTGATCCAGCTGCATCAAACCCTGGTATGGCTTGATCCAGCTGCTCTGCAGGTTATACCCTTTCTTTTCTTCTCTTCTCTTGCAGGCAATCTGGAAGGCCGAGCCATAGTTGATGGAGAACAATGACACTGACCGTAGTATAACACACGTGTCACGAGTGTCAGCCGGCGGTGGCGACGGCGGCAGTGGCACTCATGAAAGTATCAGCATCAGAAGGAAGCAAATTCAAGGATACAATCATTGGGCTACGGCCGGCACCTGATCTGTCTCTAGCTGGATGTCGTTGGGAACATTGTGTAGAATACAAGCACCCTGTATGTAGAAAAGAAAAGGATCAAGGAACTACAAGTTACGCTATGATGTTCACTAACACCACCAGCTACTTGACAATCAGCTCATGCGATAACATTGCACGGCACTGACCAACGGTACTGACATTCTACAACTAACTGTAATTGGTGGTGTTAGTGGACAGTATAGCCGCTGTTATAGCGTAACTTGTAGTCCCTTGGTCCTTTTCTTTTCTATAAAATTTCTTGGCTCTCCATCCGAGTCCACCCTGTGTGCACATTGGTATTTTTGTTAGTGCTGTTTGAAAGCCTGTTTCAGAGTATCACTTTAATTCGTCCTCCGTGTTAGTGACTGGATACAACAATATGATTGATAGCTTTCCTCTTGCCTTTGGACAATCCTTAAAAATATAAATCCATCAATCAATCTTGACAAGTGCACAAACATACAATGCACATCATGCCATGTACTCATGTACATACTTAGGCATAGGCAATGTGCCATTCTGTGAGCAGTGTTTGTTTTCATCCTAAGAATTTTATAGTGAGCGTGTTGTAAAGTATGCGGTAAGTTTGGAGTTGTGTGTGCTTGTTGTGTTGGGTTATGCTTGGGAAGACACACACACACACACACACACACCTTTGACCTTTGACGCCCATCGCCGGAGGCGATGATAGCAAGCTACGGCAGAAGAATTGACCGTCACTATTCAGCCTGGTCTACACCATACAGCTATTTGGAGTGACATTTTCTGGCCAGTGAATCCCTATTTTTGGTCTTTTCTTTTTTTCTTTTTTTTCTTTTCCCGCACACACATCACACCACATGCTCCGGCATGCACTGGCTGTTGGTAACCACCCAGCTGCAGGAGAATGAAAGAAAAGTCAGGAAGAGTCTGAGAAAGAGAAGAAAGACGTGTGTGACCATAATCGTCGGGAATCGAACCCGCAATCTATCGATTGGAAATCGCTGCACATACCACTGCACCATATGGGACACACACACACACACACACACACACCACAACCAATAGTGGTACGCATGCTTCGCAATCCTGACTGGGAATTTTATAGTGAGCGTGTTGTAAAGTATGCGGTAAGTTTGGAGTTGTGTTGGGAAGTTTAAAGACACACACACACACACACCACAACCAATAGTGGTACGCATGCTTCGCAATCCTGACTGGGATGTACCGGTATAATTACGGCATTTTATGCACACTCTTATGCAAGTCACATTCTGCATGTTTTCGTTGATCTCAGGATCAAGGAAGTGCAGGACTTGAGCCATTGTCCACACACCACTAGTCGGAGAGAGAGAGAGAGGAAACACCGGAGAACTGACCAACTCGCTCACACAAGCGGCTCCAATTGCTCAAAGACACAAACAGGCTGTATAGATTCTGCCACAGCGAGCCACCACACTACAGCACAACCGCAACATCATGGACCAGGGTGGTAATAGTTTACTGTTGAGGTTAAATACTAGTACATGTAGAGAGGAAGTACAGTTGCCACACGTCATTGGTGTCACACTGTATGTGTTTGGGTAGGTATGAGTACATGCCTAGAAGTATGTACAGACTACTGCACTGCACGGACACGATGGATTTCAGTTAAAAAGAAAAGATATGCACGCAGACACACGGACAGCGCGTAGCCACACCTTGCGCACGGGTGAAGTATTACAGATAACAAAACTCGGCGTTGCCAATATGATAGGGCTTCACAGAAATCAGATCATGTGTGTCGTGTGAGAGTGACGTATTGTGAGAAATGAGCACAGCTTTAGTATGCTACACAGCCGGTGTGCGACTGTTTTAGTGCAAGAAGTATGTGTGCACACACCAGGTATGTTGTCAATATGGTGCATCAAACCATTTCCATGCAAAGTTAAAATTCAAAGAACAGAACACGACGACACATTGTTGGATGGAGCTGAGAAAAACAGTGGCATTGTAAAACATATCCGGTTCATCAGCAGTCGTCGCATAGCTCTGCCAAGCATTTGGCCAGGGTCGGCGAAGCTTCGGACTCGACCGCGGCCAAACTGACAAACTTCTGCTCATACGGACGCAGACGAGCTCGCACAGAGGAGCAGTTGCGTACCAGGTTGAGGAGGACCAGAGCTGCAGTAAGACGTACTGTGCCGGTGAGAGCATACTCGGTGGGCTCGCTTGTCAGTAGCGACACAGGTTCCAGTCGGATGTTCTCGACTGTGGAGACTCCAGGCGATGAGAAGCGGCGTGGTTCGGTTTCCAGTGACAGTATGTGCTCCAGGGTATGGCACTTGAGGTTGATTGGTGGACGTGTAACGGTAGACGTGCACCCCTGCCATTGGCACACAGCAGATGAGCTGATTTCAGCTGACATGTGCCGTGCAACCAGGTGCCGCCGCAGGTCCAGAGCGTCGTCACAACCAAACGTGCATGTTGTCATTAGACACCGGTGCTTCCACGATGGTTCCGGGGTGATTTCGCTGGTTTCGGGCGACTTTGGCGGTGTGCTCGGCAAGGCGAGTACTACAGGCTGTGCAGCACCAGCCAGCTCCTCACTAAGGAGCTGAGTGGTAGGGGCACGGTCAGTGGGTTTCTCCTTGCTGTCTGACGGACTGGAGGAGGAGAGCACGGTGGCAGAGTTGGAAGGACCATTCTCACAGTCCATTGGTACTGCGTCTGGTTGTTCCTCTGTTGAATGAGTGTGACCATTAGGTGAAGAAGGGCTACATGATAGCTGCTGCTGTGTTGCCGCTGCACTGGGTGCCGCTGCAGGTTCTGGAGAAGGCTCCGCAGTAGGGCACACACTACTGCCGCAATCCATCGGCACTTCATTACTCCCAGTGGTTGCAGCATCCACATGCCTACTTTCTGACTTCTGGCTTGACAGCCCACCAGGTGCTGCAGGCGAGATGGGCACATTCGTTTCAGTGGCAGGTCGGGGATCAATAGGGATTGAGTCTGCAGCTGCTGCGGGCAAGTTGGATGCCAGCAGAATTGTCTTGGCGCGCACCTCCTCTGTTATCTCACAGAGTCCATTCACTTTGGTTAGTTTCTTGGTCGGTTCTGCTGTTTGAGTTTGTGATGATAGCGGGCTAGTGGATGCTGAGCTGCCACTGCTGCCATTGGATAGGGTTGAGCTATGGCCGTTGACAAGCTTCACACCACTGGACGCATCCTGGCTAGGTGCTGTGGTGCAACGGGCATGGCTGGATTCGAAATGGCGTCCGTTCTGACCTGCAGAATCAACCTTCTCCGCTAAAGACCTCGGCGTCGAGATTGGATCAGCAGCAGTGCCTGGTGTCAATGCTGAGAGCACAGGTGGAGGGTTTGAGCATGCCCTTTTTGCTACACTATCAGACGTTTCGCTACTATCATGCGGGCGCTTGGTAGCAGTGATGGCGCAAGTGCCATTGCCAGGCTCACGACTGTCCACCAAGCCAAGCTGTTGCAGCATAGCTTGGGCCGGTGGAGTCACTGCTGTACTCGAAATGCCTGGCGACTCGCTGCTCAGGGGTGGTGGTGTGGCAGTGGCAGAGACAGCACTTACTGGTGTCGTCTCTCTGGAAGCTCTTTCACTATTACTGGATGGCACAGGGGGACTGCTGGAACTCAGTTCTCCACTAGCAGCCGTTGCAGCAGCTGTTGGCATTGCAAACGTTACCGCCGGCGGTGAAACTGCTACTGTCCGTGCATCGCTGGATATTGCTGGCGGACCCCTGCACACTGCTGGCACATCACTGGAGCAAGCAGTTGTATCCGGACTGATGCAGGGCCCAGTGTCTTTGGATGCTGGGCAAGCTGTGCTGGTGGAAACCTCGGATGATAAGGGTGCTGAGCGTGGAGAACTATCTGACACAGCAGTTTCAGGTGACGTGCAGAGAGTGTTACTGTTAGAGACGAGTGGTGCTACTGCTTGTGTAGCAGAGGAAGACCCTGGTGCGCTAGCAATTCCGCTCTCCGGCACATCCCTGCCGTCAGTAGTGGTGGCTGTTGTGTGCGTCACCAGTTTAGCTACAGATGTCATTGTGCCTGCTACTGTTGTCTGGCCCGCGGTGGTTGATGACGATGAAGCTACTGCTACTATTGACGACGGCGAGGCAATCACCAACACACCTGCAGAGGATGGTGTTGATGACGTAGAAGCCAACGAGGACACGACAGTGGCTGGCACAGGAGACGTTGTTACGGCAGCAGCATTGGTTATTATACCAACACCAGATGATGCAGGAGAAGTTGTTACTGCAGCAGGAGCAGCAGTGGCTGACACAGAAGTTGTTACATCAGCAGCAGTGGCTGGCACAGGAGAAGTTGTTATTCCAGCATCAGCAGCAGTGGCTGGCACAGGAGAAGTTGTTATTCCAGCATCACCAGCAGTGGCTGACACAGAAGAAGTGGGTACTAGTGGTGCTGCAGCTGCTGGCTCCACCACAGCTGTGACCGCCGGAGAAACGACTATTGCCTTGGGTGTTGATGAAGGTGCAGTTGCATGAAAAACAGAACTACTAGTAGCTGCACTCTGTCCATTGCAACGCACACCAGTTGCAGTGCTGGGCAATGCGCCTGGAGTAGAAGTTGTGGCACACACCGCGGTGGTAATGGCAGTCTTGGTAGATTGAACAGCTGCTGGCACGCTGCTCTGTGTGGTGGTACGGTCGCACACAGTCACAGCTGCCTGTGTTACCTGCCCTGTAGTCTGTGTGACAGTGGCTGTAGCAGACGGTGCTGCTGCTGCCGCACTCACTGGACGTGCAGTAGGTGTAGTGGTGGCGGCCAGAGCGGCAACATGGCTGTTAACAGGTACTTGGGTGGTGACATTCGGCTGACTAGGCAATGTTGCTGTGCTGGCCTTCTTCAAGCGCTCTTGCTGCCGTTGTTGATACAGCTGAGCCAGTGTGGCGGTAGCTATGGCATTCGCTGGCGGTGCTGATGAAGATGCAACGGGGGATTTGACAGTGGTAGCATTAGCTCCCGTACCAGAACTCACTGGCTGAGTACGTTTATTCGTTGCAGCAGTATTGCCCGAGGGTGAAGAGCCAGGCAGGCGGTTTGCGGACAGAGATGCCCCCTTATTCGGCGTTAGAGACTTTGCAATGCCCATTGCTGTCAGGGACTTTGCTGCAAGTGTGGATGCTCGCACAGCAGTTGTACTGTGCGGCCGTGCTGGTGCCAGAATAGCAGGTCTTGTGGCTAGTGCCAAGGACTGAGCAGCGCTAGTGATGGCTGCAGACTGACTGGTGGAACGTGGACCAGCGCTAGCAGCCTGTGAACAGACAGGCCTGGTTGACGATGCAGATGTTGCGCTGGCGCTTGCAGCACCCAACGTGGCGGTGACCCTGGCTGGTGCTTGCAGCGCCACACTGCCCGATGCTCTTGTAGCAGTGCTCTGTGCTGGCCGAGGTTGTATAACTATCGAGGACATCACATGAACACCAGGTGCCGGCGGGGCAAAGCGCAATGTCAACGGAGAAGCTCGTTGGCGCAGTCCCCGCAGGTGCATGTCCGCGATAGCTGTACTACCAGGAAGCGTCAAGCCCATGCCCTGCAGGCGTGGGTACACGGCTGCCATGCAGAGCCAGAACTGTGAGGGCTGCAACAAGGCCACCGACGGCTGTACCTTCACAGCACAGTGCATAGCATACTCATTGTAAACCTGGTTACGACTGCACACAGACTCTATGCGCGTTTCATAGAAAGCCAAGAGCCATGCCTTGGCTATGCCTTCGCCGTCTGTTCGCTGCAGCAGTGGACGATCCACTTCCTCACCGACCAGAACTATTCCGTCCAAGGCCGACTTCGGCATGGACTGTTCGACATCTAGCGTGAGAAGTGACACGAGCTGACGTATGCCACCGGGTCGAGAGCATAGCACCCTGGCACAAAACGTGCCTTGCGATGCAAGACTCAGCAGTGCTTCCAACGCTGACAGCAGAAGCTGCACATCCAGCGCAGATAGCAAGGCATACACTTGCCGCAGGCACGGTGCAGGCAGCTGAGCGGCCATGCTTGCATCGTCGTTTGCCTTGCACAGGCTCGAGATAAGCTGCAGGCCTCTCACAACTGACATCCGATCACACGACATCACCATGTCGAAGACAATCGACTGCCACGCATGGCGCCTGCTGGCTAGTCGATGCGGTTGTGCCATCAGCATTGATTCGTGTTGTCTCGTGGGTGACATCAGCTGGGGAATCCCCATGTCCAGTAGGAAATACTCTCCGCACACCACTGCCAGCTCTTCACCGATATGGCGGACCTGTGGGGCAGCACAACACAGCATGGCCGCGGAGAAGCAGCTGAACAGTTCACTGCTCACCAGGCAACGTGCGTTGGGCTCGTGGTCTGCACAGTTGCGCAGCAGTGTAGCTACCAGTTCAACCTGCCGCACTGCCCAGTCATGGCGTCCACTGTATCCGAGGCTGTCTGGGAACGAGGCCGATCGAAAGCAATGGGTGGGTGCAAGCAGAGGCTGAGCCACACTGTCGACGGTGTTTTGCCAGAAGGCCGAAAGCCGCCGACAGTGCTCCTCATTCCACCTTTCCTTCACCTCTGGCATAATATCCTCATGGTAAAACCCAGCATGAGCAAGCAGGTACATGACCAGCTCGGGCATTCTCGAGAACGCCAGCTTGTCCGGACTCTTGTGAGACATGATCAGACAGGCATTCAGAGCAAGCTGCGCTTCGTTGGCAAAGCCACAGCGCAGTGACAGTCGCAAGTGACGCAACTCAACAGTACTGGAACCAAAATTCGACGCTGTGCCTACGGATGCAGCGGGAGTTCGTGAGAGGGTGGCAGCAGCAGCAGCTGCCGATGAGCGCCGTTCAGCGAGAGAGGCACGTATGTTGTGTCTGACTGACTGGTCGTCGCCGTGTCCGGAATGACTGCTCGGCCCCTCGTCCACCGGCCACAGATCGCGGTCATCCTCGCCAAGGAAGTTAACACGTTCGTAGCTCTCCAGAAATCTTGAGTAGTACTGGCGTACAGCATACATGGCATTGGTACAGCTGCTCGGCAGATCAAAGCAACGGATCACTTCAGGCCACCGGTTCTTTGTATTCACTGTAGCGAATCCACCCATTGAAATGACCTTTTGGTATAAATAATAAAGATCAATTGCTCGACCAGCCAGCAACGGAGGACGGCCTTTGAAGGGTCCGCTTCGGGACTCATGAAATGCTACAAGCTGCGAAATGAAATGCTTGTATGCAATCTCATAGCCAGCGGCATCCATCTGCATGAACGTAGCAGCCATGGCGACAGTTCACGATGTGAAAATGCTCCAACACCTCCAGTACACGACTACGAGCACAGGATCGTTTCCACCCCGCATCGGCACTCCAGAAAAGAGAATTACATGTATTCCTTTACTTTTCCAACTTCACATCTCCATACACCGAGGAAAAGTGGCATGAACGACATGTGTTTGGCAACATTGTCAGATTCATAGGGCGCTGCACACATCATTTCGCTACGAAGATTATACAAACTCATTGAAACCATCGTCTTCATCGTTCTCTGCTTACCGCGCCATATTTTCGCAAGGGAAACTGAAAAACACGCAAAAATGTATTATTTTGTTATTCACTTATTGTTCGCAAAACCAATTCAAAAATCATTCCACAGTGACGTAATCAGATGGGGCATGTGCGCAGACTGTATGCGCGGCGTTGCGGCACTACTCGACGCGCACGGTGCACCCAGCTATAAAGAGCGCGCTTGCTAGATCGCGCGCAGTATCTGAATGCAGGCGCTAGGCGCCGGCGACGGGCCTACTAGCGCGGGCGACTGAGCAACGCACGCTACCTGCAGACTTAGCTAGCTGGGCCGGCCATGGCCCATGCATGGGGGATGGCGCCTGCGACGCGGCCCGGGGGATTTAGTAGATAAAAGAGTGAAATATTTTTTTCACTTGTACTGTTGTAGTAACTGTTGTACTTGCACATCCCGCGATCGCCCCCACACACATGCACACAACGGGTGACAAAATGGCTTCCACTTCCAGCTGCAAGAAGACAACGGGGACATCCATGCACGAACACCGAAAAGGCCACAGCATTTAGGCGCGAGCTCACCCACGGAGGGAGAAAAGCAAAGGAGATGGGGGTTGCGTCCATGAGTTTGGAAGTCTATTGTCCAAGTTGCTGATGTTAGGGTTCTGGGGGTTTTCTAGCAAGCTTGAGAATGCCACAATTCTGTGAAGGAGAAACTATGGAAGAATGCCTTTTTGACGGCGACAAAGTGTTGTTGCCAACAAGCTTGGTTTGTCGGGTAAAAGATACCTGTGCGACTTTGACCATGGTTGCACATGCAATCAAGTAATCCTTCAACCTGCTGTGTGGATTCTTCAATATTTTGCGATAGGCCGATGTTTTCAAGGATGTTTTGAGCTACGAAACATGGAAGACCAAGTTGACTTCGGATGAACGAGCCTCCTTGTCAGTAAGCTAAAACTCTATTCGGAATTTCCGTGAACCATGTAGTGATACACTTGGCTCCTCACAAGCCTTCGGCCATTTTCTCCCGTGTATTTCAAATGTTCAGCAATAGCGGCTGGCCTCAAGTTCCATTCAAGTGAATGAAAATGTATGGCATATTGTACAATTGGTTCTATTGAAATAATTGAAATTAATCGAATTGAAAATTTCTTCCCAAGAAGGAAGAAGTTGAATGGGACACAGACTGGTTGTTGGGTTTACTGTTGGGGGCATTTCTGGGCCAGCTAAGTTACAGTCAGTATCTGGCAATGCGCCAGAATGTCCTTTGAACACTAAGTAGCTTGTTTATATTCTGATGCCATTGCAGTGTATTTCGTATATGTTTGACTACAATAGATTGTATTCACGTCGTATGATGTATTCCACTTTTTGATACAGCTGAGTTCAACCCAGTACATGTACATGACGGTGTATTTGTGTGCAAGTGTTGACATAATATGCGGGTTGTCAAAATACCCTGTGTATAATTTACTATAAACATATTAATTTTTTCTCCTTGAATCGGATATAATTATAGTGCAAGTATGACCCTTTCCAGTCATTTGACGTCGGATTTAGAGTACTGTAGGAGTTGAATGTCTAACGGGGCACAAAGTCTAACATTTTAACGAGAAAGAATCCATCGTTAACTCAAGAAACGTTACACGTATGTTATTCCTTCTCTCCTCTGTACGAGAGAAATAGAAGACAGGTGTGTGATGGCAGGGTCGTTAAACTTTGTGCCTGCTAAGCGGGAATTTTTTTGCAAATCGTTCAACTTTAGACTAGTCACACTTTCAACTCTTACAGTACCCCGGGGTGGGTTCCTTTGAAGTACAGTAGAGTCGCGCGCTGAAGAACGTGGAGCCCAAGAACGTCCAGCCTGAAATACGAAGAACGCCACAGCCTAAAGTTAAGAACGGCGGTGTTGTTTTTATGGCAGCTTGTGGGATACATATGATTCAGTACGGATTGTTTCTAAGAACGTGTTGTAAGAACGCAGCCAGATTGCTGAAAAAATAAAAACGTCCCAGGCTAACCCCTTGGAAACAACGTTCTTAGGCGCGTGACTCTACTGTATGATACACGGAAGTTTCACTGTAACCTGAAACTGACCGGTATGAACATACCGGTAGTCAGATAAATGGTATAGATATCCATGGACGTGCCTACAACCTAAACGAGTTGTGAAGTACGGCACCATATCTGTACTTTTTAGAGCTAGAGATCCAGGGCCTGCACAGGAGGCACACACCCATTCATTCAGCGCCGTCAAATGTCTTCCCGAGTCGCCGGTGGGGTGACCGCAACCGTCCAGATTTAAGCGAGGACAGTTGATTGCACTCGTGGATCTAGCATTCTGTACTTTTCAGTCTGCAGCACCTTGTTCGCCGTCCTGTGTACAGCGCTGTATAGATCTTCCGTATGTTTGGTCTCTTCAAGCCGACATTCGTCGTCGTACTTCTCAGTCTTGACTTGAACTGGTGAATTATTTGAAAATTGCAATCTTTACGATAGCATCAAGCCTTTTCTTTATCGGCATGACCGGGTGGAACGGTACCTGTCTCGAAGAGTATGTGATGGAACCATTTAGTACCGGGACGTCTGTCGCCAGTACATCCTGGACCAGGTATCCTGGACCATGAAATGCAGCTTTTTCTAGAGCTCTTTGAATTCTCCCTGTAAGCCGATGTTGGTGCTGGTGTGTTTGAAGTGTCTCTCTGCATGTGCCCGCTGAGCATTTGTTGTTTGTGTTTCTGTTGCCAGCATCTCTTGCCCAAGGGAACTGCTAAAGAGCAAGAAAAGGCTTTACGGTGAGTCCCATTGGATGTGTGGTGTTGTATCCCTAAACTGCGTAACAAATAATATTTATATGGTTTGTATGAGACTCAATCAGACTGATTTTTCCGCATCTACGGGAGCGCCACTATCCTCAAGGAGCAAGGTGCAGATGCACCTAAACCGATTAGCTAGAACTGGTGCATGGTTCCTTGCTCCCATGCTCAATGCTCATACTTGAGCAGTGCACGTTGCATACCACGATCATACACTGCCACAGATACTAAGAAATGCAACTCTCTCTCTCTCTCTCTCTCTCTCTCTCTCTCTCTCTCTCTCTCTCTCTCTCTCTCTCTCTCTCTCTCTCTCTCTCTCTCTCTCTCTCTCTCTCTCTCTCTCTCTCTCTCTCTCTCTCTCTCTCTCTCGCTCGCTCCTCTCTCTCTCTCTCTCTCTCTCTCTCTCTCTCTCTCTCTCTCTCTCTCTCTCTCTCTCTCTCTCCTCTCTCTCTCTCTCCTCTCTCTCTCTCTCTCTCTCTCTCTCTCTCTCTCTCTCTCTCTCTCTCTCTCTCTCTCTCTCTCTCTCTCTCTCTCTCTCTCGCTCTCTCTCTCTCGCTCTCTCTCTCTCTCTCTCTCTCTCTCTCTCTCTCTCTCTCTCTCTCTCTCTCTCTCTCTCTCTCTCTCTCTCTCTCGCTCTCTCTCTCTCTCTCTCTCTCTCTCTCTCTCTCTCTCTCTCTCTCTCTCTCTCTCTCTCTCTCTCTCTCTCTCCTTCTCTGTGTGTGTCTTGTTCTTGCAGTGAGCTTTTTAGTCGGAAAAATGTCTTCTTTGGAAGCCCACTGGATCGTTTCCAGGAGCAGCTGGCTGGTAAGTCCGTCGTGTGGGAAGCAAGCTGTGTATATGAGCACTGGTATTTACTAGTGGTGAAACGAATATACCGAATGTTCGAATATTCGTTCGGTTTGACACATTCGAACGAATATTTCTCATGGCGAATATTCGTTAACCCTTTGAGGTGCCACTGAACGCGTGAAAATGCGCAATTGCAGTTCACTCCACCCATTTCCATCATAACTTACGTTCTGTTTGCTTGATTTTGACAGTCTAGGGCTCTTTGAAACGCTCTTTCCGCTGCCAAGAGAATGAGGCCACGCTCAACTCCGTGGGTGCCACAAAGCCTGCTCAGAGCGCAGGGAATCGCCATAGGTCGGGCCTCGTGTTGAAAGAAATACTTCTAAATTTCATCCCAATGCCATTTCGCTGTCGTTTCTTGCACAGCTCTGGATTTTTTTGCATCTCAATCAGTAGTTTCGACGTCATGACACCCACACGTCATCAGCTGCTGCACACCACGTGATCCACGGGAAATCCCCGAAGCACGAGGCAAAAAAATGATTTTGAGACGTTTGAACAATTTAGTGCCGCGATCAAACTTTCGAGCGCCATATCTTTATCATCGTTTATCCTATCGCAAAAGCGATTACACCATTGGAAAGCTTGGAGCTTCCTCTTTGATCTACATATTTCGATATTTGCAACAGGACAAAAATCGATGGAGTTACGACAGTTTTACGGTACGTAAACAATATCAGTCGTTAATGACTGATGCACCGCTAAGGGTTAACCCGGTATGCAGAATCAACCGGGCGACTTCAAACTTTCGTAACTTCGTGAATACTTGACCGAATCGCTTCATTGAAAGATCTAGCGGCATTAGCAAACTCTCAGCTGTTGTTTAGAAGCCACCCGAACGCAATCCAGGGTCCTGGAGGGGAGGTATGGCACTCGAACGAAAATCACGTCTCATGCTCAAGCTGTTTTTTGAGCCTGTGAAAGGCACTTCAGCTGGGGATTTTTGTGAAAAATGACCTAGAAATGATGGAGAAATATATGCCTTCGTTCGTCATGCCTAATAATAGTGACAATATCCAATAAAATGACTGAGAGGAGGGCATGTGATGTCATCCGTGTTAACGAAAGAATATTCGTTCGTTCGTTCGTTAAGCCGAAGAATATTCGGCTACTGGGTTTTGATATTCGTTTCACCACTAGTATTTACTAGTATCAGCAAGGGAGCAAGATCTGTGTTTATGTTGATTGTCTGCAACGTTTGGAATTGATGTGATCTACGAGTTGTGTGAGGATTGGTTACAGTAATCGGAGTGCAGGGTGTGTGCCTTAGACGGGATTTTGATATGAGGTCGACCAAGGTGCAACATTTGGTGTTTAATTGTAGCCCTGAATGGTTTCACGCTATGGCCTCTAGGAACCTTCTGCGAATATCATGTAGAGATTGTGATCGGGGAGGCTCTGTGCATGTTTAATTTGGAGTCACTATTGCACCTGATGCTTTGTCATTGGGTACTCGAGAATTGGCCAAGCGCTCTACATGCAATTGTGTTACACAAAAGAAAGTAAAATAGGGATGTTTCGTTATTACTCAGAGTTTCATGGCAAAAACCAATCATCAGACAGGTTTTTGCCATGAAACTCTGAGTAACAATGAAACAGCCCTATTTTACTTCCTTTTGTGTACCGGTAATACCCATGTGCTTGTACACTTGCTCTTTTCTGCAGTGGGTGACTACAGTCCCGACGTCTGCATGGCTAGGGATCAAGCCATCTCTGATGACTACAAAGATTATCAGGTACCGTATATTCTCTATTATAAGCGCCATGCTTATATTTTTTCAACACCCCTCTACCCCGTGCTTATATTGGAGACCGCGCTTATATTAGAGACCGTGCTTATATTTTTTCAACCAATACATCCATACAGAGCAAGAAGAAGTACATGCTAGATATTATGCATGCAGCATTGATTTCCACCAAGACCGTGCTAATTATAGAGACTGTGCTTATAATGTTTCGAAAGGTGCTCACAGTGTGCTAGTATTAGAGACTGCTAGTAATGGAGACCTGTGCTTATAATAGAGAATATACGGTATGTGTGATACGGCAGTTCTAAAGAATGTGCTTCTGTAAAGGAGGCTGACGGTTGCTGCCTGTTCTCCAGTCCTTTTCTAACAAAAGGTGTGCAATCGTTTCCAGTTTTTAGCTTTTGTGTTATTTTCTACTGTTATTGTTGACTGTGTGTGAATACAGCATCGCACATGCACATATTTCCGTCGCCTTGTCGAGGATCTGATGGTAAAAAAAGAGGTGAGGTGGACTTTGCCGGAGGCTATAGATTTAGAACGTGCAGTTTGATGTTACTCGTATGACCATCACAGCCAGTGTATGTTTATGTGTTCTAATATTTGTCATGATTTTCAGGGGGGGGGGGGGGGGGGAGAGAGTGTGTGTCTGTGTGCACACATGCATGCATGCCTGCCCATGTGTGTGTGTGTGTGTGTGTGTGCACACATGCATGCATGCATGCCTGCCCATGTGTGTGTGTGTGCATGTGTTTTTGAATTAAGTTGCATCATTTGTTGATCTGGCGTGCTAGTATGTGTACCTGCATTAGCAGAGTTGAAGCACGTGTGCGTAGCAGCAAACTCGACAATGTAATGGCACTCCACTGTCCTTGTATAATTGTTTGTGCACAGTCCATGGTATCATCTTTATTGACACCAGGTGCGTCCAAGACTCCTACAATCATGTAAGTTGCTGTTGTGTTCGGCTCAGAGCATGTCTGACCTTCGGGCACATACACACAGCCCATGGCTGTTTGAAACAAGCATGTCAAGCTTACCACCTGGAGAATGTGTATTCTGTTCTTTTTTGAAAAGTGATTTTCCAATACCGGATGCTAGTACATGTACTGGAATGATGTTGAACAATCAACATGTACAGTGCTGGCAACTGAAATTTGACCCCCCTAGCGTCTCGTACGAATCGCTAACGCGGCTAGCGCACCGCTAGGGGGTCGGATTTCAGTTGCCAGCACTGTATCATAGTACTGTATGTCAAGGACCCATTGAATGTACTGTAGCAGTTTTTTAGCGTTTTCTGAATCTGGACAAATTCACGGTGAAATATTTTAGCGATCAGGGTTTCAGAGTAAAAAAATGATGACTACGGTACTGTTATGTACATGTCAAGTTTCCATTGGTGCGACAAAACTTTAGTGAAAAGTCTCCTTTCGCTAAAATATCACCGGCGCTAAAATTAGCCGTTTTTATATATACAGTAATTGTTTTTTCGTGCCAATAATTTTAAAGCAAATTGGAAGCTCTCCCAATTTTTATAACGGTGCATGCATCTATATGTCGTCCAGATCAGTCAAGAAGAACAAATCGAACATTTTCTGACCCAAACGTTTTTGTTCCCCTTCTCATCATCGCTCATCATGAGAGAGACCGCCGAGGAAACCGCCATATGTGGCAACGGACCCATTTGAAACCTTTCACATCTGCTTTGGTGATGTATTACTCCATGCGTGAAATGCAGAAATTTTGCAGCGCCGAAATTTTGTATATTTCCAGTAGATAAATACTTCATTCCATAAAATAATAATAATTCCAGCCGCCAATGCAAGCGAATTTCAAACTGCGGAGCAGAACGCACGGCAAGTAAATGATCACGCAGATATCAGGAGCTCCAGCTGCTGAAGACGATGCCGTCAGAAGGCCGTTTACTGGTGCTGTTGGTACAGTTTTGATGTCGTCAGAAACTGGTGACGGCACAGGTAGTGGTACAGCGACGGGTGTCTGGGGTGTAAGGCTGGCCAGTGCTTCGTCCTCAGAGCAGTCCTCACCAAGAAGAGGAGACAGGGCCAAAGGAAGAGAGAAAGAGAGAGAAGGGGAGGAGCAGGTGACTGGTGTAGTCCTGGTGGCATTATATATTGTTAAAAAAGTGTCTTAAGACACCAGTCAAGGTGAGGTAAAAGTCCACCAAATTCTACATGCTTTTTTTAAATTATCGCTTTGGCAGATCGGTCTAATGTTTAGGTGACTGCGTTGGAGTGTATAAATTACAGCAGCTTCAACACTGGACAAGTACATTGTACTAGAGAATATAATGTTGTGCATGTAGTACAATCGACAACAAATCTTAAAGATTAAGTATACATGTGGCTCCGTCAATTTCTAAAATACATGCGAGAATTTCGGAGTCCTTATTGATGATGTGAAGAAGAGGTTGGTGCGACTTCGGCGATAGTAGGGGAAGAGTGTGTTCGATGGACTTTTCGTGTGCTCTGGATGGCAGTCGTGAGTCAGTCAAGTGAAAATTCAAGTCGGCAGGAAAACCGCGAGCTCCCATGTAGGGAGCGACACACTCTTCCCTTATTGCTGATGATGGTGAAGAATAGCTTGAGATTTGTAGTTTTTCTTTCCCTGATAAGCTTCCTGTCTCCAAGAAAGATGCATGCGAGTGTTTGTTGATATACAGCTGGACATCTTCTTTGTGTTTTGTTGTGCAGGCCAGCACAGCAACAGCACTTGGCTGTGTGCTCATCGGCAGATCTGAAGTATCGCAAGTAGGTGCTCTCCTATCTTGTCTCACTGTCTCACTGCTGCACATTCTTGCAAACGCAGTGTACACGTACATGCATATAGCATCAGCATTATGCTCATGCCATTATAGCTAGCGTACATGTACTTAGGAATGCTTTGCAGTTGCACAGACGGTCGATACTTTGATCGTCTGCACATCGTCGGGTGTGATTGTTCATGCTGGCTATGAGCGGAGATAAAACTACTAGTTATGCATCCATTATCCCTTCTAGCGTTTCTTCTGTGGCGTCTTCATGAAATATGAACCCTGTGTGCTCTCTAACGGTTGTGTGTGTGTGCGTGTGTGTGTGTGTGTGTGTGTGTGTGTGTGTGTGCATGTGTGTGTGTGTGTGTGTGTGTGTGTGTGCATGTGTGTGTGTGCATGTGTGTGCATGTGTGTGTGTGTGCATGTGTGTGTGTGTGCATGTGTGTGTGTGTGTGTGCATGTGCGTGCGTGTTTTTTCTGTGTGTGTATGTGTGTGATTGATGTCATCATCTAGGATGCTGATGGAATGTCGACAAGAAGCCAACGTAAGATTTCCCTCCCGTAGATCTTGACAACTTTGGTTGGTGTGTCAGCTCTGTGTTACTCTGTGTTGAATTTGGTTGTGCGATAATTATTTTAAAGTCAACCTCCTGAATAACGACCTTGGTTATAACACCAACCTGCGAATAGCGGCACAATCTCCGAACCCAGTGCCCATTTGACTTTATACGTTCAACCTCACAAATAACGACAACTCGCGAATACCGACACCTTTCTCATGCACCATCCAGGGTCGTTATTTGCAAGGTTGACTGTATGTAACTGTACGTGCACTTTCTTGCAGCCAGCCAACGCTGTGTGTGTGTGTGTGTGTGTGTGTGTGTGTGTGTGTGTGTGTGCGTGCATCAGGACAGATCCTACCATGTGCTTCAGTACAGCACAGGACTGTCGGGCGCCGAAGAACTGGGGGGGGGGGGGGGGGGGGGGGGGGCAGGGTTCTATCCTAGCCCGTTCTTATTTTTAGCGAACACAGCAGTTTCGTTCTTATTCGATGGTACAGTCTTACATGTACATTTTTGCAGAGTTATACGTCTGAGTGTACATTATAGTGTACATTACGATTTCCGTTCTTATCTGCAAAAAAATCCAGCCTAGACCGTTCTTAAAAATTGGTGAAATTCTAGCCTGGCCTTTCTTCGGCGGTGCGTTCTTCGGCGCCCGACGGTACTGTAGAGATGAATACATGTTACGCAGCTGTACTGCTATTCTCTGGACTGTGAGTAGTAGTAGTGGTGGTGGTGGTGGTGGTGGTGGTGGTGGGACTTGCTGTTCTGTTCAGTCCGTGCACACCTAATACACAGTATGGACAAAGGGTATGTGCCAGTCCCGCTGCATGGCCTCTATGACCTGAAGGCTGAGAACAATGGGGCACGGGTTACGAGCAACACAGTCCACCAATTGAACCAGATATTGCAGTGTCAGAAAGTGCAACAACAAGGCCACGCAGCTAACACATTTTATGACTTGTGGAAAATGTGGATAGTACTAATTGCTTATCCATCCATGTGTTGTGAATGTGTGCGTGTGATCGTAAAACTTCCTGTTCATACAGGTGAATGAAATATCATCAGACGAAGATGAGTTGGAGTACTTGACTGAAGTATCAGGTATGATAAGAATGGATTTTTTTGCTTTCTTCGTGTAGACCAAGATGCATGCATTTCCCTAGCAAACTGACAGACTACGCTGTATTACAAGTACATTGTAGTACCATAGGAGGGGATTCACCCAGTCACCAGTGTGGGTAGAGTGCTCCACACCACCGGGGGCCAGAGCGTAGTACATAGTACCAAGAGAATTGCATTTCTGAGTTTTGTGCTTCCAGTTGCCTGAGGATTGCCGCTATGAGCATGAAAGTCAGAGTTGCAGCAACATAACTGTGGTCCACTGCTGTACTGTGGTCCACTGCTGTACTGTGGTCCACTGCTGTACTGTGGTCCACTGCTGTACTGTGGTCCACTGCTGTACTGTGGTCCACTGCTGTACTGTGGTCCACTGCTGTACTGTGGTCCACTGCTGTACTGTGGTCCACTGCTGTACTGTGGTCCACTGCTGTACTGTGGTCCACTGCTGTACTGTGGTCCACTGCTGTACTGTGGTCCACTGCTGTACTGTGGTCCACTGCTGTACTGTGGTCCACTGCTGTACTGTGGTCCACTGCTGTACTGTGGTCCACTGCTGTACTGTGGTCCACTGCTGTACTGTGGTCCACTGCTGTACTGTGGTCCACTGCTGTACTGTGGTCCACTGCTGTACTGTGGTCCACTGCTGTACTGTGGTCCACTGCTGTACTGTGGTCCACTGCTGTACTGTGGTCCACTGCTGTACTGTGGTCCACTGCTGTACTGTGGTCCACTGCTGTACTGTGGTCCACTGCTGTACTGTGGTCCACTGCTGTACTGTGGTCCACTGCTGTACTGTGGTCCACTGCTGTACTGTGGTCCACTGCTGTACTGTGGTCCACTGCTGTACTGTGGTCCACTGCTGTACTGTGGTCCACTGCTGTACTGTGGTCCACTGCTGTACTGTGGTCCACTGCTGTACTGTGGTCCACTGCTGTACTGTGGTCCACTGCTGTACTGTGGTCCACTGCTGTACTGTGGTCCACTGCTGTACTGTGGTCCACTGCTGTACTGTGGTCCACTGCTGTACTGTGGTCCACTGCTGTACTGTGGTCCACTGCTGTACTGTGGTCCACTGCTGTACTGTGGTCCACTGCTGTACTGTGGTCCACTGCTGTACTGTGGTCCACTGCTGTACTGTGGTCCACTGCTGTACTGTGGTCCACTGCTGTACTGTGGTCCACTGCTGTACTGTGGTCCACTGCTGTACTGTGGTCCACTGCTGTACTGTGGTCCACTGCTGTACTGTGGTCCACTGCTGTACTGTGGTCCACTGCTGTACTGTGGTCCACTGCTGTACTGTGGTCCACTGCTGTACTGTGGTCCACTGCTGTACTGTGGTCCACTGCTGTACTGTGGTCCACTGCTGTACTGTGGTCCACTGCTGTACTGTGGTCCACTGCTGTACTGTGGTCCACTGCTGTACTGTGGATTGCACTCACTGTATTAGTGTTTGCTTTAGTGATAGAGTGGCAGCTGTTGTTTGTAACCGTAGGCCCGAAAAAGAAGCAGGTTCAAATACACTATCTGACTTGTCAACTTGATTTGAAAACTTTGTTGCAGTGAGGCGTACGCTGCTTGTCAAGTAACTGGTGGTGTTAGGGGACATTATAGCGTAATTTGTAGTTCCTTGGTCTTTTCTTTGCTATAAATTGAGACTATGATACCTTTGCTACGAGCCCGAAAAACGCCATTGGCTTTGCGATGACAAGAAGCCCCATGCCAGGCAGGCAGGTGGGTGGGTGGGTTTGCAAGTTGCGACATGACCCTTCTCTGTCCTCTACTCTCTATATGTATTGAATAGGTACTGGTCGAGTGGTTGCAACGCCAGCACTCTCTGCACCTCGCACGCACGGAGAGGCCAGCCAGACGAACAGCACCAGCCACGAGGACCGAGGCGGCAGTGATGCAGCCTGTCCGATCAACGGCCTCTCTAGTGGCGCTGCTCCCTCCATGTCATCGCAGCTTGTTACCGATGAGGACTACATCAACATGATGAAGAGACACCGGAAACGGAGACACCGCCAGGACGTGAGTGAAGCGGTGATGCTTGGACATTGCCATATCTCTGTTTTCGCTACTCTTCTTTTCATTGTTTCATTGGGACTGTCATGTTTGCAGTACTGAGGACTGCATGGGCAAGATGTTGGTACTGCCTGGTGTTTAGATAAGCGTGTAGATGTATTGCCACCCTACAGAGGTTTTATACTCAGTATCTGCTTCCTACATAGGCCATAGCATGGTGTGTTTTCTGTGTGATCACTCATCACGATGAGCCCCAGTTTTGCTTAGAGAGGGAGTTCCGCGCTCCTGTGGGTAATTAATGAAATAAATGTCATGTCCACTTGAGAGTTGATCCACGTTAGAGAAAACAGGCACCTAGATTTAGATAACACCTAATAGGCACTAGAGTATGCACTGTGTGTGAAGGGTAGGCTGGTCACCTAATTCTACATTGCACCTGAAACCTGGCCGGTCCCTGACACCGAAATTTAACTACACCTAAAATGACATGTTAAACAGTACTATCCCAGAAGACCATTATAACTAGGACGAAGGGATGCTATGTCCAGTCAAATGACCCTGGATAAGGAGCACTGTACACGGCGACCGCATTTGCAAGGTCCCTCAAGCGGTTGGCTTGGACAGGTTCCACTGTATACTATGCCATTGGCTAATTTACTTCATTACCCTCAAGGCTGAATTGCGAAGTTATAATTCACCTGAGTGATTTATTTGTCCCAACTCCTGTTGTGATTTGCTTGTTGTGTGCCGGTGTGTATTGTACTGCACAGTGTCATCCTGAATTGAATACGGATGGTACAACGCTCAACGACATTTTGGGACGCTGTCAAATGGCAAAGAGACCGAAGCTAGGTGAGAAGCGTCCCCGCTTTACTATGACAGTGAGAACGTTTGTGTATGTGTGCGTGTGTGTGTGTGTGTGTGCGTGTGTGCGTGTGTGTGTGCGTGTGTGCGTGTGTGTGCGTGTGTGTGTGCGTGCGTGTGTGTGTGTGTGTGCGTGTGTGTGTGTGTGTGTGTGTGTGCGTGTGTGCGTGTGTGTGTGTGTGTGTGTGTGTGTGCGTGTGTGTGTGTTTGTGTGTGTGTGTGTGCGTGCTGGCATGCAAACAAGATCCTTTACAGATTGAAGACTACATGGAGAAAAAGGACGGTGTGATTTTTCTAGTTGTGAATAACTTCCTTTAAGTTAACCCTCTTACTCTGTGCTGTGTATTCTCTCTGTCTGTATCTGTCTCTGTCTCTCTCACTCTGTCTGTGTCTCTCTCTCTCTCTCTCTCTCTCTCTCTCTCTCTCTCTCTCTCTCTCTCTCTCTCTCTCTCGCTCTCTCGCTCTCTCGCTCTCTCGCTCTCTCGCTCTCTCTCACTCTCGCTCTCTCTCACTCTCGCTCTCTCGCTCTCTCTCCCTCTCTCTCTTGCTCTCTCTCTCTCTCTCTCTCTCTCTTTCTCTCTCTCTTTCTCTCTCCCTCTCGTTCACACGCGCACACACACACACACACACACACACACACACACACACACACACACACACACACACACACACACACATGTCTGCCATCTCTCTAGCCACCAAGAAACATTCTGTCATCATTCCGAAGAAAGCATCCGCTGCTTCCAAGAACCTGCTGAATGGCACTCTGAAGGGCAAGGTCAAAGGCAAGCCAGGCAAGAAAAGCACTAAGCATCAACAGCAGACTCCTGCTGAAGTTACAGCGCTGGGTGCGCATACTTCATTCTTTGCTCTAGTCCGGCACCTGTTCAGTGGCTGTGCGGACTCCCGCACGTCCATGCATCGCCTGGAGGAGAAGATTCTCATCTGGCAGAACTCTGATGCTGGGATCAACTGCGACTGGGCGCTGGAGGAAGAGAGCTGGGTAGCCTTGGTACTACCCGCACTCAGATATCTTGCTGCTGAGGATGGAGGTAAGGGGGAGGTATGGGGCAACAATTTCTAACCTGATTACTAAGTAGGTATAGTCTTCGAAGTACTTCAAAGTACAGTCAGACCTCGCTTATCTGGTCCTCTTTTATCCGGATCCCTCGCCATCCGGAAGAAAATCGTTGGTTACCGATTTACAGCATATGGCATGCATACATACATACAGTATGTGTGTTCGATTATCCAGTTCACTCGCCTGTCTGGATAATTTTTTTGTGAAAAACGGATGTGTGTGGTTATGTGAGGTCTGAGTGTGCTCCCCTTTTGTGGTGTGGAGTTCTGATATCATGGGATTGCGTGCAATGATCTCCATTGAGTGAAAGTGACCGTTTTTACATTCATATTTCTCCTGTAGAAACACTTAATTGCTAGAGTGTTTGCTGCAGCACACGTTAGCACAAGACCGCTCCTAGTTTTCTTCCTTCCGATCTGCATGTTGTGTAAGTAACTTTGCCTCTTTCATGACTTAGGCACAAGACAGTTAGGAGACTTATAATAAGTCTCCATTATAAGTCTCCTAACTGTCTCGTGCCTAAGTCATGAAAGAGGCAGTGAATGGCTGCATCATATCTATCTTACACATTCTTACCTGATGGTCTCTTCCTTTCATTTAGCCGTATCATCTTTCTCACCGCTGCCTGGGTTTGCACCGATGACTGATTTCAAGGATCGCATTCAGCAGTGGAAGTGGATAGGTCACGGGCGAGATTCGGACACAGCGCTCAAGGCACTGTGCGACCATTTCCTAGCAACTCGCCGTGACATTGTGGTAAGCCTGCCCCCTTCTCTCTTCTCTCTCTCTCTCTCTCTCTCTCTCTCTCTCTCTCTCTCTCTCTCTCTCTCTCTCTCTCTCTCGCTGTTTTTATTGATGTTGACTTCTGTCAAGTTTTGGTTAGGGTAAAGAAAAATAGATCAGTACTCCATTCATTATGCACATCCCAGTACTAGTGTTGTTATGTTGTTGACCTGGGTTAGCCTTGATGAGTGCAATTGCATTGGTTTATCTGAGATGTACCCGGGTCGCAGGTGGGCTCCTCTTCTGTGTTAAATGGCATGTGATTAGATTTGTCCAACTGTCCTGCATCTATATGTACCTACAGTTCGTTCGAAGCACAATTTTTGTGTAGCTCAAAGAGACATGGTGTGAATGAAAAATGGAGACTGGTACAAAGAGCCTGGAGCACGAGTTTCGAAAATGGAAAGAACAGGAAAGTAGGATTAACTGCACAGTTCATCCTATACTAGGGCGCGTGTAAAGAAAACATTTTATTTTATTTTTGTCTACTCAGGGTGCGTTCTTCAATCCTCTCGGAAAAGTTTGAGAATCTCGGAAAAGTTCGAGAAGTCTTCTTATATCCTCTCTGAACTTTAGGAGACTCTCCAAAGCTCTCCGAACTTCAGAGGTGGTTGAAACTTGGAGATTCCCCACGTTTTGGGATCAGCGCATGCAAACTACTGGTAAAAGCCACGTGTTGATCATGAGTGTACGACATTCCCTTTTCGCATACACACAGTGCGTACTACATTCGTGTCACTCAAGATCACGGCCTCTTTGGCGCTTCACGTATGCAAGAGATCTCCAAATTCTTCGAGACCCGTTCCTAAATTATCCCAGTTTATTCCGACTTCCAGGAGAAATTTCTCCGAGAAGCTAGAGAAAATAAGAACGCACCCTAGGATGTAGAAAGTTAGGGCACCATTTTTTATGAATGGACTGTATCTACCTTCTTTTGTATTCGTTGTGTGTGTGTGTGTGTGTGTGTGTGTGTGTGTGTGTGTGTGTGTGTACGCACGCGTCCTCTCAGGAACCTGACCTTGGCGAAAAGTCGCCGCCGCCACCACTAACGTAAGAGTCAATTAATTTGGGTTCTCTCCCACTCAGTAGCTCTGCCACAGAGGCATAGAATGCCTTGGTGTTAGTGCCTATACTTCTTGAATATGTATGCATTGATACTGTGTGCAGGTGTATGCCTTGATACTGTGTGCATGTGATGTAGCTGATGTGATCACTGCCCTTTAGGGCGTGGTGATGTGTGCGGTACGTGTACTTCGGTGTGAACTCCTACCAATTCACCCCACCATGTCTATGTAGCTTGCGTGCCGTGCAATCTCTGCACGGCTAGTCACCCAAGTGGTGACGTATGTTATATTGTTTAGTGCTTGTATTGTTGGTGTGTCTGAAAAATCAAATGGTTGAATGTATGGTGTGTGTTGATGTCTTGTTCCATACGCAGTGTAACCGATTACGTAGTGAGGGCTAGCACAAGGGATGAGAAGGGTCAGTTCCAATCTCAGGAGTCACGGCGCTATGCAAATGCTCACCGATCATTCACATACCACATGCATGGGTTCTTCTCGGTGGTTGGGCCAGTCAAGGTATGTCACTACTGCTGCTGCTGCTGCTGCTGCTGTTGGTGCTGCTGCCCACTGACTCTGCTGCTGCTGCTTCCGCTGCTGTTGTTGCCACCTCCACCACTGGTGCTGCTGCTGCTGCTGCATGTCTCTATTTCATTATGCTTTTCGTAAAATTTGTCTCATTCATGGCTTGTGCTGCGCTAGTAGATCTCTATTCTTGAACGGCTTACCCATGCTTTTACAATTACTATTGGTCAGAAGAGGCTGATGACCTTTACTGTACATGATGTGTTTGTGTGTGTTTGTGTGCGTGTGTGTGTGCGTTTGTGCGTGCGTGCGTGTGTGTTTGTGTTTCTCAGGGAGTGTTCAACAAAGACTCTGGCCTCAGTAAGGCCAGAGAGCACCCGCTGCTGATCTCTAATCGACCAGCTTGTGTGACTATCTTGTCTATCGGTAAGCCATACCACTGCTGTCGTACCACAACCACTATTGCCATTTTAACTTTTTTAGGTATTTCCTTCTGTTCACTGCGGAAATGTAGTGTTCGTAATGTGTAGATATTAGCAGAGCTCTATTGTTCTCCTTCTTATCCACATCTCAATAATGCCCATACCCTCAGCATATACACCCACATGCACATTCTTGTATTCATTTGGCGCTGCCTGAACAAATCTTCAAGTACTCTGTTTGCAAGCTTTTTCACCCGTAGTCCCTCTCTCCGAACACGAGGAGGGAGCAGCAAGTTACTCATCATTCCTGTCTCCCCCACTGCATCCTCAGCTAAGCGCATTAGCCATGCTGGAGCTATCCTGTGGAACCAGCTCCCAGACACAGCACGCCTCGAAAGAAAGCGCTCCACTTTCAAATCGCTAAGCCTGGCCTTTCTGTTAGGCAGTACCGTCAACTAGGATGAACTCATCTGCTTCACTACCTCTCTCTCTCTCCCTCTCTCTCTCTCTCTCTCTCTCTCTCTCTCTCTCTCTCTCTCTCTCTCTCTCTCTCTCTCTCTCTCTCTCTCTCACTCACTCACTCCTTTCTTCCCGGTTGCCGTGCTTGTGACTTTTTTTCCCCTGCTGCCGTGCTCATATTGGTTATCTAACTACAGCTGTATCCTCTTCTTGGTTCTGTTTGTCCGCTTATTATTATATATTTTTCTTTTCTCTTATTAGGGAGGTTTCGCTCTACGGAATTACGTATGAAAATAACGTATGAACTGCACGGAATTTTCATACGTAAAAATCAGAGCTGTTGGGTTTCGCTCTACGTGATTTCTCCACGACTGCTAAACATGCGTTGTTGCTTTGGAGACGCGTTGGCTGCATGCGCCCACCGTATGCACCATAAACCGAAACCGCGTTTTCTATGATATTATGCACGTGGTGTACGGTGTGTGTACCTTGTGTTTCGCGCGGCTTGAATGTTGCCATGGACAAATGCGGAAAATGCGAAAAAATATTTCAAAAAGTCCTACGGAGGACCCAACGTAGGAAAGAGCTTTCCTACGGAAATCCGTAGAGAGATTTACGTATGAAAGTTGCCCTCGCTCCCCGGCGCGTACGACATACGGATTTTCATACGTAATTACGTAGAGCGAAACCTCCCTATTATCAGTGGGACCATTGTCATTAGGTTTAGGCCTGTTTTGGAACTCCACTTTAAAGAAAGCCAAACAACAACAACAACAATAAACATCTCAATATACATCTCAATACACATCTCAATACACATCTCAATACACATCTCAATACCGTATTTTTACCAGTTGTAAGTCGACCCCGGTTTTAAGTCGACCCCCGTTTCTGGAGGTCTCAATTCTGCATTTTAAAGTTTTCACCCAACGAAGCATTACTAACCACTCCCTGCTACTAACACATCAACAAATCAGGTAAACATTCTTTATTGGAGGGCATACCGTCCCAATCCTTGAAAAATGCCAATAAACTGGCAAAAATGTGTACCCATGGTGCACTCGTGCATGCAGTGCAGGTCATTTTTTGTAAGATACTGCTGATAGTTCCCGGTTATAAGTCGAATCCCGGTTGTAAGTTGACCCCCACCCTTTCTTCTTCTATTTTTAGTCGTAAAAGGTCGACTTACAACCGGAAAAATACGGTACACATCTCAATACACATCTCAACACACATCTCAACACTTCTCAACACACATCTCAATACACATCTCAATACACATCTCAATACACATCTCAACACACATCTCAATACACATCTCAACACACATCTCAATACACATCTCAATACACATCTCAACACACATCTCAACACACATCTCAACACACATCTCAACACACATCTCAACACACATCTCAACACACATCTCAATACACATCTCAACACACATCTCAATACACATCTCAACACACATCTCAACACACATCTCAACACACATCTCAACACACATCTCAATACACATCTCAACACACATCTCAACACACATCTCAACACACATCTCAATACACATCTCAATACACATCTCAATACACATCTCAATACACATCTCAACACACATCTCAACACACATCTCAACACACATCTCAACACACATCTCAATACACATCTCAATACACGAGCCTCTTGCTGTAGATCATGGGTTGTACACCAACTGATGTGTGTGTGTGTGTGTGTGTGTGTGTGTGTGCGCGTGTGTGTGCGTGTGCGTGCGTGTGTTCGTGCGCACGCGCGTGTTTGTGTGTGTGTGTTTGCATGTTGGTGTGTGCTTGCACATGCTTACAGTACGCGACGCTGCAGCTCGACTGCCTAATGGTGAAGGCACCCGTGCTGAGGTTAGTGGAAGAGTGTGTCATGTCGTACCCTCTGCCTTTCCTACTCTGTCCATGTGTTTTGTTCATCTCTACCAGCACCTTGTTTATTGGCTAGAATACCGCGAAAGCCTGTAAAAGCCCACCGCACGTGTCAACATTCTTATTCCATCGTTAGCCCACCGCACATATGAATGCCCATGGGCGAAACCACTGGCCCGGTACATAACTGCGACAGTGCAGTGCGCGCACAGCACAGGTCCACGTGCATGTACAATACGGCAGGATAGTTACCATGGTTACCCCTAGTCCCTAGTCGTTGGTGGATATGTTGATGTGAAAGTTAGTCTGATTACAAGTATCTGAAATAACACCAGGGCTTTCACGGTATTGCCACCTGACAGCTTAGATGAGTTGAGGATTTGGTGTGATGTAGCATGGTGTTATCTGTGTTGTTAGTATCGTGTTATCTGCGCTGTCATTACCATTATATCTGTGTTGTTGGTACCATGTTATCGGTGTTATCGGTGTTATTAGCACCATGTTAACTGTATTGTTAGTACCATGTAATCGGTGTTGTTACTACCATGTTATCTGTATTGTTAGCACCATGATATCTGTGCTGTTAGCACCATCATTGCTGTGTTTGTTAGCACTATGATATCTGTGTTGGTAGTACCGTGATATCTGTGTTGATAGCACATTGTTATCTGTGTTGTTGGCACCATGCTCGTTCCCTATGTGATGACTTGACTGATTCTTTGCATGCAACTAATCACCGTGACATTGGTGTAAACAGTGTTTTGTTTTAGCCTGCTCTGAGTGAGGAAATCTTTACATGAGTGTGTGACTATGAGGTGTTAGGTGTACTTTGATGTTTTGCACGTTGACTTAGTGCCATATTCACGTGATATTTCGTGTCACATCTGTTGCTATATGTGTAGTTGTCGGTGTGCTGTTTGGGCTAGTTCTAGTTTGGTTTTCAGTTGGTGTCCATGTGCAGTGTGTATCGTGACTGGCGTCTTCCTGTAGTCTCACTGTGGTCCCTTGTTCAAGTTGTCATGTGCTCTTTTCCGTCTGCTTGTCTGTGGCTTGTGTGAGTCTACACAAGTGTCTTGCTCTACCCTCCTCCACCTTCACCGATACTAGTCTGTTTGGTGAACTAGTCTCTGTAGTGTAGTTGGCTGTGACGTGCCCTGAACAAGTCCTCACGGTCTAGACAGGCGCACTAACTAGTCTTACTTGTACTGGTCTGCTCAACTCCTCAAGTGTCTGGACCACAGCCTCTCTGTGTCAGAATGGAGTGCTCCCTGGGTCTGTCTAGATGTGATGTTCTTGTAAGTGGCTTGTACTGCTGCTGTTGTCTGGTTTGCTTCCTTGGCAGCCTGTCACATAGCTACCTAGATGTTCTCTTTATTCTGGTGCTAACCGAATGCTTGTTTCTCTGTACGGCTTGTTGCCTTGTAGATTTGTGTCCTGGTGCGTGACTCTCAGTACATTGCCCCGTCAGCTACAGATCAATCGGTAAGTGTGGTCAGCTGTGTGTAAGGATGATGTAATAATTTGTGTAAGGGGCGACGCAATAAGCACAAGCTGCCCATGGCTTAAGTTGAGACTACTGCTACAGCCATTGCTAGTGGTATTGCTGATGTATTTGCTGCTGTTTATACTACTCCCGTTGCGCTGTTGTCTTTGTTTCCTGCCTGAGCTTGCCTGCTGTTGCTCGTGTGGATTTACGTCAATTGGTGAAGAAATGCTACTATCCACTCTGTTTCGATTGCTGATCTTTCCAAGAGGTTGCTTTACTGTTTGTGCTGGTGCATTTTACGGCATGAAGTAGAAGGCTGGTTGTTGATATTTCTGCTGCTGCTGCTGCTGCTGTTGTTGTTCAGGTACATACTGTGGTGAGTGGTGCTCTGGATCGTCTCCACTATGAGAAGGATCCGTGTGTGCGGTATGACAGTAACCGAAAGCTATGGGTCTACCTGCATAGGAACCGCTCTGAAGAAGAATTCGGTGAGTGCTGCAGATGCTCAAAGTGGCGGCCTTCGTTGGATTGCATCGGTATAGGCTGTTTGTATGGACGGCCTGCGCTGCTGGGCTCGGATTGAGTGGAGAACAGATGGAGAAAGGGTTGTGCACGATATTATCATGAAACCGACTAGTTCCCTGCACCACAGGCTTCAGGGCAGCACCGGCTGTCATTTTTGGTTTTTGGCCGGAGCTAAAGAAGTTCAGATATAGTGTGTATCACCCGAGTTACGCAGCAGGCCTTCAGAAAAGTGCTGCGTTTATTGAGTGGGACATTATTTGCACACATCCCACATAGTTTTTTGCTTTAGTTTAGGATGGCATAGAGCAGGACGATTTTTTGGCAGTATGTAAAGCCCAAGTGTGCGACTGCTTATAAGTTTTGGGTCGAGTTCCTGTCATGTAGAGCAAAAGCACACTTGATGCTACATCTTTTTGACTTGTTTGATATGTTTTGCATAATAATGGATGAGTATGAATTCGATTTGGCTTCTTCACCAATGTTGTATTGTTCGTGATTTTGCTTGGTATTGTTCAGAAAAACTGCACCAGGCATCTGCGGCCGCGATACGTGCCAAGAAGCAGCTTCTTCACAAGGCCAAGGGAAAGCCACTTACGGTTAGTTGTTGTGTTTTTAATGTGTGCCTAACCTGTTGTCATTCACCACTGAGATCAGGAAGCTTAATTCAGCATGCTGTCTGCATGCGCCCGAATAGAGTCGAATGTGCCTGATTTAGCCGCTCCGACATCAGATGGCCTATTTTGTGGTAGCTTTTGAGACTCTCTTTGGTTGTTTGCTGATTCTCTACTCGTTCTTCGTGTGCTGTGTGCGTGCGTGTGTATGTGCGTGTTTGTGCGTGTGTATGTGCGTGTTTGTGCGTGTGCTGTGTGCGTGTGTATGTGCGTGTTTGTGCGTGTGCTGTGTGCGTGTGTATGTGCGTGTTTGTGCGTGTGTATGTGCGTGTTTGTGCAGGGATCTGGCAACTACCCTGTTTCTGTGCCTCCCACCACAACCAAGTCTGGCAAGTTGCATGGCAATTCGAAGGCTGCCAAAGCTGCAGCAGCGGCGGCGGCCAACGCCTCCAAAGCTGCAGCTCTATCAAATCATCGCAACTCTGCTAGCTCAACAGACAGCGCCGGCAACGGCTCACTGGTCATCAGTGAGTCTCGTAGCAACCGCGATAAGTTGCAGCACCATCACCGTACGCCCGCCATTGCTGCGGCTATTGCCGCCGCTGGTGGCCATGGCAATGTCTCTCCCAGTCCTAGCAATCTGAGCAGTGCAGCTGACAGCGACAGCAGTTCTACTGGCACCAGTGCTGCCTCCGGTAGTAGCAGTGGCAGCGACGACGACGACGACGATGATGAGGACAGCAGCAGTGGCTCAGGAGAATCCGATAGTGACGATGCAAACAGTGGCGATGATGACGAGGATGACGATGCTGTTAGTGCAGGTAGTGATGGTGATGATGACGACGACAACGAAGTCAGTGATGATGGTGACGAGGATAGTAGCAGTGGTGATGAAGATGATGACGATGACGACGACGATGACGACGACGACGATGATGATGACTCTGATGTCGACGCGGCAACTGATTCAGATGCTGCTAGTGGCGATGAAGATGATGACGATGACGACGATGGGGATGTGAGTGCAGATGACGATGATGATGACGACGACGATGATGATGACGACGATGACGCAGACGATGATAGTAATGATGATGACGACGATGATGATGACAGTGATGTAGATAGCGGTGATGATTCCAAACAACTGGACGACGACGATGAGAGTAAGTTGAAAATCATTACGTATGTATATTACACCCTTAGCAAAAAACGTTATATTGTGACGGTATTACCGTAAGGGGGGAAATACCGGGATTTGGGTTCGACCTCAAGCAAGATGCGCGCTATTTTTAGTACACTGTTGCCACGAGAATAGCTTCTATTTCGCGGTACAACCATCTATGTCACCATATACGCGATACAAGGTGAAATGTGTACGGACTATGCAATATTTGGCCAAAAAACATACCGTTTGTCACAACGATAAAGCCCCCATAACGTTTTTACGCTGCAGCTTCAACGCTATTTGGGTGATCAAGGCACGAGTACCGTAAAAAAATAGCGTTAGGCCACCCAGAATTAATTCGTTGTTTCGGGTCACCCGACCGACCGTCTTTTTTCACCCGACCGCAAAATGTTTTTTTTTAGAGTGCATGCAAATGTCATGTACATGGCTAGAAAAAGTAGAATATGTACACACGCGACCCTATAATAGCAGTCCAGACATCGACCTCAGAAGCAGCCAAATGACAGGATGCAGCGCTTGGTGACGACGTTGTCTTCTATTATTATCTCCGATCCACAATCAGTCCTGAAACAGCATCAGTAGCTCTACTCCGCCACTGCGTCGCTCATCAGTGACAGAAGTTTTCAAGGCGAGAGCTGCTCGTCAGACTCGTTTGCCAGCGAGGCCAAGATCTGGTCCTGGAGGGGACCTGGATCTGCTGGCACAATGACTGCGCTGGATCGTCTACAGCTAGATTTGATCGACTGGCTTGATGGACAAAAGCTATTCGATATGCACAATTGTACATGTACAGTGTATGCACATACATCTACAGTCATGTACATATACTAGTAACCAAAATACAAAAATAAAATAAAAAAATAAAATAAACCCGACCGACCGACCCTGGTACGGATGAGTGAAGTGACCCGAAACAACGAATTAATTCCAGGTGGCCTTACCGTTGTTTGCTAAGGGTGTCTATTGTCTCTTGGTAATGCAGCTGATTCAGGGTTTGTCTATCTAGGTATATACGAGTATCTATGCCAGGGCTGTAGAGTGCCCGGTTTGGGTTTTCATGCGTACAGATTTACGCAATCATTGCCCGCTACTGCTAGTGTATATCGTGTATGTATGTAGTGTACTGAATGGCAGTGGTATCAATGATTTCTGGAATCATTGCCCACTAGTAGCATGCACTACATGTACTGCTAGTCTATAATAATGTGTATGTACTATGTAGTGTAGTACTGAATGGCAGTAGTATCAATGCTGTTATGCTGATTGTGCTGCTGGATATTGCATATTGCTACCTCATCTAATTGTCATGTGCTCGCTCTTTGTGTTGATCCTACTGATCCTGCATGCGTATGTCCGTGCGCAGATTTGAGTGCAAGCAGCGATGAAGGTGATGGTAATGGCCCTGACAGCGAAATGTCTGCTGATGAGATGGATGATGAAGACGACGAGGATGAAGAGGACGAAGGTAGGAGTGCGTGGGCATGTGTGTGTGTGTGTGTGTGTGTGTGTGTTTGTTTGTCTGCGTGTGTTTGTCTGCGTGTGCGCTCGTGTGTGCGTGTATTTGTGTGTATTTGTGTGTGTGTGTGTGTGTGTGTGTGGTCCAATGGTGTGTGACTTAAAAAAAAACACAAGTTGCTATGTCTAACATAGCTGTTCGCTATCATCGCTTCCGCGATGGGCATGTCTGAGGTCTGAGGTGTGTGTGTGTGCACGCGCGTGCGTGCGTGTGTGTGGTGCGGTGTTGTGCTTGCATGCATACGTGTCCGCGCACACACATGCGCTTGTACATTATGCTATACTAATGGGGTATTCACACGACAGGCAAATCCACGTGCACCGGAAAGTTGCTATGGTATTTTACCTGTGAACGAGAAAAGTGGCTGAAAAGTGCAAGCGAGCTGGGGGCCCACTTTCACGATAATCGTGGCGTGCACGAGTACATTTACACCAAAAAGCGCGAAACAAGACTTGATTTTTTACGCGGCTCTTTAGAGCATGATAATTGTTGTATGCGTGTTTTGAAACTTTGAAATACCCATGGCTACTGGTCGGTGAAGCATTCAAAAATGCAAACGTGCCTGTCGACAAGTGCAGCTGTGTGAATCCACACAGTCACTTTGCTCGTATGTCACTCCCTGCAACTTTCCGGTGCACGTGGATTTGCCTGTCGTGTGAATACCCCATAAAGATATGGAAGATACTGACGTGATGAATGCCAGGTGATGCCTGTGAGCGAGACTACCGGTAGCAAGAGTACATAACCCCCAAGAGTGTGCAACTCCAGCTATGGGGTCTGCGACGGCAGAACTTCACATCACGTGATGAACCTGTACACATTATTTGCACTCTGTGCATGATAGACACAGGGTTGTACACAGCCCAGCTTTGGGTACAACTCTCTTGTGGTCACTTTGCACTGTTTGCCAGCGTAACCTTTTGAACCATGTCACGTGATGTGAAGTTCTGCCGTCGCAGCACAGCATAGAGGTTGTGCAGGCAGTTGCACACTCTTGGGGTTATGTACTCTTGCCGGTAGCAAGAGTATATAACCCCCCAAGAGTGTGCAACTCCTGATACCCTTTCTATGGGGTACGCCGACGGCGAAAACTCACATCACGTGGTGCAGGTGTACGTTTCCAGCCCTTTTTAGCGAGCAGCGGAGTACTAAAAAAAGCACTCTCTGACAGAAACTCACTGCGCGTATGCAAATCCCCAGCATGATCACGGCAGATTTTCGAATTGCGCGCATGCTATCCTACGTTCGTACGTAGTACAAAGGTATCTGAGACACGTGATGTGAGTTTTCGCCGTCGGAGACCCCATGTGCAGAGTTGCACACTCTTGGGGGGCGGGGGGTTATATACTCTTGCCGGTAGCTACTGCGGTAACTGCCTGCAATGCACTCAATTGTTGAGGTTGTGCGATCGAGGTCATCTGTTGAGAATCACAGCACAGCTGTACCAACTAGCACTGTTTGCCTCTCCATACTCCATGCTCCATTCGCATCACCTCTTTTGTCCTTGTTTTGTTTGTGTGTTTTCTGCTGTAGAACCTATGGATGGCTGCTGAGCGTCTTGCGTGTCCTACGTGTCCTGCTTGCCCTGTAAGCCACTAGTAATGTAGCTGCGAGAGTCACCGTCCAAATCTAGCATGACATGTACGTATAGATCCAGCACAGTCTATGTGTTGTGCTGTGCTAGAACTCTCAACGGCTCTGCGACCATTCACGTTTCCACATCACATGCCTAGTTTGCACTTGACCAATCCCAACTTTGTCAGTGCCAGTGCTGTATTCCTCGAACTCAGTTTTATACAAGGAAGAACGGTTGCCTTCCAAGATTTCTACTTTCCGCCGTGTGCACCTTTTTTTCTCATCAGCTTGAAATGCCGTGTGGCTGCATTCTTGTTTGTTGTATTACCATGCCGCCGTCGCATTCTATTTTGTGCCTGGACGGTGCAAGAGTAGCTTACACCCTCATCCCAGCCACCACTGCCACAGGGCCAACTGGTCCGGTTAGTAGGCGCCGCCTAGACAATGTTATAAGGTTTTTTTTAAAGAATGTGTATTGTACGTTGCTATGCCCTGTGTCATGCGGTGCATGTCCCATCCAGCAGGTATATCTGTCATATGAAGCTGTCCTGCATCCCACGCTGATCCGTCCTGCCCCACCTATATTTTTGAAATTACTCGTATCTGTTGCCTCCTGTTCTATGGTTTGTTCCTTTCCTTCATATCCACTCACATGGTTTATGTCCTCCTCCCCTTCACAGCCACTCGACCTCACTCGTTTTATGGTCCATGTTTTGTTTTATCCTGCCATGTCATCACTCTGTGTTGCTGTTAATTTATTGTGGCATGGAATCCGCTTTTTAATAAATAAAATAAATAAACTAAGCCAAGTTGCAAGTGCTGGGTATTGGATTGTGTAGTGCCTACTAGTGGTGGGTATTGGATTGTGTAGTGCTAATACTAGTGGTGGCACAGGCAGTTATGCGGGAGCACAGTGACTGGCACTACCTGGTTGACTGGCACACTGGCTCCAACGGGCTGGTCTATGTGTAGGCTCTCTCTCTCTCTCTCTCTCTCTCTCTCTCTCTCTCTCTCTCTCTCTCTCACAGCTTTTGCTCTTGATGATTATCCATAACAACTACAAATATCACTTTCGACGTTAATAATCAAGGAGAACGTGTTGGTGGAGTGGTCGCAAAGAAGAGATGAGAAACGGATGGAATGAAGGTAGACTCCAGAAGCAGGTGCCTTTTTTCTTCTTTTTCTATTTTGATCCAGCAGACCTACTTGAGCGAGCATTTTTTTTCAAAACAGGGAGGGAGCCTGGGGATTCTTGGATCCTTGGTCCTTGCCATGCCCCCCCCCCCCCCCCTCCTGGTAGCCATGGGGATTCTTTTTACCATGACACTGCACACATCGAATGACATATTTGGCAAGATATTAAAATATGATATAATCAAAGTTTCATGAATAATTTAATGGTAAAAAAGTAAACAATAGTAAAAAAAAGTAAATGAAAATTACTCCGGCATGTTGGCATGGTTTGGTAGATGGAAACTGGATGTGATCGTGACTCAGGCCCGCCGGCATGCCAGGATAGATGGAAAGTGGATGTGAGCGTGAATAGACACATGCAATCCTAGTACACAACTCAGTATGGTGCAAAAAAGGCACACCAAACCAAAAATACTTGAAAGGGAAAAAACAACGAATATAAACCAGGGCAAATAGAAGAATTTCAAACCCCACGATTATTTTACATTGCGGACTGTACCTAGTCTAGTATCACAAGGCATGAAACACATCAGCTGCAGGATAAAACGCCTGTACAGAGGACATTACGATCTAAGCAAAGATTCATTGAGCGGCTTTCGAAAAATCAGTTCTACCTAGAAAGTTGGGCAAACGCAGATGAAGTATTTGTATGTGTTGGAAGATAGCATGCCTGATGACTCAACTCAGTGTTTCAAACAACTGATAAAGGATGTGATGGGTTTTCTAAAAGAGGAAGTAATTATTAGAAGACAACTCCGGAGCAGGATGTGCACAGTGCGCCAGGGTGCACTCTGGTTTGGTGGCCATCCCCAGTCAAGCGCACTGACAGCAGCCCGAGAAGCGGCGACGTTCTAAACTTCTAATGTCACGCTTGAACGTAATATTCTAGAGTTGACTGTCTGCAGTATACATGTAGCAACAGGTGCACACACACACACACACACACGCACACGCACACACACACACACACAGACTTTGAATGAGTATTGTAAACCATGTTCTAACAATACAACTACAAAAGACTACCAAGAAGCATACCTACCTCAAGTAAGGGGCCGTCCGGGGTTACCAATTATTGTTTTTTTTTAACGAAAACTTTTAGTATTTATCAGCCCGCACCCACCCTTCCCACCCTTTCAGCAGGTAAACGAATTTCAAAATCATTTCAATATTCGAGAGCCATCACAGTATTCATGGGTATTCTCCGTGTATTCAATAACTATTTTCAAAACAAAATTCAAAATAAAAAAGGAGTTGGGTGTGTAGTATACAATTATAATTAAGAGAGAGAGAGAGAGAGAGAGAGAGAGAGAGAGAGAGAGAGAGAGAGAGAGAGAGAGAGAGAGAGAGAGAGAGGGGGAGAGGGACAGAGAGAGCACATTGTCTGAGAGAGAGAGAGAGAGAGAGAGAGAGAGAGAGAGAGAGAGAGAGAGAGGGGGGGGGAGAGAGAGAGGGGGGGGGGGGGGAGGGAGAGAGAGAGCACATTGTCTGAGAGAGAGAGAGAGAGAGAGAGAGAGAGAGAGAGAGAGAGAGAGAGAGAGAGAGAGAGAGCACATTGTCTGCTACTCACATGTCCAGCAAGGAATGGACAGGAGACACACGTATTACTATGAAACCTTTTGCTTAAGTTCAGCCAGTTGCTGTTGTAAACTGTCCGCACTATCCAAAGTAGCCTGGACACACACACACACACACACACACACGCACACATACACACACATACACACACATACACACACATACACACACATACACACACATACACACACACCTCAGACCTCAGACCTGCCCATCGCGGAAGCGATGATAGCGAACAGCTATGTTAGCCAGCAACTTGTGCTGGGATTACACCATTCAACAGCTTGCAAGGCTGATGAATTGACCGCCACTAATTTTAGCCTGGTATCCACCACACAGCTGATTGAAGCGGCTTTTTCTGGCCAGTGAATCCCAATTTTTCATTTTTCCACACACACACACACACACACACACACACACACACACACACACACACACACACACACACACACAAACATATAGACACGTACACACACATGCACACATGCACATTCACATACACACATATCATGAAACAGACAACCACAACAACAATGACGCTGGCAGCAACAGCAACTGCAACAGGGATAGGAATAGGAGCAATAGCACAAGCTACAGCAACAAAAACAGCAAAGCGCGCTCTAAAATGACTGGGTGACAGATCAAGGCGGGCTTATCGTAAGCCTAGGGTTGAATAAGCTCGGGTTTATTTTTCACTGTAGGGGTGAAACGAAGGTCTCAATTTGCCAAACGAACCTGCTTCTTCAAAACGAACGAAGGTGTCGAAGGATTTTTTTACCAGTTCACAGTTCCTCTTGAAGCTCTGTGCATGTGCCCTACGAACTACATGACTTTGCACATACTTGCTATGCAGTCACCACAATTGGCACGCCCATAGCTTTTGCACTGCGCAGTTTGCAGCTCAAACTGCCCACGACTACTTCTGCACACTGTGGCGGTGAATGGCCACGCTCAATGGCAGTCTGTGGCCTATTGTGCACTTGCAATGGCACCTACGGGAGCCAAGTGGACACAAAACTAGTGCACTGTAAAAACTACAGTACAGTACCTCCTGTATACAAGGAAGATCAGTGCATGTGTGTTCAGAGATCGTGTGTTAACCTTCTTTTGAAAACGAAGGTTCTTCGAACCTTTGACACCTTCGTTTCACCCCTATTTTTCACATGTAAACATCCCCTGAGTCAACCCACTGTTGTTTGGTTACAAGTTCCGTACCGCCGAAAAGTTTTCGGAATGGAAAACCTACCCGCATCCAATTATTGGCTCAGGTACCTTCAGAAATGTTCACCAAAACTGTTTGTGAAATTCGGATTGCCAAGCACCTCTCTAGTGATAACAACCTTGCTTTCTTTATCCACTGACGATGTTGTTCAGAACAACGAAACGTCTGGAAAGTATCGTAAAAATTTCTATCGTTATTAAATGTTATCAAATATACCACTCTTTGGTCTAGAAAGAATACTTTTTGATATTACAATGAGAGTGAATAATCAACGGCTTGTCCACCAACTCTTTAACCTTGCTGATACTACATTGCCCCCAAAGCAGAGCACACCCACACACCCACCCACCCACTCCACATGCAAAACGTCCACCAGCACCTACCTGTATATGTTGGACTGCTGCCTTGCGCCTTGCCCTCGCCTCTGCCTGGTCTTGTTCAAGTACCTGCAACAAACAACACCAGCACGTGGCCACCAAGCATTTTTTACACACTGCACAAGTCATTCAAGGGAAAGTCCCAGGGCACTGTGCTCAGACAGAAGGCTGCTCATCTGTGAGGATTGCCCCGCAACTTGACCATCACTTACATACACTTTCACACATGCATGTCAATGGGCAGTTCATATCGCTATTGTCGTATTGGGCTACCTTTCAAAGACTTCTTTTTATGGTCTCCTGGCCTACACCTGGGGAGGTGTGCGTGGCCAGATTAAAGGGGAAGTTAAGGCAAAAATTAAAATTTCACCAGTTGTAGTCTTCGGGGTGCTGAGTCGAATGGTCTTGGTCCGAGAAAGCTGAGACGCTCCCTTCCTACGTGAATCCCAATCGAACTCGCGCACTTCCACCGAAACTGGGTGACTGCGCCCTACTAGATGGGGATTTGTATGCAAAATGTCACTAAAAGCGCCGTTTCGTTCTTATAAAAGCACGGATGACCGCGATTGGCCCATATGTAATGTTGTAGTCTTTTGGACGCTGAGTCGACTGGTTTTGGTCCGAAAAGGCTGCGATGCAGCGTTCCTCCTTTATTCCCAATCGAACATGGTTGAACAAGCGGTCACGTGCTCCTGCGTTCACCAGTCAGCTGGTCACCGTGCCTGCAGGGTACAACTTACTAGCCTGTTTGACCTCTTTTGGGTGCAGTCCTGTCACTCGAGTTGAACCTTGGTGTGAAAGTTGTCGCCTGCTGGCGTGGTGATCAGGTGATTTGGGCACCCAGGAGCACGTGACCACTTGTTCAACCATGTTCGATTGGGAATAAAGGAGGAACGCTGCATCGCAGCCTTTTCGGACCAAAACCAGTCGACTCAGCGTCCAAAAGACTACAACATTACATATGGGCCAATCGCGGTCATCCGTGCTTTTATAAGAACGAAACGGCGCTTTTAGTGACATTTTGCATACAAATCCCCATCTAGTAGGGCGCAGTCACCCAGTTTCGGTGGAAGTGCGCGAGTTCGATTGGGATTCAAGTAGGAAGGGAGCATCTCAGCTTTCTCGGACCAAGACCATTCGACTCAGCACCCCGAAGACTACAACTGGTGAAATTTTAATTTTTGCCTTAACTTCCCCTTTAAGTTAGTGAGCGGTTGTTGTGTGCACTGTGTGCACTGTCTACACATGCCATGTACTGTGAAGCCCATCATGAAAGACCACATGCATTAACTATTTAACAGACCTGTATTTGTCATGTCACATACCAATGCCATGCCTCAGCATACAGGCGAAAGATGGCTGCAGCTGCTACCCATGGGACTGACCAATGGAAATCTTTGAATACAAGTAGTCTCACAGGGTGATGCTGGCACATAATAACATTGCACACAGTTGCTACTAAAGAACAGTGGTCGTATAGACCAGCAGATATAATAATCTACTGGCACGGACATGGAAATACGGTCGCATGACCAGGGCCGGCGCCGTCAGTGCCTACAGGACGCTGCATGCGATGAAGCGTCGAGCTGAACGCACCCTATCACGCCTGATGCGAGCTGCCGTCGTTCACAGTTACTACCGTATGCGTACTCACGGCCGTGGCATGGTAAGCGCGCGCCCTGGGGCCGATTGACCTCCGACCGGATTTCCATGTCCACAACAGTACATGATATTATACCACTAGGTGGTCTCTGGGCCTGGTTTCACCTGCGCATTGTGAGACTGAAAGGCTACCTGTCTAGTGTCTCAAGTACATACAAAGATCTATTTACAATGCACAGTGCACAGAGGTGTGCTCATTGAACACACATACACTTCACTGTACAGGTAAAAACCTGGTCAAAAGACCACCTGGTTTGTATGATCACCGGCTTGTAAGATCATCTGGTCTATAAGACCATACTTTTTTTATATCAACTGTGTGGAATGTGCATGGATCACACTGGTTTCAGAGACGACCTGCATTTAAAGATCGCGAGGGGCTGGTAGCCTGCATGGGTGATCACTGAAGCCAGGTCGTACTGGTACATGTGCTAGACGGTAATAAAGAAACGAGAGTGGGTGGGATTCAGCTGCACGTACATGTAGTAAACGTACAGCTGCGCTCAATGAAATCCAATCACGCCAACCAAGTGTTGCGTAGCCCTGCACCAGTGACACACCCCAGTGTTGGCAGGTCCAGGGCTGCACAGCGCCCTGCGGCATGGCATTCACTGGCTTGATGGGATTGCATTGAGCAGCCCTGAGCAGCCTGGCCGTACAAGTCACTACTCACCAGTGCATCTAGTTGTTCTAACAGTTTGACTAGCTGTTCTTGAATACCAGCACCGGTGCGCGTCTGCTTTGTTACAGCCTGGCTGTGCAAGTGCTGGGGAAGATGATTCTGAACAACACAGGGAGCAAGTAGATCCAACACACACACACACGCAAACACACACACACACACACACACACACACACACACACACACATGCATACATACACACACACACACACACCAGACATACACACACACACACACCATACATACACACACACACACCATACATACACACACACACACACACACCAGACATACACACACACACACGCCATACATACACAGACACACAGACAGACAGACACACATATGCACACACAAAGTGACTGCTTGATTGTGTGTGTGCTTGAAGTACATGTGCAAGGCAAAACAACTTAGGTTAGCTGCCATGGAACACTCATCCACAGTGGTTTTGCCCGACATCCGTGCGACACCTGTGCGCACTCAGAACAGCACAGGCATCTAAACCTCCTTAGTACAGTGGCCTATCAGCCCAACACGACCGGAGTCTTTAGAGGTATTACCCTGCCTGACTTATACATTAGGCGTCTAATAGAAAAAATAATGAGGATAATTGTGAAGCGAACACAAGGCCAACACGGCTGAGAAAATCCCTAGGATGTTGCTGAACTTCGCAAAACATCGTGCGTCTCCGTTTTCGAAATGCACTACAGAAACATTGCACACATCTAGACAGACTTGGCCATATTACAAAGATAGTGTTCACACACACCCACACACACATGTGCACACACACACACACACACACACACATGTACACACACACACACACACAAACACACACAAACACACATACCCCTTGTACACCAGCGACTTCTGCCCGCAGTGATTGCAGTTTCTTCTCCGACTCGTGGCACGATTCCAGGATTCTCTGAATTTTACTGCAGGTTTCACCTTCACCTGGATCGAACTGTAGTTTGGGAACATCAGGAGAAATAGGTTCCGAAATAGGTTCCGAAATAGGATCCAGCCACACAAGAAGGAACATTGTCACCAGCATGAGTAGCGCAAGCAGCGCCAGCAGCACCAGCATTGCCAGTATCAGTGACTCTGAGAGAGGGTCCAGAGCCATGAGGATTCCGTAGGAAGAAGAGTTCGGAAATATTGCCAGTTGGACTGTTCTGAAGGGTGGAGCGCAAGACTAGATCTAGCATGAAGAACTGCAGATCAGAACTGAGGATGAAACACTCATTGCATTGCTGGATAAAACACTTCAAACGAAAGAACCCGAAGCAGTGCAAAAGTGACAGCATCGCACCGGATTCTATCAAAGCAGCGCAACATGATGCATTATAGTGCAAGATGTCGCTGCTGAACTGTGCAAGTCATAGCTGCAATGGCAGTGCAGTGGTGTGGACTAACATCTACGGTGACAGAAACGTCAGGTGCGAGCATGTGTGGAGATGTGTGTGTGTGTGTGTGTGTGACTGTGTGTGCCAGACAATAAGTAAGTGATGATGTACATGAGTGACATAAAAGCACATCGCTAAACCCAGGGCTGCAAAGCAGAGGTGTGAATATCACACGTGCACATGTACCACCTTCGCTCTCCTGCCACTAGTACAAGACAGGTGGACAATACGAGCAAACGCTAGAATATGCAGTGGCTACCCCTTCCTATTATATGGGTAACAGACAGCTGTGCAGCGTGAAAAGTATGCACAAGTCAACATGGCGATATTCATAATTGGTACAGAATAGGAGAGGTGACGCGTCAAGTTAGCATTCTTTCAGGTACGTCAATATGGCAGGAAAGTGACACGTAACACTGCCATTACAGTACACACTGCTGGCTAGTGAAAGTAGATTGAGACGAAAACAACAGCAACACATACACACTTGCAGGAACACTCACACACACACACACACACACACACACACACACACACACACACACACACACACACACACACACATAGACAGACACATACACACAGGGACGCACACACACACACACACACACACACACACACACACACACACACACACACACACACACAGATAGACAGACACATATACAGGCACACAGGGACGCACACACACACACACACACACACACACACACACACACACACACATACACAGGCACACACAGACGCACACTTCATGTCTCCATAGGACTCACAAACACAAGCAAGCACATACAACAACAGCTTCAACACTGAAATGAGCATACCCTTTGGCCAACAATCATAACCCGCGAATGGGGCTCAATTCCAACTTCACAGAGCATTTCATTTGGCTGACGCAACGTTTTGCCTGAGCAGGGCAGCAGCAGAAGTAGCAGTAGCAGCAGCAACAGCAGCAGCAGCAGCAGCAGTAGCAGCAGCAGCAGTAGCATCAGCACACATGAAATATTGAAAGAAGAAAGACCATGAAAGGGTTTGCTCCCCACACCGGAGCTCGCGCTATTCCGCCGACTTTACTTGACACTTGACTGACTCACGACTGCAATCCAGAGCACACGAGAAGTCCATCGAACCTTCGACTCGGAAAGACCATGCTACCAAATATCAACCAATATGTGTATTGTGTAGAGTGTATAGTCTCCCTTTAGCTTCATATGGCTATGTAGATATATAAAATCAAGAGCCCAGTGCGCCTGCCTTGTATTGCATGGCCATGGAAAGAAATGGCAATAACTCCGGACAGCCTACAACACTGAAATGCAAGGTAGCATCCAAGCCAGCATCATATCCCATCTAATGTATGCAGAAAAAGCGATAGAAACAGCAGTAGCCAGCACTGTCTGTATTGGCATCACAACTTTTTGTAGCATCAAACGCAATATATATTTAAAAAAAGGGACAGTAGAAACAGCAGCGGCAACGTACCTTTAAAAATGAGGCGCTGTCTGTCCACAGGTATACCAGTTATGGACTCGGCACAGCGTTGCAGGTCATCGACAATGGGCAGGCCGTGTGGCTTCTCACTGAAAACAAGGCATTCATGCTTCTTTTGGCCTGTGTGAACAATGCAAGTGCATACACACAGTCCGGTACAGTCAATACAACTGTCACTAATCAGATTAGACTATGACCACACGTCCACAGTGTAACACGCACATACACACAGTCACACACACAGTCACACACACAGTCACACACACAGACACACACACACACACACACACACACACACACACACACACACACACACACACACACACACACACACACACACACACACACACACACACACACACTGCAATGATGTGGAAATAGCTCGGATAGCTAATGCACTCACCACACACTAACACAACAGGAATTTTCTCGGAGGACGTATGCTCGGCCATGGTTCTTCAACCAGCGTCACTCAACACTCAGTTGGAAAATAAATTGTGGAAAGTTCTGAAAAGTTCAGAAAAGTTCGGAAAGGGAAGTTGCGAAACTGAGTCTGTTTGGCTGGAGGGAAACTAGTGTCTGTCCAGCAGGGGCACGAAAAAGAATAGACGTAATTCCAAAGGAAACAACAGCACTTGGCTGAACTTCCTTGAATTCAAAATCAAACTCAAACTCAAAGAGCTAGAGAAAGGGATTTTCCAAAAATATGATATGAATGACTCAATCCAATGATCGAAAAATGGCATGTCACGTGGATCTTGTGCAGTACACGTGCAAGAAAACCTCACGGAGTCCTGCTGACAGCATGGCTTGAGCATGCACAACTCAACTCAAGAAGTCCGAGCTCGAGCTGCCTGGATGGTTTTTGCCCTTTTCATACATTTTGTTTGAGGTTTCAATGTTTGAGTTTTATGAATGTTCGAAAAGTTACTAAGTTGTGTAGTGCATGAAATACTTTGTGAATGATTTGGAAAGGTAATTTGTGTCAGTGTTTGTCTTCATCATGGACAAGTTGAAGCCAATCATCCTTGATGACTCAGTGGAGTATCGAGTCTACTTTGCAAATAGCCCAGTAGACGAGGACTTCGCTTTGGCCACGCTTTCATCCTTGTCATCTAAACTGAAACAATTGTCATCTGGTTGGCTGTGGCACTGCGAGGAATTCAGCTTGGAATTGGTGAAGGCGAAAGTATCGGAGGACGAGCGGAGCTCTATACCCGCGCACCTCTACGGCGTAACTCACTTTGGTGATAATTTAGACGATGAATGGCTGATCGTGTACATGCTATTGGAGGCGTCCAAGACCTTCACAGACCTAGTAGTATCGATTGAAGATAGTGATGGACAGTTCCTACTGATTGAGACTGCCAATGCACTACCGCGCTGGTTGACCCCAGAGCGTGCTGAAAATCGTATCTTTCTGCACAAAGGCCAGTTGCACATCATCCCAGAAGCTCGCCATCCAGGTGAGGTTGGTGTATATCCAGTCGGAACGCCGAGAATTTCTGAGGCTATCCAACTGATCAGTAACGGCACCTTTTCCACGGAAGCAGATGCGGCTGTGCAGGACTTGCTGAGTGCAAAACTGGCGATTTTCCCGGATCACATACACAAGTCCCGGCACATCGCCCAGTGTGTTTTGCCCGTATCCGCAGCCCATGTGTTAACGCACGATCCTACCTTGGTTGCATCCGCTGTGCAGACATTCTATGGTCGGGATCCACTGCAGATGCGTTCGTGCCGCAACATGAAGCACTTTGCCCCAGGGCGACCTGAGGACAACCTCTGTGTGAACACGGCATTCACAAAGTGCCTCTATGCGCAGCTGAGGCAGCAGCGGTACCGGCCCGGTGTGAAGTCGGGCTGGCAGATGCCACCGCCGTCAGATCCGCAGTTTGTCAGCCATGACCTGGGTATGAAGCTGTCGTATGGCTTGGAGATCCTGCGCAAGCAAGCACCAAAGTCTGCAGGTGAGACTAGCAATACTGCCGAGCAGGATATCAGTGATCAGTGTATTGGACCTCGCTGGGACAAGTTCCTGTCAAGCTTGCAGGCCCGTGACTACTTCCGCGGAGAGATGGAAGGTTCCAAGGAGCACCAGCGACTGACAGCAGAGGCAAAGCAGTACTATTCATCTCAGCTAGCCAGGGAAGATGCTCCATCAACTGAGGTTGTGCGGAGGAGTACTGAAGTTGGCCGAAGGGTACAACATATTCTCGACAATGTCCCGATGGATGTAGAGAAGCTGCGACAAGCCTGTGCCCATGTCAAGCCAGCAGATAGTGAAGATTGGATGTCAATTGATCAGCAAGAACTCGACAAGCTGTTGCAGCAGTATCACTTTGGCTCGGATCCCAGTGCTGCGTCCCCCGCTGCCGCCGCAGACTCTGCAGCTCACCATCCATCACAAGCTGGACAACGGTATCAGCCATCAGTCGAACCCGGCGAGGAGCAGTTGAAGACCTTGATCGACAGCATGAAGCAGTTTGTATCTGGTGTAGCTGGCCCCGAAGGCGCTGAGTTTCCAACCTCTAGCACTGGAGCTGTGAACTTTACTGCCGATGGTTTCGCCTCGGCCATATCCAGTTTACTGGGCGGTAACCATGACAAAGATGGCAGCGACAGTGACTGTGATCTGGCAGATGATTTGGATATTGGTGACTTCGATGATGATGATGACGATGAATTTGAGGAAGGTAGCGAAGCAAGTGAGATGAAATCTTATGTTGATGAGATGGACCATCAGCTTGCACAGACTGACCTTGGTGGCAGTTTTGAGCGCGCTCAAGCACATGCTAGTGCTGGTGGGTCCTCTGATCTTCCGCCAGTCGACATCGACATGAACTTGGTCAAGAACCTACTAGCATCGTACAGCGCTCAGGACGGACTGGCTGGTCCTGCTGGCAATATTCTGCATGGTATGGGACTGCAGATGCCTCAGCGCGATCCGTCATCATCTACGTGATTTATGGGATATGATTCTTGGTGTGACCATGACATACTTTAGTTGTTTTTTCAGACTTGGGGCATGTTCGATTGGTTGCATCTGGATCCAGATCGATTGAGTGGATCCTTTGGATCCACCAAGGTCCAATAAAACGCCGCCGTTGATTGAATCTGGAATTATTTGAGTGATTTTTGAGGGTTTCCATGAGAGAAAGCAACGATTTCCACATCATCACTTTTGTTCCTATCATTTGTACACGTACAGGGTACGATTTTTGGCAAAAAAAGGATCCTTTGGATCCGGTCAAACTTGCTCCCCGCAGCCCGAGGTGGGTTGATCGGATCCCAATCCAACAGATCTGAATCCGGAACCTACCAATCGAACATGCCCTTGATCTACTCTCCGTTTCATGATTTCTTCATGCCGTTCTCTTGGGATTCCTTGCTTGCTGCACAAATGGTTATAATTGTAGGTTCAAGTTTCATTTTCTCATCAAGGGCTGCTGGTTCAGCCTACTTCACAATACGCACAGTCATATTATTGCATCTTGCTCATATATTGGCCGTTAGGTTTCGAATTACAAGACACACAGCTGTTGGAAGTGGGACAGTTGTGCAATCTATGCATTGTGACCCTATCTGGTACAAGTACACGTACATGGGTTCTGTGACGAAACAGATCGTATGAACCGCCATGCACCAAGTAGAATCTACTGTAAAAGCAGAAAATTTCGGTGGTGTAATATTTTCGTTATTCTCCAAAATAGTACTACATGTATACAGTATTGGTTGTACCGAAATTTTCGGTGCGTTTTATTTTCGGTAAAAATTGTCGGCACCGAAGTTACCGAAAATAAAACACCACCGAAAATTTCTGCTTTTACAGTACTACTACAGTACTGGAAGACTAGCAGCCGGAGAGACCCCTAACGAACAGAAGCACAGATAACCTGGCGAGTAACCACCCTCGGTCTGGCATGAGAAAAGCGCTGTCATTTAGCGAGTTTGAAAGTATGCAGCCGCATTGCTACCAAGTCTGGCCATACTACAGTAGTCTCGTTACTTTGAGAGTTGTTATCCACGAGGATGACTGTACTTGACATCGCTACTAGTTCAACTTACTAATGAAATGAATTCAAGCAGCGCTTGATCCCTAACTTTCAGATAGGAAAACTACCTTTATTTACAATGGACCCCAAACCTGTTTACCACAAGGTACCAAGATAAACACATTTCTGTACGAAACCGGCCGAATCATGTACATCGTACTCAGGGATGAATTTATCCGGTATCGCATCGCAGTTTGCTACGCAAAATCGATCTACTGTTACTGAAAAATCACAGTGACACACAGAAAACTGCGATACATACATGTACAGGCTATGTATGCTTTTTGTAGCTTACGCCACAATTGAGATTTTGCATAGCAAAAACTGCTATACAAAAACCTGACAGTAAATTCATCCCTGGTACTACATGTACTTCGAAGTAATTTGTAAGTACGTGACCATAGTGGTGTACAGACAAAACAAGGTCTGTATTAAATCATCGTCCTCTGTACCAGGCAAGCCAGGAAGAGTGAAAAAGAACTCAAGAAAATTTCAAAAGATATCTAACGTAAAAATACAATTCACAAAACACGAAACTACCGCAGCTAATTGTTAGTACCCAAACTTGGCATTCAAGTGGGTTTTGCCATCTCCGGATTGGTTCTTTGGTGGCAACCATGCATCCACATTGGGATCACGCTTCCAATCGTCCAGCGAGTCTTCTTTCACAGCGGCCTTGACAGAGCTTGCAGCCGAGGCCAATGACTGCTCTGCAACATGGCGCTGACGGCGCTTACGTCGCCGTGCCGACTTGCTTTGTGACTCCGAGTCGCCATCCTGCTCACCATCACCGTCCTCAGCACGCTCTGCTGGAGCAGTCGTAGCTGGCTGTGTAGCATCAACAGGTGGACCGGCCGGCAGTGATGGTGGCCCTTGCACGGTGACACTCCGAGGAAGTGCTCTCCGCTCTGAAGACGGTGGTGGTGATGGTGATCTGGCTCTAGACGACGGTGTTGCATCCTTGCGACTAGAAGTACTGGTGCCAGTTAAAACTGCCTCACCTGTGTCCATGTCCTCATCCTCCTCTTCTTCTTCTTCAACTTCCTCAGTGTGCCGTTCTGGCCGATGCTTGGGCTCAGGGGCAGCTGGTTTTGCTGTAGGAACACGCAGGCCACCACTGCTACCAGTAGGACGCTTGGCAACACCGACAAATCCATACGGCTTCTTCTTTGGCTGCGGCGACGACGCAGACTCACTACGAGGAGAGCCGGCCACTTCGGAACCAGAGGAGTTACCAGCGTCCGCTTTGAGTTCCGGTAATTTAGTCGGAGCAGTCAGAGCAACAAGCCTAGCAAGTTTGCTCTCTTCTTTCTTCAGGTCGGCAATAGTTTGCCGCAACTTGGCGCGCTGGCCGCGATCGAGTCGGTCATGGATGGAATTCATAAAGTCCTCCAACGACCCGTCATTATTTCCCTGAGCTGCCATGGCTTTATCCAGTTTGCCTTCAGCCTCCTTCACCTGACTCTGGATATCGGTTAGCTTCTTCGAAAGAGAGTCATAAGTCTCAACACCGTCAGCTGATTTATTCTTTCCTGACTTCTCCATTCGTTTCTGTCTCTTCTTTTCTGCCGTGCCAGTACGATCGAGGAACGAGTCCTCGTCCGAGTCGTAGAAGTCTTCGTCCCTTCGCCGACCCTTGCGACCGCCGTCTTTGCCCCCTTGATGCTCTCGCAGCATACCCTGAGCATCGAGTAGCCGACAAGCGTCCAGAGCCGCAGCAGCCATCGCATCTTTCTTCTTGGTTGCAGTTCCTTCACCGTACACGGGAGCGCCGGTGGCCGTCTGAATAGGCAGACGTACACGGCCAATATACATGTGCTTGTTTCCAGAGCCGTCTTCATCCGTCTCAAACTCCATGTCCATTCCTTCTCGCTCAAAGAAGGTTTCTAGCGCTTTCTTCGGATCTTTCTCAAAGTACTGCGCTTTGCCTTGCCGGGCACTCAGCAGGGCTTCGAAGTCTGGCCGTTCTTCCATGATGGCTTCCTCCTCTACATCGTCCTCTTGGAACCCCCAGCTTATTGCATTCGGGTCATCGCGGTGTTTGATGATTTTCCCAGACTTCTTTAGGCTACTGGCAGTGTCTTGATCTCCACCACTGCTCTCATTCACGTCACTTGCAAACCCGCGTGCCTTGCGCAGTCTCTCCTCCAACACTTGTCTCTCTTCCTCGGCGGCATCTGCTTCAATCATGGCCGCCGTAGTGTCCGGTTGACCTGCTACTAGCACGTACATACGAGTACTAAAGCCAAAACGAAGCTGGTGACCCAGCCGTACACGGTAATACGTTTTGGGCTTGAGCTTCTCTTTGTTGACCATTGTGTTGTTACTACTGCCCAGATCATACACGTAGAACTCATCACGTCCATCCGACTCTTGATCCTCATCTTCATCGTTACCAGGATTGTCCACATCAGACGAGTCGGCATGTGTCCTACTGGGTCTGCACTGCAACACAGCATGATACCTAGACGCTGACGGATGCTCAATCTCCACATCACATTGCTCGGACCGGCCAAACACCGTGAACGGCTTCTTGGACAGGTCGATGGTTTTCAGCAGCTGACCGTTCTTGATGACTTCTAGTCCATGAGTAACTGCTGGGCAGCCACCCCACTTCGGTTCAGTGTACGGAACAGGACGTCCAGGACTACGGCTAGTGATGGGTTCAGCTGCTGCAGTCTTCACTGGAGCATCATCAGGTTTGTCGCCTTCCTCTGGCGCTTCTTCTATATTTCTGTCCTCGTCCTTTTTCTCAGCATCGTCACTGGGCTGAACAGTAGGCTCATTGGGTTGTTCCTTGCGCCTCGAATCTTTTAATTTCGGGTCAAGAAGCAGATCTGCCGATGGTACTTGGAACGAGTCGCCTGTTGGAATATCAGACGGAGGGGCCAGAGAATCAAGGGATGCCTCCTCAACCTTTCGCACTGGCTTTCTCAATTTCAATGTCTTCGTCACTACCGAGAGGTCTGTTGGGCTGTCAGACATTGTGCTTGCAATTGTCTCCGTTCAAATAAACCCTACAACAAAGCACCACCGCACAAACCCTTTATTGAAAGGCCTTAGGCAAAGGATTCCTTTCCACCAGGGACATGTGCTCAAATGCTTTCAGAATCGTCAAACCACTACAAACTGCACCACCCTAGCTGGAAGCTCTGAAACATGAAACAGTACAGCTCATCGATCGTTTTGAATCGTCGTTTGTTTTACGTTCTGTTTCGACTTTCCCGTCTTTTTTTAGTCTTTTTAATTTTGTAAAAAGAAAATAATTATTATCGCGTCGTCCATGACAACACAAGTTGTTCGCTCATAGTTACGTCATCTGGCCTCATTGGATCCATTTCTGGCATGTATGTTTGAAGGAGCGACAAAAAAACAGAGAGGATACTTACAGTCAAGTTAGGGTTGGCGATTACCCCCCTGATCTTTGATCACGATGGCGAGCTCTCTGATGAGGCTTTTGCAAAAGCCAGCACAGTCCTTCTCTGCGCTGTGGTCACTATCAGCTTCTGCAGCAGCTCCACGGTAAGTTAGCACGTTTTTTAGCACAACATCTCTACCCTTGACTTTCTTAAGTTTCTTTGCATAATGTAATTGCATTGAAGTATTCTGTGAAAGTTGTTTGAGCACTTGGTGACAACACCTTACAGCTCGGGGTATTCTCTCTCCTCTCTGCTGCATGTAGTAGTTCGAACTGCTCACGTTCCACTAGGGGGATTATGAATGCCACTAAGCACATTAGTGTTGGGAAAACTTTGCTTCTCATGCAGCACTCACCAACATAGCATAGCCATAGGGTTGCAGCAAGCAGACTACATGTGCTTGACAATGAGTAGTGATCATAGTAGCTGACTGCAGCAGCAGTACATTGATTCAATTTGAAGGCACGGACTTTCGCTCTTATCAGACTGCTAACGTCTACTGAAATCAACACATCGTGTGTGTAGAAAATGCTGTTCAAAGTTCAGAACGATCCACTAGTACACTAGTACTGTGTTGCTAGACTTAGTAGTGGACTAAACAATGCCACCGCTACTGTACATGTGCACTTCTTATGAACGTGGAAATCATGTCTGTGCCTGCATTTTTTGGTACCACACCCGAAATTAGTTTAGTCATGGATAATGGCATTTCTCTCAGCACATTTACATGTATGTGTGTATGCGTTTGTGTGTGGATTCGACAGTTATCTGGTGTTAGTCTTGATCTGCTTCGTTCAGATTCAGATCCGCTATTGTTGCTATAAGAGAAAATCTGTGGGCGCACATCCAGTGCATTTGCACATTTGCGTGCTTCCTTTGTGATGGGCGAATACATGTGTGTGTGCACGTGTAGTCGTGTACGTATGTGTGTTTCATGTTCAAGTATACTTTCCAGTCACATATCAACTACCATGCGGTCACAGTCAATTCTCTTCTTTCCTTTGTGCAGCAGAATAGGGCCAAAACAAAAAATAGGCTTGTTTCCGGTCGGCAACCCCTCAAAAAGGAGACTCGGTCGGCCGGAATGAAACTTTTTTGGATACTTTTTAGGTTCCTCAGTCGTTGTGGTATTGATGGACAAGAGCACCTACACATGTACATTGTACATATATCATGTCAAGGATCAATGTCAAAGTTGACTGACTCACTGTTCTTGTACAGCATGTGGTGTATTCCTGTTTTCGTACATCCTGAGAAATCAAGCAAACAGTTCAAGTCCTTCCAGCTCCGTTATTCTAGCTCGTATCGACCCCGGAGGTTTTCGAGCCGACAGCTGAGAATCTCTGCTGCCTTGTAGGTGTTTCGATTTGACCGAGTGTTGACTCGTTTAGTGCACTTGCACACATGGCATTGCCACCGTTTGTATACATTTGGGACCAAAAACAGTTTCAGAATTTGGGAAAAAGTGGCCCGGTCGGCCGACCGGAAACAAGGTCATTATTTGTTTTGGCCTAGGCACTATAACTTATCAGGCAAAAGTGAACTCTGTGCATTGTCTTCGTGTCTCTAACATACTTGTGTGTCCTCTGTGTAACACGTTTACTGTATCCGTAGCCCCGGAGCCTTGAAAGCAGTCGCGCCTCTGCAATCAGTACGATGCTGGTGCGGTGGACAGGAGTACAAGCCAAACTACTTGCGTCGGCAGCGTAAGATCTGCCTGCTCAAGCGCCGGCTCACCCTCGGTGGTCTGCGCCTGCTGCAACGGAGAAAGATGAAGGGCAGATGGTACATGGTCGGTTGAGTCGTCTTCACCATGTTTCTATGTCGGATTTTATCTGAACACTGCTGAGTTTGATCCCTATCAAACTATACCGCCTTGTGCCCTCGCTGAATCTATCCATTGCTCAATCTGTACTGGAAGAAAGAATACTCTAATGTACACATGTGCCACACGGTCTGTTTGATTTGCTTGTCGGAAGCGGGCAGGCCCCGGGATAATGTTGTAACCTGAGTGACTGTGCTTGAAAAAGCGTATAGTAAACAAACAGCAAATTGCTGCCAACCTACTCTACGTTGAAAAAGGATAGAAAGAGAAGGTAAAAAAAGGAACAGTTCTTCTAGCATCAGCATCACTGACAAAACTATCACAGACACATACACAACCAAACCTAAGATGTCTAACAAGCATAAAATCATAAAACAGTACTGGAATACAAGTCGAGCATAGGACAGCAGAATGCCAGCGCCGCATACTGCCACTTGACTTGTACACTAAAAAGTACGTAAAATTTGTTGAATCTCCACGTAGAACACAGAGATCAGCAAAACTATTTCCCAGTCCTCGTATAGGCAGTAAACAGATGGGCTTTATAGCATGAGCTGGGGGAAAACCTAGCAGTAGAAGCCGAGATACACGGAAAGCAGTAACCTATGTTGAAAATACTTCGGAGTAGGGTAGAAAGTGGTACCACAGGAAGGATGGCATGACTGGGGGAAACCCCTAAGAACATAATGTGACCTCTACAGCTTACAGGGGAGCAAACAAATTTCCTACCTACTCATGATTGCTACTGTACAACTGTTAGTTTTCAAGGTTCCCAACTATGGTAACGGACACAAAGGTTTGCCAATTATTTGCACACACACGCACACGAGTATGCATGGGTACTGGCAAGAAGAAGAAAAAACGAATACGGTATAGTAGATGCAGTGACACAACGTGATTGTTGTCAGCACGCAAAGAAGAGCTGGGTCTTTATGCTGTCGCCTTGATCACCTGGAAGGACAGAGCACATGGCAATGACATAATTTTACTGTCACAAACAACCAAGGACCCATATAGCTATTCACATCAAACACTACAGTGCTCCGTCAATTAATTAATTATTTCCTGAGTCACCTGCTGTATGTACAATGCCACAGGCCCACAGTGCCAACAGGAATAATGATGGACACAGGGACAGTTGGGCAGAGCTACCCCCCCCCCCCCCCCCCCAGAGGTATGTCTGGATACGTACAATTATCTCAATAGTTTGACTTCACAACAGCGAGAATTCCCAGGTTGCCTAGAGTGCTCAACACCACAAGGATGGAGCAATACCACAAAGCTGTCCCCTTGGAAAAACGCGATTCCGCGGCCGCGGCAAATTTCGCAGAAGTTGCCATCATCCGCGGAAATCACGGAATCCACACTTTTGCCCGCGGAATCTGATTTTTTAGGGTAAATTACTAAAATTACTACTCAGAAGGCAGCAGAAAAACTACTTTGCGATCTGTTTGAGCACATTTCTCTCCAAGATTCTTCACTCTTATTCAGTTTGTGACTGCAAAGGATAGTATGAAAAGTGCTCCTTCATGCGACTATATTTGTAGTTGTCATATCCTCTACGAGGAGGGTGAAAAACTTGCAGAAAGTGCCGCAGATTTTTGATTTTACCGCAGAAAACCACCCTTTTCCCCGCGGAATTTGCTGCGGAATTTTGAATTCTTGGCCGCGTTTTTCCAAAGGGACAGACAAAGGCAGAAGAGCTGTCCGAGGATTGCCTTAGCTTTGCTATGTGCATGAAACACAGCGTTACAACAAGGACCTAGCCGGTTGTCTGTTCTTTTCTGCCTTTGTAGTTTGACTTCACATGCCTGGTGTACTCATCCAGCATAATATCATACTGCACACACCCGCAGTTGTTTAGCGTACACAGACAGTGTGGTACATGACATTGATTGTACTGCGTCTAAAATCGGACAATCCAGGAAGCCAAGACACGAGTTACAGGACACTAGTAAACCGTGCTGCTGCCAACGGATGGTGACAATTTACCTTTGAGACATCTACACCAGTCAGTCGTTGCACAGTTTCTGGCAATAAATTGACAATGTCCAGCACTTCCTTGGTCATCTTGGCAGCACCAATTTCACCATCGCCACCGGATATCATCACTACATGCTTGGCCTTGGCAAGCGGGGCAGACACTTCAGCAACCACCTTGGAACAACAAACATGCACAAACAAAGAGGTGCACATGAGTATACTTGAAGTAAATTCATACATGCACACATACACAGCACACACACACACACACATGCACACACACGCACACACACACAGTGACACACACACACACAGATGCAGATTGAGAACATGGTGCGTATGGCAGCGAGGAAGGAAACCAGCAAAGACTGGGCACGCAGCATACCGACACAGTGCAATGCCAGGAGTTGTCCCACCCTGCAAGTCACATGACTCAACACAAACTTCATAGATACGGGCACAGGCCTTTCTCAGGTTCGGAATTCTTGTGCATCATAACTGGGCATGTTTCCGCGTTGAAGTGTAACAGCAGTATGCTGAGTCCCTAGCTTAGCTTATGCTGAATGGTTAGAGAGGAGAGAAAGCAGGGGCATCTGTTTGTAATTAACTAATGTGAAGGTTGAACGTAACGCCCCATACCAGTAAACCGGAGTTACTGTAGTAGACCAGATAGCCAGCCCCCACGTGAGCTACCAAACAAAGCTTCACTAGACCTGCACGGACAGTCATTACCTTGGGCAGGGTTTCCAGGACCATGTCCACCATGGCTGCATCCTGGTATTCTTTCCAGGCATCCGCCTTCTTGGCCATCTGCTCGGCTTCAGCGCTTGCCTTTGCTTCAATGGCAAAGGCTTCAGCTTCACCACGCACCTAGTTTTAGCAATGAGGACAGCAAAGAGAAACTTACTACTACTCACCACTCGAGCAACCCAGCAATCATTACTACACCAACAGATTATCAACAGCTACATGCAGTCAAAGCTGATAATTAAAATTAAAATTTGTAGCGCACACGGGTGCCAGATACCAAACAAATACTGTAAAACATGTAATTTTTGGTGTATTAAAATTTCGGTGTCAGGGACCTGCCAGGTTTCAGGTGTAATTTAGAATTAAGTGACCAGCATTCCCTGCACATACAGTGCATACTCTGGTGCCTTTTAGGTTTAATCTAAATTTAGGTGCTTGTTTTCTCTACCGAAATCACCGAAATTAAAGTTACACCGAAAATTACGTGTTTTACAGTACTAGAACTACAAGCAGCAGTGCTAAACACACTTGTACAGATCACAGTCATATGTTTCACGGTTCACGAGAGACTCGGCTAGACCCAGTGCCATCCGTAGGAACTCCTCGAGGATCAAGGCACACATGCACCTCCTAAGACGATCAATAGGATTGCTTGAAAATCGCACGGAATTAGCAACAAAAGCAAACAAATTGTGCGTACATACCCGAATTGCTTCAGCTTCAGCTTCGGCCTCCAGGACAATGCGTTTCCTGCGGACAACAGGCAGAGGAGGCGTACACAGCCAAGCATTACCATCAAAAGAGATGGAGGTGAATGCTCATTCACATAAAAAAAAGCGATGAAAGCAGTGGGTATGCGTGTGCACGCACGAGTGCTCTTTGCAAGTGTGTGCGCGCGCGCGTGCGTGCATGTGTGCATGCGCAGCTCTGCATGAGTGCTCTAACTTGTGAGATTTAGCACTTCGTTATTATAGTATAGGGCTTTTTACAGTATACATGGCTGAGCATCATTGATGAGCAGTCCTTCATTTCCTGATGTGCTGTGCAGTGATAGATGCCACAGGATAACACAACATGTATAACAATACAACACACGCCAAAAACACAGCAACATGTCTATGTCCACAGTGTGTATACCTCTCAGCCTCAGCCAGGGTTTGCATCTTGTATCGAGTAGCATCAGCAGGCTTCTTGACGCTGGCTTCTAATTCTCGCTGACGACGTTGAATTTCCTGCACAGCCACAAGAGTCCAACAACAAAATAGAACAGATATTGCACGTTGTTCCTCAACACGTCCAGCAATATTAGCCGTGCCTGGGAGTTGGGAGCTGCACAAACAAAGTACCATGCATGCTTATTCCGTTTCCAGGTTGTGACCCCACCTGGGTTAGCTACAATACATGGGTGATTTATACAAATCATTCATCATCAACCTGACATTAGCAACAGTACGAATACTAGCACACAATGGAACGCGTGCTAAAAGACACCTGAGAAATACGGACACGTGAAAAGCAAGGAGACCTTTTGGTGGTTTCCACAAAGTACAGAGTCGCAGACGTGAAACCTCCACGGTAAGGACACCATAACGCATGTGACAAGGTTTGTTAGCCCCACTACTGTAATAGGTGTCCTGGTTTCTAAGGATGTGTTTACTCTACTACAAGTATGTACAGTCAGACCACCTCGCTTATCCGGTCCTCGCTTATCCGGTCCTCTTTTATCCGGATCCCTCGCCATCTGGAAGAAAATCGTTGGTTACCGATTTACAGCATATGCCATGCATACATACAGTATGTGTGTTCGATTATCCGGTTCCCTCGCCTATCCGGATATTTTTGTGGAAAACGGATCCGTGCGGTTATGCGAGGTCTGACTGTAGCTACAAGGTTGCATGCACACTGAAACGGGAAAACCTACCTGGTCTTGAACACTGATGGCTTGTTGACGTTCAATAACCTTAACCTGCATCTTCTCTTCCTCAATTTGCTGACGGGTTTTGGCAGTCTAGGCACAACAGAATCACACACATCCCCGCATCTGTCAAGTATTCTTGGAAATATTCTCAATCAATCTTGAATAAAGCAAAACTGGAAAAGCTTGAGCAAATCAACCAGTTCATGAGATGTTGACAATGGTTCTTGGACCATTTTCGCTTCTCTCTCGTCACTTTGACTTGATTTCATGGAGGAAACTTAAAATTCATTTACTTTTTCCCAATGTCACTAGCTCTTCATCTCCTAGCAACCACCACGAACAGTTCCCATGTGGCACAAATGAAGATTTTAATAAATGAAGTTACTAGCATGACATCTAGTTTCAGCTACTCTTCGCTCCAACCAACTGTCCCACTACAAGTCACGCACAAAGAGTAATAGAAGAGGCTTACTTGCAGCGAATGAGCTAGATCCGATTCAGCTTTCTTCGTATTCACTTCCCTGTCGTAAGCTGCCTTCTTGAGATCAAAGTCGCGCTGGGCCCGTGCCACTTCAATGTCATTCTCAAACTGTGATGCCAGCTGTTGCTGTTCTGCACGTGCTGACTGCATGCCAAAAGAACACGCACACACGCACGCACACACACAGAGTTTGTGAGTTACAAGTATGCGCACAGGCAGTATTGGGGACACAGCAGAGATTCAACCGAGTCAGGTGAAAAAGCTGGAATGCATTAACAATAATTGATCACCTGAGAAAATCTAGCAATTTTACTGTGCCATAAAAACACACCCACACCTGCCCACCCACCCACACATGCGCACAAACGCCTGGACACACCCACACTCAGAACACAGGCTACACCAGCACTTCATTGTGCCAAATGTAACTCAGCCTCCATTTCTCCCCCCCCCCCCCCCCCCCCCCCCAGATATGGACTACTAGGCACAATTCATTCATCACGCACCTTTATACCAGAATCTCGAGCAGCACTAGCTTCACCAATCTGAGCATCACGCTTTACCTCTGCGGTACGTGCCTTACCCAGCGCACTTAAATATCCCTGTGAAAACAAGATAGTGCGTCAAACCAAAATAGAACCAGAGATTAGTGCAAACAAATAAGAGAATGGGTGCCAAACAATACGATGCTAAACAAAGTGCTACGTGTATATGTATATGGAATACAAGGATGAGTGTCCGAAGACTACACCACAAGAAACAATGGGCACTGATGATGATGGTGCAAAGCACATACCGAAGTCAAAATTGATCATGACTAAGGCAACAAGAACGCAACATAACTACTTACAATATCATCGTGAACGTCCCTCATCGTGTAACTGATAATAGAAATGCCCATGTTGACAAAGTCAGCAGAGGCAGTCTGAATCCAATGCAACAACAACAGCAACAGCAGCAGCAGCAAGAATAACAATGACAACATTCAACATCGGTGATGGCAGCAGAGAAAATCAATACTACATCTACCAGCACGGTATGGGAAAAAACTTTCAAAAAAGCTAAAAGTCAGGAAACTTAATAGGTAGCCGGTACGCCCCAAACAAATCCAATGCTGGTGTGTGCACTAGGGAGTCACAGGGGTTTGCACACACCACACATATGTGTGCACGCACACACACCACGCACCACACACACCACATGCCACACATACACACACTCAGACTCACACACACGCACACTTCGACACACAGCTGCTCTCATGAGGAGGGGAACAAAGGTGTAGCATCACGGCAGAACATTCAGTCCCATGCCGCTGCAGATCCTGTTGCCTCTGATATCTCTCGCCATACGCACAGCAGAACTTGAACTGGAGACACTCCTTCACTCACTCTCTCACACACACACACACACACACACGAACGCACGCGCACACACACACACACACACACACACACACACACACACACCACATAAACATATCCTAGGAAGGGATAACAGTCAAGTATTTCCAAAAAAAGGAAAACAAGATTTTATTCACCTCAAACACTTGATTGGAAAACTTTTGCCGATCTGAATATATTTCCTGGAGAAGACAAAAAAAAAGAGCAACAGAAAGGTAATTTAACACACCTATCAGCTCTTGACCTCTTGCGATTGCTATAAAGAAGTCCTTCTTTAGAAGGGAGAGTGGCCGGAAGTGACAACTTCGGTTCTGGGCGCTAATGTCCACAAGGTCGGAAAGATCGGGCAGTATGTATCCCGTGTTGGCGGCACATCTTCATTACGTCAAGCAGCTTTCTCCGCACACTGCAGAAATCAAAAGCACTCTTCACCTACTGTTCAAAATTTTCGCACTGAAGTGAAGTAACAGTTTGTGCACTACAGACCACGGAGGGACTGGAACGAATCAGGCAATGACGGGGGTGCCGGCATGATAAATAATCGCTTGGGGGTGCGCGAGTGCGGGGCATGATGCAGAGTGCAGCGCGCCCACTCATGATCTCAGGCGCACACTCTTGGCAGCGGCCTACACATTCTGCACGTACTTCATCACCGTGCACCTGGTCTGGTGAGAGCTCATGGCCTGGCACAAGGGGCAAGTGGATGTGTCAAATAAACATTTACAAGGCATAAGTTAACACGTAGAACTGATGCTGAGTGGAATGAGCAGCACCGCAGGACCTAGTGAGATACAACATTCATTGGCCAGCATCACACTGCTCGATAGCATGCACTCATGGTAGGACATCTCGAGCCCAATGATGAGGTATACGTCAGGGAGTCGTAAAATACCGGGAGGCGACACGAGATGCACAGCCGCGTCGGATGATTGACTCAGCTCGGGCACGAGTGCTGAGGGAATATATAGAATCCCCATGAGGTCAAAGCGGCGCAGGTCATGCACAAAGAACGCGTTCGCTGTTTGGTCCCAAAAATCCAAAAAATAATCCTGCTCCCAAGGAATCGTCCGAGTGTCAGCAGTTGATTTGGTGATTCTAAGTTTGTGCCTTGACGGGGTAAAGGATGATGGAGCTTGACAGAGATGCCTGCCAAAGTGATGAGTCCACCGTGGAAGATGTAGATGACGCCACGTATCCACTTGGTGACCTGAGTTGTGGAGATGTTCAGCTGTGGACTACTGGTGAGATTCTCTCGTCTGCATTTTTTGGTCTCGTCTTGTCCTTGTGAACACGAATGTATAATCTGTAGCATACTAAGCGCCCCAAACTCACCCGAAAAATGGGAGTCTGCCCACGGTGCATTGTCTGTTCACTATGACATGTGACAGTGTTGAAACTGTGACAGGATATTATTTTATTCATGTCCTGAATATTACGTGTGTACCTAGTATGTAAATTGTTGACATTATAATTATGTAAACCTCCGCCCTCAACCCTTGCTTTGCCTATGTGCAGATCCATGTAAGAGTGGCAGTGCCACCATGGTGTACAGGCCTATGGAAGGTGAAATAATCCATGGAATTTGCGAACTGCTGACCATGAGACAGGCGAGTGTTACTGATGCGATGGAGTCATTCCTGCATATTATCAGGACACAGTTACACAAGGCATCAGGTTTTGGAAATCTGCTACGTCAGGAAGTGTGCCAGCTGAAGGCATGCAATGGTGCTGGCATTTCGCAAGCATGGCAACAAGTGCTCTCCAGCATCTCAACAGCTTTTTCCAAAGTGAAGCTCTGTATAAGACACAATATGACACAGCTAAAAACAACTGAAGAAGTAAAATGTGAATGTTGCACGAGCATGCGTGTGTGTGTGTGTATGTGTGTGTGTGTGTGTGTGTGTGTGTGTGTGTGTGTGTGTGTGTGTGTGTGTGTGCGGCTGTGCCAAAGCCTAGAGTGTTCATTTGCGGCTGTGGCAGGGACTTCCGTCGGCCCAATGATCTAACCCGCCACAGGAAATACTGCAACTCCTGATGCTATCATTGCACGGAGCAATGGGCATCCAAAGGTCCAAAGGTGTATGTGTGTTGTGCATTGGTGGTCGATTCACATGGCTTTGCCAGTTGTGTGGATTATACAGTTATCTGGTGCAAGTCTTGATCTGTCTCATTCAGATCTTGTTCGCTATCGTTGCTATAAGAGAAAATCTGTGGGTGCACATCCAGTGCATTTGCAGACTTGCGTTCTTCTCTTGCGACGGGCGTATGGATGGTATGTGTGTGCGTGCGTGTGTGTTTATGCTTCTGTGATAAGTGGATCAAGCAGTATACAGGGTATTCACGGGTATTCGCCTTCAGTGCATTTGCCGATAGTGTGACTTTCGTCGCAGAGAACTTTGCTCAGTCGGTCAGGCGACTCGGCCTTACGTTTCCTGAAGGCAATGTGTTCAGAACACAGTTACTTCAAGTATGAACAGCTATGAACAGTTAAGAAATGACAAATATTGTGTGTAGTTCATGGACCATAATGTGAAACACTTTGAATGCAGAAGAATGAGGATAGTGGCATCAAATGCTGCATGGATTCTGTTTGATATGCTACTTTTTTTTCCTTTCCATGGAAAGGTGAGTGCATCAGCGATCTTCATCTCGAAACTTCACACAAACCGAGAATGGAACTTGGACAACATGAAGGGGCCATGGGCATGGTGTGTTTAGTGAAGAACTATTCCGAAAACAGGGTGTCATTCGCACTTACTCAATTCAAATTTGAGTATATTTCGTGAATAACTTACCTTGACATTCCGTCGTCTCCAAAGCAGTGAACTTCCCAAAAAAAATTAAAAGCCACGGCTCAACCTAAGGTAATGCGTGGTACGTATCAGAAACAACCAGCTTTCGCTCTGGAGATCCAGAATAGGCCTCGAAGCATAGCAAAAACAATTGAGAAAAAGAAGATGACGACGACGTTTCAATCACGCATCAAATTTCGCGGGTCGAGTGCAGCAATCCTCGGATCGTGAAATGTGTGGCGTGTCGCCTCCCGGTATTTTACGACTCCCTGGTATACGTCACACAAACGCTACATGTACTGCAGCCTCCTCGGGCCAAGACAACTCCATTCAGGGCCCAGGCAATGACAGATTTTATCACGACACTCTTAGGCCAAGCAGTTCACAATGACTGCCGAACACACGAGTAAAGACACAAGATAGAACCACACACACACACACACACACACACACACACACACACACACACACACACACACACACACACACACACACAACACTACGTAAATGGGCCGCCGTGTTCGCGAGGCACACATCTACCGGAGATAGTCATTCTAAGAGGCAGAGAAGTAAAGAAAGTGAGAGGTGCATGGTTTACCTCTACTGTCATTGTTCCCATAATGGCGCGTTGGTGACCCTCCTGTCATCACATCACAACAGTACACAAATACAGTCATGTAAGCAAACCTAGATGTACATGTGCTACACTGAACGGTATGAACGGAAAAAGCTCACGATGACATAGATGTCGTGGCCCGAGGTCGACGAGGCACATCAACCGTGGCAGCAAGCCTGGCAGGCGATGAGTCAACAACAGCTGACAAGCGATCGGCAACCTGACAAGTCGTGCCAGCACCACAGCAGTACGGTAACTCTATAACTCTCTCTCTCCAAACTCACTACATCATCACTTACCTCTTGTAACTACAATCATAGTCTTTACGCACTTACACATTCGTCGTGGCTAACTGATATGAAACTGTAACAACCCGGCGCTCTCTTCTGCAACTGTATTGCAATTCATTATGAGCCTAGCTTCTACCGTTCTACACCTTCTCTTATCCCACCTTTATGACTAGCCGTTATGACTAGTGAGTACAATGAGTTTGTTCTGATCGGCTGCTTTCCCAAATATAAGCCCGTGTTCTTGTTGCATTCGTCCTCTCGCTCCGGCACTGCCTTCTCGTCTTTTTGTCTCCCTATCTGTATCTATCTGCAAGGTACCTGTACATCCTTGACTATGGAGCTCTTGGTGTGATGTTGAGTGAGGGCTTGCGCATGCTGTGCACGTGGGATTCTGGGTCTTGCTCACACTTCGTGGCGGTCCTATTTGGTGTTGTTCGCAATGCAGGCTTTTGACGGACCCTTGGGGTCGGGTCTTGACATAGAAACCTGACATGTACAGTAAATGAATTGAATTAGCAATGCATATCTACACTGTGCTAAGATATGAATGTATGCAGTGCATGTCACTACAGTCCTGCTCAATGAAATCCGGTCGTCGTGTGAGTCAGGTTTGCGCCTTGCACCATTTCGCAGCCCAGTGTTCGCAGGTCCAGGGCTGCGCAACGTTCGGCGCGTGCTCGAGTGACTCAACTGGACTTCATTAAAGCAGTACTGTACTTGCTCAAATGTAACGCATTTTCACGACGAACATAAGCTACTGACTGGCCTGTGACTCACCAAGGTTTGCAGTACAATGTCCTGCACCACGCTCGGCGGCTTGCCGAGAAACTGTTGACATGCTGTAGCTAACATATCACGGTTGTTGGACTGGATCTTCACCTATACCAGCAACACATCACCAACAAAAAACACATAATTATTACAACGAGCAAGGGGAAATCTCTGGATATATGCCACACCCAAGCTACATGCAGAAACGAATAACAGTTAGTGGTAGAATGGACACAGGTCAATCTGCACACCATCTAAATCTGCGCCTTGATCCTTGAGGGTGGTGGCGGTGCTATGGATGCGGAAAGTTCAGTCTGACTGGGTCTCACAAGGACAATGAAATTATATTCCATAGCAGACTATTGTCTAGGATGTCCTACGTTCCGACTAGTGACAGCCCTAAACAAAGTACAAGGAGTCGCCTCAACAGACATAAACTGATTCTTGCCATTGGTTTACTCACTACTCGGGTTGATCAACTGCTGACAAGCAAACAAACAACTCGGCAGCGTCTCTGAAGATTATTGAATGGTCCAATGGAATGGTAACGGATAAAGGTCATAATCTCGGTGGAAGGTCACTGGAAACGGTGCGGTAGGCTGCTGCATTGCATGTGTGCTCAGCAGTGTGACAAGACAAAGCGCAGCAGCAAGCAAAATGGAAGTGCCGGGTAGCAGCACAGAATACATGCACATGTGACTCACCATGACACGAGTTGAGCATGCATAAGCAATACTATATACGCACACAGGGAGTGGGTAGAGCTAGGTAGGTAGGGGTATTGGCGGACACTCATTATCATAGCTGCACAGGTCAGTGAGCACTGAGCATGCACTCCTCCACCATCAGTATAACATTCCACCATTGTGGATAAATTAGTGTACGTAAGTGGGCCTGGCAAGGTCAACGCTTGCCAACCCACACACATACACATGTGTACATGCGTCCTGGCCACACACGAGCATGCATTGGGGGTACCGTTATGCGTGCTAAAGAAGAGAAAATCACACAAAAAATGGCATCGGCAGGCGAAACTATTATGTCAATGGCTGCAATGTTTAATCCAACAAACTACAATTACAGGGACTCATGCAGTCGCATTGATTAAACATCAGGTGAAACTTGTGCAAGTTCCAAAGGACAGGAAACACACTAACTTCATTCTGGCCACTGCCGGGCCATAACTTTCATAGGGAAACATGGCCAACAAGAACACCATGCTCTGCAGGGAGTCGTTTAGCATTCTGGCCACTGCCGGGCCATAACTTTCACAGGGAAACATGGCCAACAAGAACACCATGCTCTGCAGGGAGTCGTTTAGCAAACTAGTGCGTGTAAAGTACAGTTGCGCTCACTGAAATCCGACCCAAAGTGCAAAACTAGCGCAATGGACCTGTTCCGATTACATCACTGTATTCGTACATGTGTACGTCAAGCCGCATTCGTGCCACTTCCAGGGCGTCAAGGGCCGTTTAACTAACTTGAGGGCGCCAAAAAGCACTTTGGGTGGGATTTAACTGACCACAACTGTACACGTAACATATTCCCTGCAGTGACCGTGCTTGTCTGTCGATACCCAGGCACCCCTCCACACTGGTACGGCGGGAAACAGAATAAATGCGTGCAGTGCATGGGTCACCACAACAGGTGACACACAATTAAGTACAGGCATACCGCAGTAGCTGTATCATGGCAGAAGAGGTACAGTCAATGACAGGGCGCCGTGTGGCCCCCACTGCAAATACCAGAAAAGTCTAGACAAATAACTCGCAAGTTCAATGCGAAATATCGTCAAAAGGAGTCCTGGGCCTGAGCCGTGGAGCAGTACATGTAATCAGTGACTAGTCCAGAGTCGGTAATTATTTCCCATTGACTGTACTAGCTTGCAGGGCAGTAGAACACAGTGCACATACCTGGGCGATACCGATTACAGAGATAGGCACACCAAGCTTAGTGTAGACCTTATTGCTGTCAATGGTCAGGGTCAGTGTGTTCAGAGACAATCTGTAAAGGACACAGAGAGTGAAGGTAACAATATACGCATCAAACACATGCACACACACACACACACACACACACACACACACACACACACACACACACACACACACACACACACACACCTCAGGTGTTTAGCCCATTCACGACAGCTGAAGGTGATTGCAGTGAACCACAACTACACATTTACAAGGCACAGCAGCTTGATCTGGGAAAGCACCATACAGCGACATCCACCAATAACTGAGTGACTTTCATCACACAGCCTATAGAAGTGGCTTTTCAAACGGGCGAGCACACACACACACACACACACACACACACACACACACACACACACACACACACACACACACACACACACACACACACACACACACACACACACACACACACACACACACACACGCATAGACATGCACTCACACCTCCTCCTCGTTCGCCCACTGCCACGATTGCCTATGTGTCCCCTAACGGGGGGCGACTTGAAGGAGTGCTGGCTTCGGGATGCGGCATGAGAGACGTGAACAGCCGTTTTACTGTTTTTTTTTCTTTTCTTTTTTTCTTCGCTTTTACGGAGTGACGGGAGGTGCAGCTATGTCTAGCGATGTCTTGAAGACGGCTGAAACGGCGTGTGCAGACCGTACACAAGAGTGGCTTCACGGCAGGTTGTACACGAGATCCTACCACGCTGTAAACTCCATCCTGACGCCTGGCTCTCCACTCACACCTATCATCTGCTGTGCCAAGCCACTCATCCATACCAATGGACACCGACGCCAGGGCATGCTTGACTGGGTCTTTCCATCTCTTCCGGGGGCCATGTGGAAGTCATTTAGACGGCAAGGCACCAAAGGCAAAGAGCAGTTGGCGGGGAACACGGTCACCGGTGACACCCACGCTAGCCAGGTGGCCCAGCCATTGGAGACGCCCTTGTCAGAGACCTGCTCCATGTCTCTCCACCACTGCCGTACCTGAAGGGTTGACACGTGCTCGTTTATCTGGCGCGCCCGATTGATGCCAGGATCATGCGTATAGATTGCAGGTGGAACGAGTCCAGACGCTGCTGGAGATCCCTTTGCCTCGGTGTCCAGTTCTCAGCACCATACAGGAGTACCGCCAGCACAGTGAATCCGTAGACAACACACTTTAGACCGATGGGAAACTCTGAGTTCGCAAACACAGCCTTCTTCAAGGCGCCAAATGCACCCGAAGCTGCAGCGATCCTGCGAGAGACATCAAAGCTACTCCTGATGCTGATCTGGCAGCAAAGATAGCGAAAACTGTCCACACATTCAACGGTTCCAACCAAAGGCAACATATCCGACGCCACCACACCAACACCCATAGGCATGAACTTAGTTTTGCCCAGATTGACTGACAAGCCAACATATCCTGCAATCTTCCGAAACGTGGCCAAGGCCCTTTCAGCACCGCCGTAGGTGTTGGCAAACAGCGACAAATCATCCGCAAATTGACACTCCATTTCCCACCGGGAAAGGTTCCAGCAGATCTGCGCCGAGACGGATGGATGCAGACATGCCTTCATGGAACGACCGAATGATAGAAACCAGCGTATCCGGCACGCCGAGCTTGGAGAGAACCCTCCACATGGCTGCTCTAGGTACTGAATTGTCTGCTTTGCGCAAGTCAATGAACACCGCAAAGCCCTTTGACGAATGTTCATGCAATTTCTCGGCAACCTGGCGTACTAAGAACACCATGTCTGAACATGCCCTACCACGGCGAAAACCACACTGGGAGTCAGGCAGGTATTCCTTTCCAACCAGCTTCAGGCGATCCGCTATTATTCTTGCCACCAGCTTGCCGACCATGTCTAGAAGCGCAATGCCTCGCCAGGTACCACACTCACTAAGATCACCTTTCTTGGGAATAGGAATTAAAATGGTGTCTACCCAATCCTGAGGAACCATTTCCATCCTCCAGACTTCAGCCAACAACAGCTCCAACCTAGGCACCAGTTCAGAGCCGCACTTGAGCATCTCCGCTGTTATCTCTGATCGACCACATGCTTTGCTATTTTTAAGAGTTCGCATAGCACGGTGTATCTCATTGCAGGCTGGGGCGTTCTCATGGTCAAGCTGAATCAGTAGCTGACCAATGGAATCAATGGCTTCCGGGAAAAAATCACTGATCACGTTCAAGACACCATCAAAATGCTCCCGCGACCGCGTACCTGTTGCCTCTGGGGTCTCGCACACAACACCCTGTGCATTCTTGACAGCAGCTGTCTTGCGGGGCTGCAATCCATCAAGTGCAGCCTGGCTCCTCTTGATGCACTCCCAGCCTCCCTTAGACGTTAGACTAAAGCGCTCGCAGTACTGAGCCAGTTTTCTCAGCCAGTCCTGCTTTGCTTGACGAACGATACGGCGAGCTGAACTTTGGGCCTTCTTATACAACGTCTGATCGCCTGCCCTGTTGGTCGACATCCAGGCTCGGTAGTAATCATCTCGCTCACGGAGGGCAGCCTCAATCTACGGTCGATTGTCCAGGAACAAGTCTGGTTGTTTGCGCAGCTCTCTGCCAAGACATTACTGAGTGACGTCCGCCGCAGTCCTTTTCAACGCAGCCCAGCAGCCATCCACAGATAGCTCATCTAGCCAGTTCTGAACCAAGGCAGCATCAAGACTATTGGAATATTTTGCTCGCACTTCATCATTGGAGGGAGCCGTTAGGGCTGCGGAAGCGATGGGTTTGTTAGCTGGTTTACTTTGTCTGCGGCAGCTGGGCACCGCCGCCAAGCGGTATCTCATGGCAAGGAACTCATAGTCGGCATCAACACTCCACAGAGCAGAGAACTTGACAATCCAGACATTAACGCTGGCATGACTGTGGAATAATACAGTAGTCGATACAATGAGGCTACCCATACCTGGGGTGGTGCCACGTGTGCGTGTGTATGTCTTTCTTTCTGAACCAGGTGTTGCAGATGAGCGCACTGTTTCTGGCCAGGAAGTTGAGCAAATCCTCTCCAGCAGAATTCATGATGCCATATCCATGTGCACCCCTTACGCGGCTCCACTCGTCTCCAGTAATACCAACATCAACACGAGCATTGAAGTCGCCGAGTATGACACACTGTCCACTCCTGGGTATACTATCAAGGAAGGACTGCAAACTTCCATAGAACGCAGCTTTGCAGAAAAGTTTACACTCACTCACACACACACACACACACACGCGCGCACACTCACACACACGCGCACGCTCACACACACGCACGTACGCTCACATATACACACATACGCTAACACACACACACACACACACACACACACGCACGCACGCTCACATATACACACACGCGCGCGCGCTCATACACACATACGCTAACACATGAACACACACACACACACACACACACACTACTACTACTACTACTACTACTACTACTACTACTACTACTACTATGTACAGCTACCCTATCGGGCCACGCCGCTCCCAGAAGCGGGAGACAACGACAAGAGAGAAGAGAAGAGAGAGAAATCGCCAAGTCAACAAAATTGGGCATGGCGTTCCAAGTCCTGTGGCCTTGAGAACCGCCTTTCGCAATGCTCGCATTCATGACGGCAGTTGTTCCTGGCTGCATGTGACATCCGTTTCGCACGGTCACAGTGATGACGGCTCAAACCAGAACGGGAGCGGAAAGATCGGCGACAAACATCGCATCGAAAAGAGTCAGATTCATGGCGAATAGATACAGCTGGGACATCCGTGAACACAGGACAGCGATGCACAGCCAGTCCTCCAGCGCTCTTCAACCCCTGCATACACTTCATACATTGCCTGGCACCCTTCTGACACACACACACACACATCACACACATCACACACACACACACACACACACACACACACACACACACACACACACACACACAGCTGAAGTAACCGGTCCCAGAAAATCAGCAACACAAGAGATGTCCCAGTACAGTGATATTGAGGTTCACAATCGCGTTAGAAAAAGAATGACTTACTTTTGAACTTTCTGAATGTATGGCCACACAAACACCCGACCACCAGGTACCATGAGCGGAGGACTGTGGCAGCACCCTGCATACATCATAATGATAATCATATATAGGTACACCCCGCACACATGATGGGCACACACGCGCGCGCGCACACACATACACACGGTGTACATCAGCACAGGAGTCAAATACCGGTACATGCATACATAAACATATACAGAGAGAGAGAGAGAGAGAGAGAGAGAGAGAGAGAGAGAGAGAGAGAGAGAGAGAGAGAGAGAGAGAGAGAGAGAGAGAGAGAGAGAGAGAGAGAGAAGAGAGAGACAGAGGTTGCCCTTGCCCCTCCCTCACCACGAATAGAAACACTATGAAACGCTGATAGTATACACACAGATGAGATTATGATTGTAAAATGTACAAAAGGCTTCAAAGTTCAAAGCGTAGAAACGGTCAAGTCCCCTCCACCCCCACCACCATTTGCACACCTGTGGTAAATAGTGCGATTTACGAATGACCCTGTCTTTTATTATTTCTGTCCAACAGACCATGAAGGTCATGCAAGTGTGTGTGGTCGGTGTGGAGTGTATGGGCGCGTTTGGTTGGTACGAACTAGAACAGGATTCACCAGAACAGCGCGTTTGGTTGGGACTGCACCTGTTCTGGGTCGGCCAGAACATGTTCTGCTTGCTCCGGCCTCGAGGCCGGAGCAGACCGAGCAGTTTTACTTTTTCACAGTGAAACCTGGCGGGAACATCGATTTTGTTCCCAAGTGATCACGTGCATACGCTTTTGGGTTGGACTCGTCGTACCGTACTAAGTGACCATGGTGACCCATACACATTTTGAAGAATGCACCAAGTTTGGCACATTTTTCCACAAAAATGTGCTCTGTTTCTGGAGTACCGTTTGGTTGGCATGAGGCTGCTCCATGTGCACCAGCTGTTCGATCCTGTTCTAGATCGTACCAACCAAACGCACCCTATGTGCGCGCGTGCATGTGTACATGCATATGTGCATGCACAATATCAAGAGTGCATAAACAAGAGTATGCAACTGTGGTTATGGCCCAGTGCGCGGCGTGCTGCCTTCATTACGTAGCTTGCCTTCATCACGCTCTGAAAGCATGCATTCAAACTCACAATTTCTCGTACGAGCTCATCCGTTTTTGCTCGATTCGTTCCAGTACCTACGCGATCTCTGAATTCTGGCGCGTGAACTCCAGTTCCGTACGAAAGTTCATTTCAAACCAGAGGGAAAGTGCGGTGTTTGATTTTCCGCAGTGCGCGGACTGCAGCTGAATGATGTAATGAAGGCAGCGCGCCGCGCATCTGGCCCATAGAAAAGAGATCACAGTTGCAGTTATGGACTCTTGACAATATTGACGTGAAAACTCCACTACCGTAGAATCCCGCGGATAAGCCCACCCGCGTATAAGCCCATGCCCGCGCATAAGCCCAGGGTTTGTTCGAACATCACAAAGCTTCATTGTACAAGCCCATGGGCCTAGGTCACACCGAGAGTCCATAAATTATGGACTCTTGGCCATACCATGTACGTAGTACATGCACATTAATTATTTTTTTAGTACATTTCAGCACAATCATCGGTGGTTTTTGTTTGCACAGTGGTTTTTAGCATGTATTTCTCACTTCCTTGATACTTTTCAATAGCACAACTTGGTGTCGGCGTATAAGCCCATGTCCGCGTATAAGCCCATGTTCTCGTATAAGCCCACCGAAATGTCCTTGTGAAACAGATAAGCCCATGGGCTTATCCGCGGGATTCTACGGTATCCAACTTGAAATTACTCGCACAAATTGCATAAATTCCTTGTATAATAAAATATATACCCTTTTGGAATTTAAAGTAGCGCCGGCGCAATTTTGTTCAGGCTCGTCTGTCCATTCTCTATGAGGATAAATGACAATGACAAAAACGTTCCAATTTTTTCCATCACTGCAATTCACGACTCATAGTATGAAGGTTCAACTTCTCAACAGTGCATCGGTTTTACCAAAAAAGAATGTGTGGCCGAAACACCAAGGATTTCAGTGTTGTGAAGAATGAAACTACATGTACATGAGTTACGAAGTACTGTTGATAAGTAAGGAGGAAAGTCTGATACACCCAAGAGAAAATACATAAAATTTACCTGACACGACCATACATTCGTTGGGCCCGCATGTTTCCCAGCCAGGCATGGCTACGAACAAGTAGCCAACACAGGAAAGTCGTTCAGAATCCTTGATGATACAGTACCCAAAATTATGAGAATAGACGAAGCCAACAACAGTGAGGTAGATGTCTAGAGCCACTGCCTCTCTCAACCAGGGATGCCAAAACAGTCAGCGAAGAAGCATCACACTCTCACATTCCTCAGCTCGATCAAGATGGTTATGCAAAATCATTTCTGTGACTTTTTGCCATAAAGTCGTAAAATCACGACACTTCATCAGCCCATGATCGTCATTTGTACAGCGTGCCATGCGTTACCAATGGCTACATTGCCAAAGACCTTATTCTTGCGCATGCGCTTTGTACCAATCCTTTCTCTCTCTTGTTCAGCCACGATTCGGTAGGGCCTCCTTGTTGCCACCATTATTCGCATTTCATACCCGTTACTTACCCTAGCTCACTCCTTTGCTATTAGGTTGGTCTGGATAAGCCAAAATGGGTGACTTTGACAAAACTACTACAGAACTAGAAGATGTCGCGGCCCCTGAGGTTCATGATGTCAAGCTTTTTGGCAAATGGTCATCTGACGAGGTCCAGGTGAAGGAAATCTCACTGCAGGTAAGATATCGCCTGAGCCGACGAGCATGCTGAACTGAGAATTAGTAGCTAGTAGCTTGGACAAACCGATCTGTTGATGCAGTCGGTTAGCAGTGGCCCAACCAAAGTTTGGGTTGTAAATATGGAGCTGAGACGCTTGGATATCATTGCAAATTTGCCACGAGTTGATGATGGAATCGATATCGTGTGTTTTTACTGCCATTGGATAGGACTATATTGCCATCAAGGAGAAGTCCGCCACTTTCCTTCCTCACACCGCTGGACGTTATGCCGTCAAGCGATTCAGGAAGGCCCAGGTATGTTTTTTGTTGCGTTATATATGCGTGTGTGCTGTGATTTCGTTTTGAAATTTTTTTACATTCACCATACGTGTTAAGTATAATAATTGTCATGTATGGAGTGCGTACTTTTTCGGTAGCTGTTCTGCTTGTGGCTGTATGTTTGCATGCTAGTGGTTGAAGTACAGGTGTTCCGGTTTTAGGCGCCCGAATTTAAATTATGTAGCTCGTATTGGACTTTCCCCTTTTCAAATCAATTTTTTTAATTCGTCAATGACGAATTATAAATAGAATCACAAATAAAAATTTTGTTTCGTTTCCGTACAATAAAGGAAAAAAGGAAAAGTAGTTATCGAGAAGTTTATCGTCTAATTTTATTTTATTGTTCTTGCCGATAGATTGGTACCTTTCACAAACTATGTTTGTATAGCCAAATCACTTGCACTTGACTTTTGTGTGCATGCATTTAGTGCCCCATTGTTGAGCGTCTCACCAACTCCCTGATGATGCACGGTCGCAACAACGGCAAGAAGCTGATGACCATGCAGATTGTCCAGCAGGCTTTTGAGATCATCCACCTGTTGACTGGCGAGGTAAGGCATTCTTGCTGTCAAGTCAATCTATTTTTCGTGTGATTGGGGCGGGGGTCCTAACTGAACTTTTTAGTTTCGTGTAATAAGTATCTATGATACCGAATAGCATCTTAGTTGTGAGTGGTGTATTCAATTTTTGCTTTCTCTTGTTGGTTGGTGTAGAACCCCCTGCAGGTCCTTGTCAATGCCGTCATTGCCTGCGGTCCTCGTGAAGACTCCACTCGCATTGGTCGTGCCGGTACTGTCCGTCGTCAGGCCGTCGATGTCTCCCCACTCCGCAGAGTGAACCAGGTCAGTTTGTTAGAAAACCCAGCTCACGGGAAAGGTTTACGGTTGTGGGTTTTGTCTATGCAGCTCCTCTCACCACTTGTTGGCACTATGTTTTTAAAGATTGTCTTTTGGTTTGATTTTTTTGTTCTTAGGCCATGTGGCTCCTCTGCACTGGTGCTCGTGAGGCTGCTTTCCGCAACGTCAAGAGCATTGCTGAGTGCCTCGCTGATGAGCTCATCAACGCATCAAAGGTATGTTGTCTTAAGTTTGTTCCTGTTTCCAATGGTTTGTTTTTCTTCTAGGTCTAATATAGCTTGAAAGTGCTACGTCACAGCATAGCAACAATTTTAAAAATTCAAATTGGATCCAAGCACATTTCAAGTGGTTACTCACAGCGAGGTGATATAGCCGGTGAAATTGACTGGGTTGCCTAATGGGGGTGGGGTGGCGACTGCTGGCAAAGAAAAAGTCACACCTGCATACGACATGAGTGGCTTGCTATGCACCAAGACACTGTAGGCAATAACAACGTCACACCTTAGTGGATCCAAAGGAGAAATCTGATGTGAACTTGCTACTCCCTTGCCGTTTTGACGTCATCATTTTCAAGCCCTATTTAGGGCTGAAACGGTTACGCCAGTCAACCATTTCCCAACAGTCCCTCGGTTACATTTTCACGGTACATAATATACAAATGTTTTGAGCTGCGTTCGCTTGGGAGCATAAATGGCAGATACTATTCTCATTCTCAACTTTTGAAGCTTTACCTTCCCCTACCTTTGTTCTTCAATCTCCCACTTATATAACCTGTTGCCTTGTTCTTCTGTGGGTTTTTTTAGGGATCATCCAACTCGTATGCCATCAAGAAGAAGGACGAGCTTGAGCGTGTTGCCAAGTCTAACCGTTAAACTTTTTTTGTGGAAGGGACGAGAATAAACGGGAAATGCCAAAAAGCGGTGCTCTGTTGTGTGTTGTGGGTCTTTGCCTTGTGTTACTTCACCCCGGAACTTAGCTGGTAGCTATTCAATGGTTACCATCAAGAGTACATAAAAACCTTTTTAGTGATGTAGTGCGTTCAAGCAGGTCTCTTTCTGCACAACTGCAGCTCAGTTGTACGCACTACGCCATTTCCCGCGCGCCTCAGATCTGCACCAAATATGATGTAATCACGGAATTCCACCGTAACCGACACCCATAGCAGAGAAGGCCCCAAGCTGCACACTCTGGTTTTAATGTACAGTCTGTATCGGCTATAGCGTACCCTTTTGATTTCCGTGATTTTATCACTATAACCGATGCATCACTATAATATTATGCGATATGATCGTTTTAAAATACTATTAATAGCAATACAGAGAACAAATTCTGCAGTCATCGCCACACTACAACGAAGTCATGAAAGTTTACCAGAATTAATTTTCTTGTCACATTCATCAGTGGAAAGTCGTGACTGAAGAGTAACCATGCTGAACAATGATTAAATAATACATTCAATGATGTGTTACGAGAACAAAATACAGTGCCAAAATAGAATGAGGGAATGTGAGACAATAGAAGTGAAGTGAGAGCTAAGTGCACCGGTGGGTGAAAAACTAATAATTATAACGCTAAAACAGTAGTGAGAGAAACAATCGTGCTGTGCACCTACGAAAACAATTTTAACGCAACTACATGTGCATGTTTCTTCTGCTTACAGCGTTTGCGCAGAGCATCATTCAGGGTTTCAAACGCTGTAAGCAGAAGAAACATGTTGCGTTAAAATTGTTTTCGTAGAATTTGTTCTCTTTATTGCTATTATAAAATTGTTGTCTCCACGTCGATTATATGATCGTTTTTTGTTTTTTTTTTCGATCAAAAAATGAAAGGCAAGGAAATACATGTACTTCCAGCATGGCTTTTTGACAAAATGAGCATGCTGCATAGTTGCCAGTGCCCGCATTTCCATAAAAAAGTATGTGCATGACTGATTGTACTACATCATGCAGTGCTGCCATGCCAAATAATTTTCGCCCAAAATCGGACACCCTTCATTCACCGCCAAGGCTGGCCACAGGGTGCAAATTTTTCTTCTCAGCAAATGTTTCCAGAGAATTCAAAAGTCGCCCAAAATACCATGAAAATTCGCTTCCTTGCCATGGTAACCGATATGGCAATAATGGCACCCCGAAGCAAGAGTACATAACCCCCCAGAGTGTGCAACGCCTGATCCAGCTCTGCATAGGGTCTTGGTCGAGGATCTTTGCGTCATAATACCGTACACATCTGAGGGGAACCCGGGGAGTCGCGGGTACTCTTGGATCAAAAACAATGGTGCCCTGCCTGGAGACCGGCCTTGCGCTGGTGTGAAGTGTAGATCTACGCATGACATCAGAAGATCCGATTCCGCTCGACCAAGACCCTAGGCTACAGTACTACACAGAGCTGGATCGGCGTTGCACACTCTGGGGGGTTATGTACTCTTGCCCGAAGTTGTCATGGATTTTGTAATGCATGACTGCATCACAAGTGTGATCACAGACTAGTGTACATGCCATCCAGGTATGAAAAGTGAAAATACAGGACTTCTCGGAAAGTACTGACCCCTGGCATTTTGGCTGCTTTTCGGACGTTTCCTTTTTCGGACAAGCCTTCAAAAATCGGACGGTTTGGCAGCACTGATCATGGTACATGTATCACTATAAAAATAAGCAACGTGACGAAAGTAAAAAAATAGGGCCTTTGATATTATTGCTACATGTATTTTAAAGTTATCACTATACTGTCTATAGCCGATAATAATATCCATTTCAAAACTATAGACGCGTGAACTCATACGTAGTATCTACGAGCCGTACGTACTGTAGCGCACGACAGCCGTGAGTTTTGCATGAGTGTTTTCTGGTTTCCAGATGTGTTTTTCAGGTTTTTCTTCGTCGCCGCGGGAAATACAAAAGATGCAAAACACGCAAAGTCGCAAATGAAAAGGTGTGAGGAAAGTCTCAAAAGAGATGAAAGTCTCAAATGAATCTTCTTCTTGTTTGCATTTTCTGAGTGCCCGACTGTAATGGCTTCCAAGGCCCGTAAGAATCTCAGTGATGCCGAGAAAGATATGATTAGTCGTGTTCATTGTTTCTTCGAACAAGAGCTGGATTTTGATTGACGCTTGAGTATCCGAAATCCTCGTCCGTCGAACTCACCTTGCAACTGGCGTGAGTGAAACCACTGTCACTCGTTGTGTCAGGCGAAGGGAACAGGGCCGGAAGCTCAAATCAAATCAAAAAGAGAAAATATAATTATTATCATCTCTACTGTATTTCACCCAACAAGATCCAAAACATGCAGAAAAGAAGAGAAAAAAAGGCAGGAGGTGTGATGGGATTCGAATGCCCCACACTTGTACTGGAAATCACGGATCGAAACCACGAGGCCACCAGGACCCGTACAAAAATGCACCCGCGATGGTCTATAATAATAATCTCTATTTCAGGATTACCCAAAGGCTAACGTATAACGCCTATCTGGGCTAATATTTTCGTGAAATTATGCTTTTCGCATTGCTGAACAAATTGCAGAATTATGCTATTTTTATGCTAAAAGTCATCATATTATGCCGCATTATTATTATTATTATTATTAACTTTTATTTTACTAGGGTGTTTCCCACAGACCTATGGTCTTCTTACGGGAGCCCCTAGGAAGGTTATGCATGATGCATGATGCATGAGCGAATAAATGAGCGGTAATCGGTACAAGTACGAACAGTGGAAGGCAGCATATTCCACCGGTCAGCAGCGAGATAGCCAATCCGAGAAAAGCCAGCCGTACTCTGTGCTGGGGGTAATGCCAAAGAAAAAGACACCTTAATACGCGGCATTATGCTCACATATTATTATTATTATTATTAACTTTTATTTTACTAGGGTGTTTCCCACAGACCTATGGTCTCCTTACGGGAGCCCCTAGGAAGGTTATGCATGAGCGAATAAATGAGCGGTAATCGGTACAAGTACGAACAGTGGAAGGCAGCATATTCCACCGGTCAGCAGCGAGATAGCCAATCCGAGAAAAGCCAGCCGTACTCTGTGCTGGGGGTAATGCCAAAGAAAAAGACACCTGGGATCTCGTAGTGGCAGTGGTGTGAGAGCTACACAATGCTGCTAATGTACATGTACATGTATAATCATGATAATGATTCTGTGCAAAATAACAGGGGAATGTTTTGTAGAGGGCGTTGTACTGTAGTAGCAAAAGTTCAACGGGGTCAACGCACCGTCCGACCTAGCTACGACCGTCACTGATTGTATACGTATATGTAGTGGACTGGACATGTTCTCAGGGGAGTCGTAAACCTACGACTTCCTGGTGCATCTACATTGTACTTTATTGTACTTGTACCAAGAGTTTATGTACTCTTGCTTGTACTTGTAGAACATGTACAACTGTATGGAATTTGATGCGAACAGGCGGATTATTCCAATTTTGTGCGATTCGTATGCAATTTGCCTCGAATTATGCGATTATTCGATTTTAGTGGGAATTATGCGAAAATTTATGCTAGCAAAATCTGTCAAGGCCTAACATGTACAGCCAGTATGCTTTGGGGGGGGGGGGGGGGGAGGGGGGGTCCTTGTTCTTCTGTGTGCGACCTTGTGTGTTTGTCCCCCCCCCTTCCCCGGGAGAAAAACACCGCCAGGATTTCTATACTGTACGATGTATTTATAGAATTTCTGGCTGCAGTTACCAGGTACTTGGAATGTTTTTTCCAGTTTTCACTACATACAGCCTTACAGGCCAGGGAGTCACAAAGCCCATGGCTCCCTGGGAAACTCTTATCTCTAGTTATTATTATTATTATTATTATTATTTAAATTTTGAATAGGAGTAGTTGACGGCCAAGCTAGCTAGCGTGCAAGGGATATCTGTGGCCAACATCATTAAAACTTTTAAATTTAGCATACAGTTTTAACGTAAAATTTGACGTGTTTTTAATACGTGAGTTGACTGTCCCGCACGTAAGTAACTACATGTAGTTCATGACGTGAGTTTTTGGAAGTTTCGCTTGGTTATCCCGATCGAATTTGTGTGAGTTTCCGGAATGTTTTCGAGATTTATCGAGTTTGTTGGAAGATTTGATATTTGTGCGAACTAAACCCGAATCCTGCCAGGCAAAATTTCACGTCACACGTGTAACTTAACCTCTAAAAATTACACGTAACGTGAGATTTGCACCGCGTTTTGAAAAAGGGCAAAAAACGTGTAACTTACCTCTCTGATCTAGTCTGAAAAAGTCGCTGAAAATCTCTGGAATGTGGCGGTGGTTCTCTCCTAAATCGGAAAATGAATACTGATTTTCCAATTCAAATCTCTACACATAACGGTGTTTCCCTGACTGACGCAACAACAGGCAACTGATGTACTGGACAGTGGACACATAATACATGTGCACAGTGGACAGTCATCTGATCATGAGTAGGCTATCATGAGATTCAGTACTTGCATGTGCATGCATGTGGTGGCTTTGTGCAGACAGACCGACGGCTCAAATGCTGCTTCTGTGCATGCATCTTCAACCGTGACTTGTCTTCGAGTTGAAAAAAATAGATTGCAGGAGTGCTGTCACTCAGCGTATCAGACTTTTGCTGCACAAAGGAGGAGGACAAAGGGTTTCTTGTGACTTGCCCTGCCGTGGTGCAGAATAGTGCCCTTTTCTTTGCAGAGCTGGCTGTTGCTTACTAAGAAGTGAGAACACATCCGTCATAATGACAAGTAAGATTTGTCAACGATTTGAAAGTGAGCCAGAATTTAAACTCACAACTAGACTGGTGACTTTTGTTGCTTTGCAGGAGGTAACCAACGTGAACTTGCCAGGGCAAAAGCCGGCAAGAAACAAGGTTCTAAAACCGCTGCAGAAATGGACGGAAATAAGGGGCTGACATTGGAACAACGAAAGGCCAGGTTAGGGTTTTCAGCTACTCTTTTTTTCTTTTCTTTTCAAGAATATTCACTACAATCATGTACATGTACATGTACTCGGAAAGTTCTGGTTGCAACCAGCCACATGCATGTACATATTTGTAGAATAGTTTCAACATTACGGGCAGAATACAAGCTTTACATTACGGGCAGAATACGAGCTATTGAATTAAGCACGACTAGTAATCGAAACACGCTTCTGCTTAGTTGAATTCGCACACTTACAAGTGTGTTGAAGACAGACTACAGACAGTCAGTAATACCACTTTGTCTGCGTGTGGCAGCAGGATTCAATTTTGCTTAGTTGACACTGAAGGGGCATTCGTTTTTGATCTACAGGTTTCGGGAGAAACTACTTCTTTCAGTACACTTGGGGCTCCCCGCCTGCTAATTTGTGCGTGAAGTGTGTAGGTTACAGTGAGGGCTGCGTCCCATCCGCCTGTGTGGATTCACAAGAAGCATGAGTTTCTAAGTCTGACGAAAATGTTGAATGGTTGCTGCTTGAATGATGACTACACCATAGCTTAGTGGTACAGCATCGCTGGCCATAAGCAAGGGTCCCTGGTTCGAGTCCTGGTGGTGACCGTCGATTTTATCTTCAGACTTTTCCCGTTTGCATCTTTTCCTGAAACCAGTGAATATTCGGTAGATGTGTTCGTTTGTCTACCCCAAGCGATAGATTCTACTTTCCTCTACCGGCTCGACCGGGTTCGAGGCTGGTAGAAGTTGGTAGAGGTAGAGTATTTCCGTACTTGGGTGAAACGGATAGATCTGCGTTCGTTAACTACTATCTACCGTCTTTTCTTTTCCAATATCCGCTGTACTCTACTCTACCAAATAGACGAAAGCGAACGCAGCGTAAATCACCGAGCATACATTGCAGATAGACTTAATCTTTGCACGTAGCGTTAACACCCATTGGCTTTGTTCCTCTCCACGTGGTGGCAAACACTAAACAACATCTGAAAGCCCTCCAACTTTCGAATAGAACCTTTCTTCCTGTGTAGCCAAGATGTGAAAAAGGTACGAACACTCTTGTTCATATACAGTCGTCCCTCTCTAATCCGGCACCTTTTGCTACGGCATTTTCTGCTGGATTAACGAGGGTGCTGGATTAAGAAATCCTGCCCTCTGACCCGGCCCTACCCAATTACATGCATGTATCATACGTCAAAACGCAGGGTTTTTCCGTGTCGACCCCAGTATTTGGTGCACGGCTTTATATTCTCAACTTTTTTCCAGGAATATACAGTGATAAAGTAAAACAGAGAACATGTTCACATGTATACGTACTCTTGCACACACACGCACAGTCGATTTACGACTAGTAGTAGTAGTAGTAGTAGTAGTAGTAGTAGTAGAATTTATTATTTTACTAGGGAACTCCCAACAGGCGTTGCCTTTTTACTGGGAACCCTAGGACTGCCGGATTATGAAATCAAACTACGTGCAGTTTGAGCGATTCGTTTCGAAAAGTCACTGCCGGAGGCGGAATTCAAGTGCCGGATTAAGATGTAGGAATTGAACGAAAAAAATCGGTTTCATCAGAAAGTGCGCCGGTTGGCAAGGGTTCCGGATAAACAAGTGCCGGATTAGAGAGGGACGACTGTACCAACCGTGTTCCAAGGGCTTTTCTGAGATGCCATATCTGGCCTACTCACTAGTCGACTTTGGTTGAGATTTTAGCGCAATGTGTCATACCTGGAAGGTTATTTGTAATGATTCCGTCAATCTGTGTATCTGGCGGGTTGAAAACGCTCGTGTAAGCACAGCCTGAGACTGGTCTCGTCTCTTTTGCTTTTGCTTTCAGAGATGCTCAACGTATGAGAGACAAACAAGAGGCCAAGGCCAAAGGCGCTGAATCAAAATAGGTGCGAGAACATTGAGATGAGTCATGTGTTGTGAAACATGATGAATTACACCCTTGCCACCTGCTAACACTGCCGCTTCCTGCTTCTTGCGTGTGCCACTGCTGCTGCTACTGCTGCTGATCCTGCCTATTGCGCCCTGCCTCCTGCTCCCCTGCCTCTTTTACTACCTGTCGTTGTAGAATAGTAGATTCTAGGCATTGTGTGTAGCACTGCGCTCCGTATCTGTCGTTAAAGCTGCCGGTATGTCGGTTGTCTCTCTTGGCAATGTTCTCTGTGAACTAGCAAGCTACCGCTGTTTTTGTTTTTAGAGTGTTCCGTGTATCGCTACTGAACTCAGTGATGGTTATTTGCTATCTACTGCACGTTCTCTCCCTGCTACTAGTAGTAGAGTAGTACTACTACTTTAAAGCAAGCGCCGCGCCTACAAGTACACGTTCTTGAGTTTTTGGTGCCCTTAGCACCTTTTGGTGCCCTTAGCACCGAGATTATTATATGTGCAATGCAGTTGTTCACTTGTGTCTCCTATGGGCTATTGGTTAGTTTCCTCAACAAGTGAAGAACATTGAACAGTAATCACTCCGGGATGATTTCTATTCTTATTCATAATCATGACTGTGCAACGGAATGGCGTGTGACTGGCCTGCTCATCTGTACATGTACATAGCGTCTCATCCAGCCCAGTACAGTGCTACATGTAGATTTTAAGATAGCAAGTCCCTGCTCCTGCCCTACTTCGCAAGTGGGCCAGCTGCCCATGTTTGATGCACTGCAGTGCAGCAACGGCATAGAATAAGTACAAACATGTAGCTGCTGCTGCTGCTGCTTTCCTGCACAGTACTACTGCCAGAGTACCCCGTCTCGCCTCGTGCATAGTGCCCAACCTCGATTCACAGCCAGGGAAAGGGACATTGTATGGCTGTGTGCGACTAAGGTCATGCGGTGTAAGAACCCGAGTGCCAAGGTCACACATGCCCCCCCCCCCACACACACACCAGTTCACTGTGTTGTATGGACCTCACTGCCACTCGAACGGTGAAGTGAGTATGGATTTACTGACGACGCGTGCGTATACAATTCGCGTATGGTGTGACCTACAGACAGGACTCGCTCATCTGCCTCACCTTCAAAACCAGGGAGTAGTACAATACCGTATTGTACTACTCCCTGTTCAAAACACGAGCATGGAGGAGTCCGGGGGGGGGGGGGGGGGCTCTCGTCGGTACCCTTGGCTAGTGTAAATCCAGAAATATTCATATGCGAAAAAAATTGTGCAAGCCTCCAGAACCAGTCATATCAGGCATTATGCTGACCTTTCATACAAACTTCCAGTCAACTTGCCCATCATGCTGGCGGCTTATACTGGGCATATAAACCTCATACAAACCCCATATAGACCGCCACCACAGAAACAGGAAGAAGTTGACTGTCAGTTTGTATGAAGGTCAGCATAAGTATAATACATCCCACTAGTACGCTTGTACGTGAAATATAAACCATCATACAAACCTCGGTTTGTATGTCGGTTTATATTTCACGTACAAGCGTACTGTTGGGTTGTATTATATACGTAGTAAAATATGTTACGACTCCCTGGTTCCTATGTAGAGAGTACTGTAATTATTTCACAATTTTTCGGTGAACTTTTATTTTCGGTACTTTCAGTGCATCTGTTTCATACCTAAAATTTCAATACACCGAACAAACACTAACACACAATGACATTATGTGTGTCATAAACCGAAAGGGAACTGCTTCTCTGTACCGAAAAAAATTCTGTTCACCTAACCTACGTAGCCTGCTGCCCTCATACCGAAAATATTGAGCACCGAAAATTTCTGAAATTAGAGTATTTGTACTGGGAGGATGAGCCCCTGTGAGTACGAGAAATAGTACATAACCCCCAAGAGTGTGCAACTCCAGCTAGCCATGGGGTCTGCGGCGGCAGAACTTCACATCACGTGATGAACCCGTACACATTATAATTTATTCGCACTCTGTGGAGGATAGATATCTCTAGATACAGGGTTGTACGCAGCCGTGCTTTGGGTACAACTCTCTTGTGGTCACTTTGCACTGTTTGCCAGCGTACTAGTAACCTTTTGAACCATGTCACGTGATGTGAAGTTCTGCCGTCGCAGCACTGCATAGAGGTTATGCAGGCAGTTGCACACTCTTGGGGTTATGAACTCTTGGTACGAGTGATACTGATAATTTCATAAGCATTTGAATTTCACACGAAACGCCAGCATACGGCATACAAAATTAAAATGCATATGAAATATTCTGGATTTACAGTGTAATCTTAGAATATATTATAATATTCACTTCTTGAAGTGAAAGAAAAAGAGCACGCACTGGGACGTTCGTTGCTGCTCAATGGTGGTACAAGTGGCCATACAAGTTAAAAACTGTTCATGTATATTCAGGTTGGAACGTAGAAAAGTTCTGTTTCCAATGGTGTCATGAGTTTTATGACCAATTATGTGGAAGATATGTCACATGCTTGTCCATGCAGACCCGTCTAATAATATTGCCACCGTATTTCATGGACATTGCTAGGTTTCATGGGTGGATGAGGTCATGTGATGCTGTTTCACACGACTAGTGGACGTGCAGCTGTGCTTTCCCCGTGCTCTTGTTGTCAGACTACTTGTTTATCGTGCCGGGATCTGCACGTGGATCCAAACGCAACCCAACAGGCTTCACCTGTCAGTGGTCGTTCATCGTAGCTGCCCCTGCTGCTGCTGCCATGTGCGCTGCTAGCTGAGTGCAGTATCTATGACAACATATATATGCACACACCCGCATGCACACGCATGCACGCGCACGCACACACACACACATACACACACGCACACACACATGAAAAAGACCGCACTTCCGAGGAATGCTGAGCTGTGGTTGAGGATAACATGTCCAAAGGAGACTTCAAATCATCATACTGAACAAGCTGATCTCCACACAAGGTGGTTTCGTAACAAAATATCTGTCTCTGAGATCAGGCAACTTGTCATGAACTCCTCTACACAGAAAACAGTCCGTTTGCATGCTTGAACACAGATGCACACTGCACATCAGGGGGTATGTTTGACGATGATAGTATGTTGAATTTTCAACGGGGGTAATGTGTATTCAGTTCTATGTGAAAGGCCTCGCTTTCATCTTCGTATGTGAAATACGTGAACGAATCATCCACAAGTCTACTAAAATGCGTTCGCGGCTTCTGCAAGTCAAAAATCGATGTGGCCTGATTGTGGATGATTCATTCACATACTTCATGTCCGAAGATGGAAGCGAGGACTTTCTCACAAAACTGAATACACTTCACTCTGCGTTGAAATTTACCTGCGAACACGAGGACCTCGAACAAGGCATCAAACTTTTAAATAGCCTTTTTTAATTCAATTTTCTGAAGAGAGATTCTGTACCCGGCTCATATTGAAATTTGTACGAACCATTTTGCAATATGTGTTGAGAAAGCTGCTGCCATGCTCTACGGGTACCGGTATGTACTTACACCGGACTGCGATGTCTAGATGATACCTCCTGTAGCATGGCCTGTAGTTTACTAGTGTCCAGTCGACTACCCAGCTTCAGTACATCCAGTGCAGCTTCCTAGAGTGGCAGTGCAAGCCCAACAACAACAACAACAACCATTTTCAAGACACATCTGCAAAACTTGTCAAGAATAGAGCAAAACAATCGTGTACACCAGTGAAATAACACTGCACTGTACTGACCCCCTCCCCTTTCCAGACAGAGGAAAGAAATCCTGCCCATCCAGGAGGTGTCATGGCCACAACTCTGACGCCTCTTCCAGACCAAAACGGTCACTAATTCCAGTTACCCCGTTGCCCATGCAAACACGCATGTGTGCATGCATACATACATGCACACATGCATGCACACATACATGCACACACGCATGCACGCACACTCAGACTCAGACATGCCCATCGCGGAAGCGATGATAGCGACGCACACACACACACACACACACACACACGCGCACACACACACACGCGCGCGCGCACACACACACACACACACACACACACACACACACACGCACACACACACACAAGACACTATACTACACTTCACAAAATGCTCTACATACCTGCACTTGGTTGGAGCTATCGTCTAAGTGGATGAGCAGGCCCTTGAAAATGACATCAACATGAGCTCCATAGAACGCCGAGTCATAATCACCAGGGAAGCAGCTGAAGGAAAACCAAAAAATGAATCAGAAGAATGACAAAGTTGATGCCGGCCCTTGTGGTGGGGCCATGGCAGCTGTGATACTAACTCAGTTCATGGACTTCGGTTCTGGGAAATCGCTGTGTGGGCTTGCCAGTCATCTGTGCTCCGCGGTCGCGTGGGTGTGGATGAATTATTATTATTCTTTATTCTCACGATGGCGACTCGCATCAACAAGATAATTGTCTAGGTTATTGAACTCTGAACCAATCAATCTAGCAATGACGTCATGCTTTGCATTATCAATCTAGCAATGACATCATGCTCTAAACTATCATTGTAGCAATAACATCATGCTCAACAAAGGGAACAGTCTCCTGAACAACAACACCACTGTACACCATGGTACACCACTGACCTGAAGTAGACCATCCATGTGTGCAAGCAGCACAGTCGAATCTCATTGTCACTGTCATCCAGCCGTTTCAGCATCTCCGGGTACAAACGGTGCAAAAACTCCACTGGAGCAAGTATACGCAAATGCATAGAGCAAGCACACGCAAACACATTTACACAAAAACAAACAAGAGTTTAAACTTTACAACACAACACTCATTTAATATCTCCCAGCAATAGTACAGACAACAGTGATCGTGAGCCCAGCAGTGACTGTACCTGGTGACAGCAACAACAGTGACTGTACCTGGTGACAGCTACAACAGCAGCAGAAAAGGGTGAAAAACAAAGTTGTGTTCATAACTGGCGCGTGGACGCGGCACGCTAGCTCAGGCTTTCACATGAAAACAGCAATTGTAGTCGCATTTTAGGGCATGCGACGCCTTGGAGTACTAATTCGTTGACCCTGTCAGTCAAAGTGACTCGCATCTACGCCATTATGCACTGAAAAACACATCTTAGAATTGCCATTTTGGCGCGTTTCCACACGCATGATGCCTCAAAGGCCAGCAAAAATATTCATGACCGCATGGTTTCAAGTGTACATCGTCAGTTATGAACACAGCTTAAGTTTGTTCCCATGGTGCCAGGATGCCCAACACTGACGCGATCACACATGCTTCATATCACTAGGGATCGATGTACGCGATATACTCGGTCTGTGACTATGCAGAAGACAGAGGAGATAGACAATGCGGGTGGCACGCGACTGACGGAATACCGCACAGGGCCCAGAGCAAAGCAGAGACAGAGAAGTGCAGTGCAATAGCCATACCATGTATAGTGGTGGCAACTGAAATCCGACCCCTGTCCCCTGAAATTCGACCCCTGACCCTGAAATCCGACCCCTGAAATCCAACCCCTGACCCCTGAAATCCGACCCCTGAACCCTGATTTTCGTTCTCGAGTATATAAGCACCGATTCTAGTTGTCTGTACATGTATTTCGTAACGTAACCGGGTCTTCCAATGTGAGTGCACCGCTCCAGGGGTCGGATTTCAGTTGCCAGCACTTTACACCCGTGTACCCTGTGTTGCTGGAGGTCGTGGCCGAGGCAGGCCCAGAATGTCATGGCTTGATAATATTATTTCATGGACTGCACTTGACGTGCAGTCCCTGCTCGCTGCTGCACGCGATCGATTTTTATGGCGCTCGCTTGTTCATACTTGCTCTGTGATGCCCCGACGGCCTTAGGGCTATGGGCTTGTGATGATGATGAGGACCCTAATTTCAGAAATTTTAGGTGCTCAATATTTTCGGTACAAGGGCAAAAGGCCAGGTAAGGCGAGCAGAAATTTTAGGTACTGAGAAACAGTTCCCTATTGGATCATGCGTGTTAGTGTTTGTTTGGTGTATTGAAATTTTAGGTATGAAACAGACGCACCGAAAGTACCAAATATAAAAGTACACCGAAAATTTGTGAAATTACAGTATGTGATAGATGTTACACTACATTGTGTAGTGTAGACTGACTCACCATCCAGAGCTGTGGAGCCAATCTGTAGCATACGCTGTAGTACACGCACTGACAGAAGACGACCGGGTATTGTCTCACCATCCATGCCGGAGAAGACCTACATGCGTGTGTACACACAAACACACACACACACGCGCGCACGCCCGCGTGTGCACACACACGTTTATTATACAGCAAGATCACTCATTCAAACAAATACTAGTAAAGACGCACATACACATTATAGCGTTGTGGACCCTGGCTAGCGTCAGACGCTACTAAAAAAAAGGTGACATCTTTTGCATAGCTGCAGGAATAAAGTATTCTCTATTCCTGCTTCAGTGCAAACAGCTTATGCTTGCCATGTTGCAATGAATCAACACGTGCAAACAGTACATGAATAGCAGTGGCATGAAACACATGAAACACATGATCGGATGGAAATCCAAATTCCTGGGGAAATGTGAGAAGCAGGAATTCAGCCGAGCCGAAAACCTGTCTATCTGAAAACCCTACAAGAGCTCACACAAGTATATACATACAAAGGTAAACCTGAACTTAGAAGTTGCGACTTCGGCGGTTCCTCGTTGGAACAATCAACTTCATGTTTAAAGGTAAACCTGGTTTAAGAAACCACCTGGACTGTAAGATTACTATTCTTTGGCACTGGATGTGTTGAACATGCAAGGATCAACAACCTGTTTTAGAAACCACCTGCATTCAAACTTTCAAAGACAGCTCTATTCAGGTCCCATGGGTGATCGTTGAAACCGGGTTTCACCTGTATACTACTATGACAGATTGTAACGGATCGTTCTGACTTCTGTCTTATGCCAGGTGGCTGTATGACATACCGCTGGCTGTAGATCATCGGCAATGCTGATGATATGTGACTGCTGCAGACAGCGACAATGCAGCAGCACCAGAAGACTACCCATCACCGCTGCTCGTAATGCTGCCAGAGCTCTGCACGGTTAGTAAATACAAGAAAACACAAACGCACATACAGTACTGTTGGGTGCTGAAGAACGGACAGGCTAGAATATCACCCTGGCACAGCATAGCTAGAATGTCACCCTGGCACAGCATAGTGATAATTATATGCAAGGCTCTCTGCCAATTCGGTGTTGCAAGACTTGCATAACAACCTGCCACGGATGATTTCATCAGACTGTTGTGCATGACCATGGCCGTCACAGAACCAACAGTGGGTGCACAGCATAACACGACCGGTGACATGTTTTGGCAAGCAACTTCCCCCAGCTCATCCATGTTCATTCCACCAAGGTCTGATGGTGGTCCTGTTCACAGAGATCTTAGCATACCTTCCTGGTTTCCAGATCAAGTTGGGCAAATAGATAGTCTTGATCATCTCCTCGATGCATGCTCCAAATGTTTGCAGTGCATCAAACGTTTCGTCGGCTCTCTCCAGAAGACCCGCCAGCATCTCAAAAAGACTGCAAGAAAACACGTGCAGATGCATGTACGCATAATTATACGCAAGCGCAAGCGCACACAAACACACACTCACGTACACACACCCACACGCACGTACACACACACACACACGCACACACAGACGAGGTTATAGCAGAGTTGAATAGATGCCAAAGTGAGCCACGATCAGTACCCACGCAGCTACAGCTAAGACGAAACAGAAAGTCCTAACACACTTAGCACACATGTCACAAGTGGGATGGCATCTCTCCATGCCGGAAGAAGTGTTTTTTCTCACTTTAAACTAAGGAGGCAGGCACGCGTTTTCAAGCTCACAGCCTTTCCTTTTTTCAACAGGAAAGCTGGACAGGCCGGCCTGGATGTACTTAGTAGAGCCGGCAGTAGACCAGTTAGTAACAAACTACTAGCACATGTACAGTCCTAGAGCAGCATGATGTTGTGGGTGGAGATAGCGGCCTGAGCTGCGAAAACCGTCATTCACGGGATGACCGAGCTAGAGGCCAAGCTGTTGACTTCTCTCCCAGGAATTGAGACGTCAGTTGTAGAACTTGGGGAATTGTATGTTACTCCCTACATACGTAGCAACACACAATTCCCCAATTATCGCCAAAGTTGCTACAACCTCTTCTTCGTACAGTAGTAAAACATTTTCCTTACTCGTGTCAGAGTCGGCTGATCAGGAGGTACGCCTGCTGAACAGGATTGACTTGTTGTCTAAGCAAGTGAATGAGCTCAGTACTCAGTAAGGATGTCGTTTCCCTGAAAGAATCCGCCATTGTTTCGGCGAGTGCTTCTCCCCAGGCCCAGTGCCAGCGACGAGCAAGGCATCCTGTAGACGCCCATCCAGGAAAGCTAGCCGTGCACGTGTAGCGACCTCGCTGCATGACGTCAGCTCCCTCACCAGATATATACGCATGCGCATGAAACATGTGTTCCTCTTTGTTCTAAATAAACACCAACCATTAGACAAAGTTGCCCTCTCCACTGGAGTTGTATTCATTAGGCCCCAGGGTGGTATGTCCCTGGATTCATCTGTCTCCCCTGTGAACAGATAGGACCTCTGCCATCTTGGGTGCCTAAATTGGTGACCCCCGACGCTGCGTTTGCGGAGTACTAGTTATAGTTTTACGTATTTTTGACTTAATCGGATTTGGGATTTGTGGTGCCTCTCGCCGCCCACGGCACACCTGGAGCTGCTGCGGACTACGCCCTCCTGCCGCCGCCATCCGTCGTCATGCTGTTTCCGCCCGTCAGCCTGCCAGCCATCACTGGTTTTCGCCGCAGTCCGTTCCTGCGTGCACCACATTCTGGCTGCCTGTCAATCACCGGCTGTTGACATTAAACTTGGGCCTCACCATCCGCACCTCACCGCCTGGACTTGGAGCTGCTGTGGAGCAACCACACTCCGACCACCGTCCAGTGTGCGCCGGCCACAAGCTGGAGCTTGCCCCCCTCCCACCCGCAAAGCCTCCCCAATCGTGGAGCCAGCACTGCTGCTACTACTACACAATTGTATTGCTGTCATGTTCCGTACCTGGGTCAGCTGCCGACTACCCAGTCGCCGCCTCGCCACATTGATATATATGGCTACATGGGCTGTTCAACGGCAAGTTTTCCCGCAACTGATTACTGCGCGTCTTTGCCTCTGCCTTCACAGTTTGCATACAGTTTTTTCTCTCTCTCTCTTTCTGCCTCTGACATGCTCTCCACCTCTGTCACGTTAATCCACCTCCGACATGTTAACCCGCCTCTGTCACGCATCTCTTTTCTGCTTCCTGCATTTTATTTCTCTGTTTCGGCCTTGTTGCCACTTTAAAAACAGTGGTACACCACATGCACATGCAGCGTTCTTTTTATTTCCTTGTTTTTCTCTGTCGTTCTCTGCGCTCCGCTTGTTCTCTGGTGGGGAGTACTGTAGCGACCCCGCTGCATGACGTCAGCTCCCTCACAAGATAATATACGTTCAAAGACCGTGATCAACGGGATGGAAGTGTCACACCACAAGACAATCCTAGCAGCAACACTGGTAAACACTCCCGTCCATATCCAACACAGTTAGGAGCAATGAGTCCAGTATGATGCAGAAGAATGATGACAGCACCGTGTACACTCCAGTGTAAACTACTTCTCACAAATGTGTCTGAGTCTAATCTTGCGTCAGTCTTGTCTTAGTCGAGCTATAGTCTTGTTTCAGTCCAGTCCAGTCTTAGTCTTGTCTTGTTATCGGTCTTGAGTTAGTCTTGTATCGACTTTTGTCCCGTGTCCAATATAACAGAGCTAAACCTAACCAATTCTCTTTTATTTTATTCGTTTTATTTCTTTCTTTATACAATCGACGAGGAGACAATAGTCGTAAAATGGCAATAAATAAGATAAATTGTGCACTCATAACAACAGCAAAAATGAAGAAATTCAAGTTCCATAACGTTTTCTTGTGACTGTCATCAGTGGAACGCCGTCACATAAAAATGTAATAACTAAACACACACACTTATATACATGTAGCTAATATGGTTTCAGGTAGAAATACAGCAGCTAACAAGTACAAAAAGCGAAGTTTGCACCTTTGCAATGTGTGAATATAGTGTATGTGAGAAAGGTAGTGGCAGATGAATGTGATACTGTGTGAATGAATGTAATGGTGCGTGTGTATTACTTGAAGAGACTGAGTGATACAACATTTTCTTTCTGTTTACATAGCACAGGGTCACGAGTACGAATATACACAGCTTCCAACACCTGCAATTGCTTGAAGAAACGTGCGCAACGAATAACACTAAACCAGGAATCGTCAAACACCTTACGACATTCTGGACTGGACAAGTCTGCAGTGTACAAGCATTTGGTGTCCAGTCCAGAATGTCGTAAGGTGTTTGACGATTCCTGGTTTAGTGTTATTCGTTGCGCACGTTTCTTCAAGCAAGTGCAGGTGTTGGAAGCTGTGTATATTCGTACTCGTGACCTTGTGCTATGTAAACAGAAAGAAAACGTATCACTCACACTCTTCAAGTAATACACACGCACCATTACATTCATTCACACAGTATCACATTCATCTGCCACTACCTTTCTCACATACACTATATTCACACATTGCAAAGGTGCAAACTTCGCTTTTTGTACTTGTTAGCTGCTGTATTTCTACCTGAAACCATATTAGCTACATGTATATAAGTGTGTGTGTTTAGTTATTACATTTTTATGTGACGGCGTTCCACTGATGACAGTCACAAGAAAACGTTATGGAACTTGAATTTCTTCATTTTTGCTGTTGTTATGAGTGCACAATTTATCTTATTTATTGCCATTCTTTCTTTATTTCTTTCTTTTTTTTCTTCTCTTTAATTTGCATTTTTGCCCTCAGTCTGTGGTTGGTTTCACAGTCACTTCCTTGTATTGGCTATTTTTCATTATGTGCCATGAAGTGCAGACAGTAAATAAATAAATAAAATTAATAAATAAATAAATCGGTGCCTTGTGTCTGAATACCAATACCTACATGGAGAAAACCCATAAGGGGCCGTCCGTAAATATCGAGATGCTTTTCAAGACGATATTTGTTCATTTCTCCCCAGACCCTCCCTCCCCCCTCAACACGAACATACACATGCTTATGCAGGGATCGATATTTTTTAAAACCTTGTGAAATGTGACAAACATCAACTCCGAGTTCACAGTACACCTCGGTTTACATTGCCATGGTCACATTGCCATGGTCACATTGCCATGGTCACATTGCCATGGTCACATTGCCATGGTCACATTGCCATGGTCACATTGCCATGGTCACATTGCCATGGTCACATTGCCATGGTCACATTGCCATGGTCACATTGCCATGGTCGCACAACTTTGCCGCGGCTTATTTGCACAGTGCCCGTCCATATCTCGAGATCAATATTTCTTTCAGAAGACGAGACGAACAGTATGTGCCTCCCTGCGATTTCCTGCTGGCGTTTGCACCATGATGGGTTGTGACGTATCTTGTAAAAAACATCCTCAATGCGTATAGAAATACAATGTAAAGCATTCATTGGTTTGAGGAAAAGATGCAAACGGGAAAAGTCTGAACTTTTTTTGACTGTCACCGCCAGGGCTTGAACCAGGGACCTTCGCTTGAGGCCAGTGATGCTCTGCCACTGAGCTACGGTGTAGCTATTGTGGTGTATGTACCAGACAGGTATTCATCTAATTGCAAGTACTGTAAACTCTACGTGTGAACCCACAATACCTTGGTTAGAGATACAACAGCTATCGTTCCAGCAGAGACCGGAAAGCACATAACATTTTAAAATGGGAAAACAGAATTTCTAAATCCAGCATGCCACTCACTCAAGTCGGCTTGCTGAGTCCACACTGGTCTCTGCAGCTCTCTGTAGCAGCGGCATGATGGCATCCAGGTGACTGGCCACAGCACTGCCTGCACCTAAGGCACAAATACACACACACACACACACACACACACACACACACACACACACACACACACACATGCACGCACGCGCACACCACCACCACACACCATTGGACGCCCATCGCCAGAGGCGATGATAGCGATGCTACAGCAGAAGCCATAGCAGCTTGTGCTGGGATTGCACCATTCAACAGCTTGCAAGGCTGAAGAATTGACTACCACTATTCAGCCTGGTCTACACCACACAGCTATGAAGTGGCTTTTCTGGCCAGTGAATCCTTACTTTTTGGTCTTTTTCATTTTTTTTTCACGCACACACATCACACCACATACTCCGGCATGCACTGGCTGTTGGTAACCACCCAGGAGAATGAAAGAAAAGTCAGGAGGAGTCTGAGAAAGAGAAGAAAGACGTGTGTGACCACGCGCGCACACACACACACACACACACACATAGAGCAAACTGTGAATACCCTGACTTTGCATGTGGGCCCGGCCATGCTGGGGGCAAGACATACAGTCGACTCCTGATATACCGAACACCATTGTGCAGGATAATTAGTTCTTTACAGCTGGATGCAGTTTGTTACAACAGAAATGCACTCACACCAAACAAGCAGCAAGTCATGACTGGCAAGTGGCCCGTGACAGCATGAGTGCACTTGGTTTACATGCGGCGCTACAAGATTTGGTTGGTATAAACGAAAACTGCTCGCTATAAAGGGTCAATTTTGTATGGGTTCAAACAGGGACATGGACAATGGTTCGCTATATCACAAAATTCGCTATATGCGAGTTCGTTATACGCGGAGTCGACTGTACATGGATAGGCACAGCAGTACCAGAGATCGGCTGTGGTGTTACTTCCTCCAGAAACAAAATCTCGTGACTTCCATCAACCTGTCAGTTCTTGTGAATTGAGCTCTGAGGAATCCAGCGATGGTGATTCCTAGTCAGACTCAAACAGTGTCGACTTCTTTTGTATTACGAGTCATACCAAGCACATGCTTCAACCAGTACAACGCATATCCACTCATTGTCTTGAAGCGGTCTTGGTCCGATTTTTTGGGTCCAACTTGCACTCTACAAGCGCATGTACAGAGCTGCTCAATGAAATCCAGTCGCGTCACTCAAGTTTGCGCCTTGCCCCATTTCGCAGCCCAGTGTTCGCAGGTCTGGGGCGGCGTAACGCCCGGCGCGTACTTGAGTGAGGTGACTGGATTTCATTGAGCAGCACTGTACATGTGAATACAGTCGTCCCTCTCTAATCCGGCACTTTATAATCCAGCACCCTCGATAAACCAGCACAATTTTCAGTAGCCAAAATGTCCTCTTCATGTACATTGCAGCAGTAAATCAGATTTGTTAATCCAGCACCCTCCCTAATCCAGCAGATTTTCGTGGCACAAATGGTGCCGGATTAAAGAGGGACCACTGTACCAACCTTGGAGGATAGGTGTGAGGCTGGCCATGTTCACCACACTGGACGACGTCACACTGGCGGCATCCTATCATAAACAGGCATCGAGACATGTATAGATACACACACACATACACACACACACACACGTACACACACATACACACATGTCCTGGTCCTGGTCCTGGTATACACTGCCATGTAGGTCACGTGTTTCTCGTTGAGCGAGACGGAGACGAGAGGAGACATGAGCGTTGGTGACGGGATAAGTCGTTTCGCCTTTTGAAACGCCTCCGGCAATTCTGACATTGCAATTGGAACTTGTCCCTTTCATCAGCAGTTGGGCGCCTGGTGGATCGGTTGCAGTTGTGGATAGCAAAGCCCCGGATTGACTTACAGCAGCGTTCACAAATGGGACAGTGAGCGGTACAGCACGGTTTCCGAATACATAGGCGTACAGGTGAAGAGCTTGTGGCATTGGCAACATTCGGGGCAGAATTGGACTGGACACAGCGATGGACTGCAATGCCACCCGCACTCCGAAACCATCGGTGACACTGGGAGCACTGGCGGCTGTTGGCTTGCTGCTGGACTGGTTTACGCCGTTCCATGATGCACTTGTGGCGGGCGATATCTTGCTGCCGAGCAAATGCACGCCGGCACACCTCGCAGACTATCTCCCGAGCCGGTTTCTGAGCTGGTTGTATTGCTCGATAAGCTTGCCGCCACTCAGATCGTTCCTGCGCTGTGTCAAACCATGACTCGTCGGCGATGTTTATTCGTCGCAGGTCGACCCTAATTGCGTCTCGCCATCGTTTCCGCGGGCCACACGCTGGGCGTGGTGGCAGCAATGTGCCAAACAACAACATCCGCGGCATCCGCTCCTCAGGCATGCGTACCACGTGCCCAAGCCATTCCAGTCTTCTCTGCATGAGGCGGTCGGGGATATCCAGTGGGTTTGCTGCATTCCATGTTTTCAGAATGGTGTCCTTGGCTATCTTTAAGTCCCACACATCCCGCTGTGCAACACTCATGATGGAAAGAAGCGACCGGTAGTAGAAGGTCGTGATCCGTTGCACATCACTTTGCAGCGGTACCCACGTCTCCGCACAATAGAGCAGTAAGGACAGAACACAGGCCTCGAAAACCAGACGCTTGGTGCGCAGAGAGAGATTGTGGTCATTGAAGACAGCATGACGGAGCGCTCCAAAAGCACGGGAGGCAGATGAAACACGGGTCGATACATCTTTGTGAGATCGGCCAGAATCATGGATAACAGCACCCAGGTATCGGAACTCACGCACACATTCCAATGTGCCATTCTTCACAGGAAGAGGAAGTCGGTCATCATCCGTGATACCATAGCCAACCGCCATAAATTTGGTCTTGTCCAGATTGACGGTCAGACCAAATGCAGACGAGACATCGATGAACATATCCAGAGCAAGAGCAGCAGCAGTACGGGTAGTGGCAAACAGGGCAGAGTCGTCAGCGAACTGGCAGTCGTTGATGGTAGTCTGATCGTCAGTACGCTTTCTCTTGAAATAAAGCGAGCCCCCAGGATTGAATGCCAACGGGACGCCGATACCAGGCACATGCTCGACCACTCTGGACCATCTCTGGAAAACAGCCCACATGAATATGTTGAATAAGACTGGTGCCATACAACAGCCCTGCCGCAAACCACTCTTCACTGCAATGGGTTGGATGGGTGTTGACCCGATGGAGAGAGTAGCCGACATTGAGGTGTGAAACGACTTGATGATGTTTACGATGTTACTAGGGACCCCTGCCTTCGCGAGAATCAGCCACATGCATTCACGGTTTACTGAGTCGTACGCCTTACGTAAATCAACAAAGACAACGTATCCCGGGCAGCGATGTTCGTACAACTTCTCCAGGACTTGGCGAACTGCAAACACCATGTCTGTGCAAGATCGACCCTTACGAAAGCCGCACTGGGAGTCGGGTAGAATATTCTCCGCAATAATCTGTAATCTGGACTGAAGTACTCGAGCAGCAACTTTCCCAACAACATCCAGGAGTGATATGCCACGCCAATTATCACACAATGAGAGGTTACCTTTCTTTGGGATTGGCACAAGGTTGCAGTCTACCCATTCCTGCGGAACAGCCTCGTCATCCCAGACATGGTGCAACAGATCCAACAGTGCCTCCATGAAACTCTCACCACCCGCTTTGACCAACTCAGGCAGGATAGCTGAGGCGCCAGCGGCCTTGCCGTTGCTGAGTTGTCGAATAGCTCGCGCCACCTCTGCTGCATCCGGCTTGCCAGCGATGTTCTGGTTGATAGGCTGCTGGTCTATTTCGTCAATGGCACATGGATCAAATGTGCTAGGGATGTTGAGTACGCCATCGAAATGTTGGTACCATCGTCCACCTTGTTCCTCCACAGATTTGCAGATGTTGCCATTTGCATCCCTAATAGCGGTAGTAGACACAGGGCGTAATCCCTGCTTGGCAGCCTGCATATCCTTAACACATGCCCACACCCGTGAGGAACTGAACCGTGCACCATCAAGAGATTTGGCTTTGTTGGTGAACCAGGAGTTCTTGGCAGAGCGGACAGCAGCTCTTGCCTTACTCCTGGCAGCCTTGAACCTGTTCCACGTGTCATCAGACCTGCCACTTGAAATCCATTCTTGATATCGCTGATTCCTTTCATTCAACAAGGGTTCGAGGGTATCTTTGCTCTCAGTAAACCAATCTGGTTGACGACGTTTCTGAAAACCGAGGGTCTCCTCTGCAGACTCGGTGACCGCGGTGCGCAACCTCGACCATTTGCATTCAACGGTGGTATGTTCATTCGGCTGTTGCAGACTGTTTGTGAGGCATTCACGATAGACATCAGCAACTCGTGTGATGTTTCCAGATGAGTCAGTGCTGTGGACATCCTTCAAACGTGCAACATCAAACCGCTTACATTTCTTCGTTTGCACACAACGCGAGCGGCGCTGCAGACGGCCTACTACAAAACGCGCAGCCACCAGGTTGTGGTCGCTCCCACATTCCGCACTTCTTATAACTTGAGCATCAATACATTGGTGGTAGTCAGCTTGTGACGTGATGACAAAATCAATACAATGAAATCTCTTTGACCTTGGATGTTGCCAGGTCCACTTCCTATCCTCTGTCTTGCAGAACCATGTGTTACACACCATCGCCTGAATAGTTGCAAGAAAATCCAACAGCTCACGTCCTGCAGAGTTCATCTCACCCACTCCATGTGGGCCCCGTACACGTGACCACTCATCAGCGTCAGCATGCGTACGGGATCCAACTCTGGCGTTGAAGTCACCCAACAGAATAAACTTTTCTGTGGCCATCCGTGGCAAAGTCGCTTGCAAGTCCGCAAAGAACTGTTCCTTGGCAATTCGCTTGCTGGCGAACGTCGGAGCATATGCGGAGATGACAGTATACCATACCGGTGAACACCCATGAATATCAAACTTCAATCGCGCTGACACAATCCGAGAGCTGCGGGCGTCGTATTGACAACCGCCGTCACGCCACGCGCGAGCTGCATTTCCCAGCAACAGAATCGCAACACCTTCACCCCTTCGACACGACTCTCCCTCGCCAGGTGAAGGTCTTCCAGACGAAATTAGCACTGCTCCGTCGATGTTGTAAACGTTCTTATCCAGCCAGTAGGTCTCTTGAAGACAAACTATTTCCAATCCAAGACGTTTGAAAATTTGAATTATCCGATAAATTTTCTTGTCGTCAGCCACTTGATGTCGAGTGGATGCTGTTTGGACGGGTCCTTCACTTTCCAGCAACGAGCGGACATTCCACGTCCCAACGCTCAGGGTAAACTCCTTTCGTCTCCTACTGCGTGCGGTAGATGGCTCCATTCGCGGGCTTGCAAGGCCTCGCGATGGGTCCAACAGCGGAAAACAGAGTCAGAGTGACGACACCCGAAGTTCGTCCTGTAATCTGCTCTGCTGACTTTCCGCTGTGGACTTCTACTGGGAACTGTCCCAGGGACGACCCTGGAAGCCCAGAGTCGTCCCTGAGAACTGAAAACTAACAAAAACTAATCAAACGATGAGAGCTACAAAATTCCTAACTGACTCCTGTAGAGTCCCACACACACACGTGTACACACACGTACACACATGCACGCACAAACACACATACGCAAAAAAACACATGAACACACAGATGCACACATGGACACATGGACAGATGCACAGATGCACAGATGCAGAGGAAGGCAAATAGACTAAAGTTGCTTGGCAAATACACACGCACATGCATGTACGTACATGCACACAAGAGTGCCCACAACACACATGCATGCAACAACGCACATATTCATACACATGGGAATGCACTAACCCCCCACGCGCCTCCCTCCTCTCCCCCCCAAGAGTACAGCCCACATACTAACCTGTAGTTTAGACAGAATAGGAGGAAGGTGTTGACTGTATAGATCAACACTTGATGACAGCGACAGAAGACAAGCTTGAGAAGTAATTAGCTGATGAACCTAACAACAGTGACACATGGCACAGCAACACAAGTCTAGTTCAAGAGACAGAGAGAGTTCTAAACACAACCGTCTTCAATCTCTTGACTAAGGACGTGTCATTGCTTACCAACATGGAAGGGAACGAGGAAAGTGTATTGCTTTCCTTCAAACGCACTACTAAGTTAGTAGGACACAAAGCATACCTGTGTAAGGCATGTGAAGCACTACATACTGCAATCTGTACATACGTGCTGCTGGACGGCTTGGCTTGCGGCTACGGTAAGCACTTTGACCAGGAGCGAGAAAGCGCCGAGCGAGATCTCCTGCAGTGTCTGCACCGTCACCAGCGCAAACACCTCATCCATGACGAGCAGAATACTGTGCTGACGGCTCTCCTCGTTGCTGTGGCAGACCTCGTCCCGGGACAGCATTGCCACAGTTTTCTGCACATTCACACAGGTAGACAGCATACAGGCTACAGTAGTCAGGTCTAGAAATGAACAATAAAGGTTACTGACGCATAGAGATGCTGTCATGCAACGAGCGGTGGCCAAAGTGAAAGGACTTCTTGATTGCGATTTTGTTGTAAATTGTGGCAGTTGAATTGTCTCTGGGGTACGAGGTGATTCGTGATTTTTGGACAAATCAGTTAAGTATGGAAGTAGAGTCCTCCTGAGTCGTTGTCCTCTCCTTGGTGGACAAACTTTTGACAAGAGTGTCTTCGTGTGGTCCTCAAGTTTCTTCGTATCTATTTTTTGCGGCGAAAGCCGTTCTTTCCGGGCGTTTTCTTTACTATTCTTAGGTAATGTAATGAAAAATTTTGAAAATTTTGATTAAACCTTTACCATCCGACCAAAATTCCCCAGCAGTCCCAAATGCAATAATTCTCACCTTATTCTGAGAATATCTTCGGTTCTAATCAGCCAATTTTCACAATCTTGGGCATTGTGGAAAGCTCTCCACAAGCTGCATACATTGAGCTCAAACAGGACACTACCGAGATCACATATCCAGCGCCAGGGAGCTTCGAATACACCCCATCGCTGGATATACGAGGAAATTGTCTCCTCGCCAGCCATTTCTCGCTCCTTCATCGTAAACATTCCAATTTTTTTGCTTGAGTTTCTTTTCATGCTGCCCACGCGCTCAAAGCATGCCAATGTTACTCAGCATGTCAGAAGAGGGGAAATTCCCCGCTCGAGGTCAGTCACTCGGAAAGAAATTCGACTTTTGCCGTGGCTGAAATGTCGAGCGTAATATCTTTGGAATGCGACATCGCAGCTCTTCACCGATTGATGCAATGGAAAGCTAAGCTCATCGGCTTCTTCCTAGATATTTAGTTTTTTTAATTTCGCCAAGAATCGATCGAGTTACGAATGTTTTAGTGCACGCATGTCCATCGATCTCTAGAGATCGATTCAAGTACGCACGGATGGTAAAGGGTTAATATTTAAATGATGGAGGATTCCGTCGACTCTACGTCGCATGACGGAGAGAATGTCGACACGGGCGATGTTGTATCCCTTCCATCAGCCCCAGGGACTACGTATTCCACCTCGCATCCGTCTGGAAGAGTCTCCTCGCCTTCTCAGCCGGTGCGTTTGTCGAGGGGTTCTGGTCAGGAGAAATCTATTTTAGCAGTGCGAGCGCTCCGCTCACCTGGCACCAGTGAACACTTTCTAACCAAGAAGGACGCAGCGGCTAGTTACGGCGTTAGCCCTCCAATCTTTGCGAAGTATGAGAAGGAGATGCGCCAGACTGGAGTGCTCTCCTCTGTTCATGATGGAACGATTCCTGCTCCTGATCTCCCTGATGGATTCTTCCCAATTAACTCAACTGAGGAAAGTGTTGAGGAAGTGGAGGAAATCAAAGTGCTGCTGGAGTCCTGCGGCTCCAGACTTGGTGACAGCTCCAGGTATGGCAAGCATGGCACTATTGGCATGTATCGAGAAGGAGTGAAGTGGGCAGTCAATCAGATGTTCAAGAAACAATTGCCACGGGACGGACGACGTGCTTCGAAACTGCTGACAGCTATTGGTGTTGATGTAGGCAAGTACATTCTCCATAGCAAGCTCTGTGCGTATGAGCAGCAACTTGCCAATGACCTTGCCAGTACTGTTCTGTCCCCGGTTCGATGTGATACCATTTCACGAATTCCGCACCGCTATGAATTGAAGCTTGCTGAGTATGTGCAGGCACTGCGTAGCCTCAAGCTGAACGCTGGCAAAAGTCTTCTGATTGGAGCAGAAAATTTCCTGATCCGTGACACCGAAATTGCCGAGAGGTTTGCCCACAAAGAGGTCAGGTACGGATGGTACTACTCTTTCCGTAAGAGGCGGGGTATCAAGGTGCGTAATACTGCGCAACCAAACCCGCCTCGAGATGGATCGAGCACGTTGGTCAACAGCAACGCATTTCAAGGAATGGTATGACGTAGTCATGGAAGGGATGATTGCATGTGGTATTGCAGTCAAAAATGAGCAGTTCGATCCTGAGAAGCCCTATGATGCAATGTTTACTATTACGGACGTGGGCATGGTCTTTGAGTGGGACCAGACCGGCTTCACGCTTGATCAGACAGACAACGGTAAAGGTACTTCAGAGAAGACGATGACTATCGATGCTCACGACAGTGGAGAGTGTGTCGTTAACGAGTCTAATGTGAGGTGGACCATCACCGGAGGCTCCTTTATGAATGGAGATTCGCTGCCAGGATGTGCAACTCCACCGACAAAGAGCATGCAGCTAGCATTGATGAAAGATCCGCCGTTGTCCACCATCATCAACCCAGCCACTGGGAAAAGTTTCCCTAGTCAGTTCTCACTGCATCCCCCTGGTGGTTTCTTCTATGAATTGGCACCGCTTTGGTTGAAGAATGCTGTGGGTCCATGCCTACCCAAGAAGGATGGAAAACG